TTTTTTGGGAGGTCTTGGTCTTGGTCTTTTTTATTTTAGACTTTTTTTTTTTTGTGTTGATGTCGTTGTTGTTGTGCTTGGTCTCTTGATGGGCTTGTGGTGTCTGTGTGTGTGCGTGTGTGCGTGCTTGCGTATGTGCTTGCAATAAGCGCCAGACGGGACGGGACGGGACGAGCTGCTTCCGCTTCGTCTCTTCAAGGTCGTTGCCCGGTGTTGTTGCTGCTGTTCCGCGAGGGGGCGTGACGGTATAGATGGCCGGACATGGGGACTACACACTACCTATTTACCTACTTACCCGTCTTACCTGTCTTGCCTTTAGTTGATAGAATTGTCGGTAGTTTGCGAAAGCATTATTGTTTTTTTTATTTGCAGGATTGCATTTGAGTGGGCGCGTGGTTTGTGGTGACATGCATCTCCCGTTCGTCATCTTCATCTGTTGTTGTCGTCGACCCAAACCCTCGAGGCAGACGGATAACTACGGCTCGGCAAGCTGCGGCTCACACACGCCAACGGGAACCAACTATTTTTCTGTTTTTTTTCGCCGAGGAGCCCGACGACGCACCGTGGCACTGGCACGCCCTTTGGTTGACATGCGTATGTACCTATGAGCCTGACCGCAAGAACACACCGTAGGGTAACGACGTGTAGGGGGAGGATGGCGGCCATGGATTGATCGATGAAGCTTGCCCCCCGGGTAGAACTGGAATCCCTTACGCATATGCCATGGTCCGTGGGCTCCACCTCCCCGGGCAAGAAAAAGAGTCATCCGCGGAGAGTCATAGCTAGTTAGCTTGTTGTGGAGGGGACGTGGGGGATACTTAACTAGGTGCCCTCTCCCCGTCTGCTTCTGCTTCTTCTTCTCCTTCTTCTCACACTCCCCAGTTCTTCCCCCGACCCACCCGTGTTTCTCTTTCGGTGTGCCGTTCTGTTGGCTTTCTTTCATTTTCCCTTCTCTTTTAGGGAATCCCATAGACGACGACGGATACTAAGACCAGTTGAGTTCAATTTAACGACAACAACACCAACATGTCGCCCGTACCAACCACCACGTCCGGCCTGACGGAGCAGGGCGTGCAAACCACGCTCAACGAGACGGCGCCCTCGCAGGCCAATGGCACCACCAACGGCACCACCACGCTGGCCGAGCTCGACGCCTCGCAGCTCAAGACGACGCGCACGCCGACGCCGCGCCCCGTGCCCGCGCCCAACTCGCCCGAGGTCTACGCCCAGAGAACCTGCACCGACCACATGATCACGGCGTCGTGGACGGCGGCTCAGGGGTGGGCGGCGCCCGAGCTGAAGCCCTACGGCCCGCTGAGCCTCATGCCCACGGCCAGCTGCCTGCACTACGCCACCGAGTGCTTCGAGGGCCTGAAGCTGTACCGGGGCGTCGACGGGCGGCTGCGGCTGTTCCGACCCACGCGCAACTGCGCGCGCATGTGCACCTCGGCCGCGCGCATCTCGCTGCCGGGCTTTGCGCCCGAGGAGCTCGCAAAGCTGATTGCGCGCCTGGCCGCTGTCGACGGGCCCCGCTGGCTGCCCAAGGACCGTTCCGGCCAGTTCTTGTACGTCCGCCCCACGCTCATTGCCAATGATCAGACCCTCGGCGTCCAGAAGCCAAAGGAGGCCCTGCTCTTCGTCATCTTCGCCCTCTTCCCCAACATGGACGTCAGCATCCCCGCCGCGCTCCCCAACGGCACCACCACCGACGGGACGGCGGCGCGGCCGGGCCTCAAGCTCCTCGCCAGCCGCGACGACATGGTGCGCGCGTGGCCCGGCGGCTTCGGCTACGCCAAGGTAGGCGCCAACTACGGCCCGTCGCTGCTGGCGCAGGGCGAGGCGCGGGCCGCGGGCTTCGACCAGATCCTGTGGCTGTTCGGGCAGGACAGCGCGGTGACGGAGGCGGGCGCGAGCAACTTCTTCGTCGTGTGGCGGACGGCGGAGTCCGGGCGCCTGCAGCTCGTCACGGCGCCCCTCGACGACCGCATCATCCTCGACGGCGTCACGCGCCGCAGCGTCATCGAGCTGGCCCAGCAGCGCCTCGCCAACGGCTACAAGGCCGCTGATGGCGACGAGGAGCTGCTCGAGCCCATTGACGTCGTCGAGCGCAGGTTCACCATGCTGGACGTGCTGGCTGCGGCCGAGGAGGGCCGCCTCGTCGAGGCTTTCGCTGCTGGCACCGCCTTCTTCATCGCTCCCGTCGGCTTGGTGCATTTCCGTGGCCGCGACCTCGATATCCCGCTCGCGAAGGGCGAGTCGGGTCCCTATGCGCGCGTCATCAAGGGCTGGTTGAAGGCGATCATGTACGGCGAGGAGCAGCACGAGTGGGGTGTTGTGGTTGAGGAGGACGAGTAGGCGTGATGTGAGATGAGACGTGTGTTGTCGTCGTTTGAGGGCCGCGAACCTGGAACGCGCAAAGCCAATCGGAATGTTTAGACGGACGGGTTTCTACTTTCTAGTAGGGAGGGGGAGGCGTCGCGGCGAATGAATCAACGTTTAACTAATGGAAAGATGTAGATAGATACGGATCTATATGTACGAATGGATGGAAATAGAACAATTGGCTTCTCGAAAAATTGAGCCTACCTACCTACCTAATACACCACCACCACCACCCCTACCCTAAATCCTTACTCGTATATCCACTACAACCACACCCCGTACCCAACACGACCGCCACCAGCTCCTCAGCTCCCCCACCTTCCCTCCCACCTCACCACCACCACCACCAACAACCACAAAACCCGCCGTAGCACAACAGCCACCCCACCCATGCACACACACAGCCCCCCATCCCACCCCTACCCTACCCTACCCTACTTCCCCCGCCTCCACAACCACAACCAATCCCCCGGCGTCAGCACGCACACAGCGCAACACGACACGACACAACAGCGCACATCCAAAGCCGAGGCCTGGGTCGCCGCCGCCTGCAAGCCGCGCGGCGCTGTGTTTGGGGTGTGGGTGCGCGGGTAAGAGTGGGGAAATGGCTGGTTGGTCAGTTTCCATGTTAGCTGTTTGTTGGCTGGTTACCGTATTTGCAGCTGCAGGGGCAAGGGGGAGGGCAGAGAGGGCGGGGGCGGGTCGAAGGCGTGGAATGCATGAGATGGGATGGGAAAGGTAGGGTAGGGTAGGGTAGGGTAGGGCTTCCTTCCGTAGAGGAGGTAGGGCTAGCTAGCGCGTGCGTGCATTGCACTGCAGCATAAAAGCATAACAGCACAACAGCACGCACGGCTTGGCGGTGGCGATGAAGGAGGCGTGGGAAGGAAGGAAGGAGAGGAAGGGGAGAAGAACGGAATACCTATCCGTACCCGTACCCGTACCCGTACCCGGAGATGGAGATGGAGGGCTGGCTGCGTGGCTGCGTGCTGCGATGCGCGCTGCCGTGCTCGTCCGGGCTGGAGGTCGGGCCATGGAGGGAGGAAGGGAGGCAGGAGCCGACGTTTCTGGCCAGACGCACGGCATATGCAGGGCGAGAGTGAGACAGGGGGAGTGAGCAAACAAGCTTGCGCGGCGCGTTTGCTTGTCTGTCAAACAAAAAAAAAAAAAAAAAAAAAAAAACAAGCACGCACCTTCATCCCCAGACAGACTAGGACGGTGCGCCATCACGTGCCGACGCGCGCGTCGCCCGCTTCGGGAAAGCTACCATCTAGCGGCCCATCGTCGACGTCACTTGGCGACGTTGATGAAGTGGTGCTTCATTGCTTTTAGCTCTCTATAGCGTGCGCCGCCCATCTCAGTACCTTAGCTACGAGTGCCCTACCGACCGACACCACCTACCTATGTCCCCTCTCCCCCAACCCCAACCTCAATGCCTCTTCTCCCCCGCAGTGCCCTCGCCGCCGGAGCCATGAGCGCCATCAGCACCAGCACCAGCACCAGCACAGCGGGCATAACGAACTGGAGCGCGCGCGCCCACCAGCCCTGCCACCCCAGCTGGCCCTACCAGCCCGCCGACTTCACCCGCCTCGACCCGGGCGCCGACGGCGCCTTCTACGCCGCCGCCCGCTTCGTCACCCACATCGATGACGCGGCCATTGCCCGCCTGCGCGCCTACTACGCCGCCGCCCTGCCGCGTCGCGGCCGCCTCCTCGACTTCTGCTCCAGCTGGATCAGCCACTACCCTCCCGAGATTGAGGAGGCGGCCCGGGCCGGCGCGCTCCAGGTCCTCGGTACCGGCCTCAATGCTGCCGAGTTGGCCGCTAACCCCGTGCTTGCGCGGTGCGTGGGCAAGTCTGGCACCCAGTGGCCGCTAGTGAGGGACTTGAACGCGTATCCTGACCTGGGGGACGTGCTCCATGAGGACGAAGTGCTGGACGCGGCGACGTGCGTCGTTAGTATTGACTACTTGACGCGGCCGCGCGAGGTCCTGGAAGGCCTTAGGAAAAGGATGAAGAAGGGCGGCACCGTGCATTTGGTCGTGAGCAATCGCTGCTTCCCTACAAAAGTAATTGCAAGGTGGTTGAGAATCGGCGAGGAGGAGCGGCTGAATATGGTTGGCGGTGAGCGATTGACATTGCGTACACGTCGATGCTGCACATTGCTGACGATGCGCAGACTATCTTGCCTTTTCTGGATGGAGTAGGATCGAGATCATGCAAAGCCAGCCTGAGCGAGGGCCCTTTGGTTGGGGCGATCCTTTGTGGATTGTCCGGGGTGTCAATGAGGATTGAAGCGTTGATGAATCTACCGCACCCACCACGCCCGCTATCACAAGGACCAAAAGTAGCCTCATGCTTTGAAGCACGCCAGCTATCGTCCGCAAAGATGTCCTTCTTCCAGTGATATGCACGAGATAACTCGGCATTGTCTGTAACGCTGCATGTGCATGTGAGTATGTTAGATTTGCAAGGAACAGGCTCAGAAACCAGAATGCGAGGGACGAGGGAATGTATGGACTGAATGCAAAGTTAACGTTTCGAACGTGATTTGAAAATAGTAGTACATGTCGTGCATTGAAATTGCTTTCGTGAAATCTTCGTCTAGTAATGGCATGGAAACCCTCCTTTTTTGGACCCAACGGGCTGGGTATCGTAACTCGACCCAAGTCTAGATATGAAATCCAGTAAACTTTTGATTGCATCAGCCGACGACGGCGTCAGGCTGCGAAAGATCGCCGTAGATGCGGAATTGAAAGAAGATGATTGCATCTTCGGCCATGGTCCCCAAAGAGCCAATCAGCCACGGGAGATTTGTCAGGAAGTAATCCCTTTCAACAGAGTGGAACAGAATCTGCGCCAGTTAACAAAACAATCCTCCCTTGCGACTGATGATACTTACGCCCATGCCATATGTCAAATTTCCCAGCAGCGAAAGTAAAAAGAACAAGAGCGATAGCCCCTCGCACGACTTCTCGCGGTAGTTCTTGAAGATCTGCGGGATTCTAGCGCCGAGATAGCACACCGCGCTGGCGTATCCCAAGATTTGAGCGCCCAGGGCAACCTCCCCGCTGCCAGCATCCTGACCCGTGGGTTGCGGCTTCCAAACACCGCTGGACCAAGCGATTGCCCAGCCGGCAGCGCCGGCAATGCAGATGCCCACAATGCTCATGGCGTTCTTGACCCACTCGCTGCGCGTACTCTCCTCCTCGGCAATGCCGCCCAGTAGTTCACGACTAATGCTGTCGCGGTGCCTCCTCGACGCAGCACTTGATCGGCGCCTCGAGCCTGGCAGTCCGAGGTCGCTAGGACGTCTGCCCAGCAGCGGCTGCTCCGCACTTTCGGTCGAGAGCGTGGAGACGGCCGAAGCCTTGCGCACGCGGCGCGCATTGCGGATGTTATAGTAGAGGCATTGGGAAATGAGGACGAGATCGGCAAAGCAGAAATAGACTGCGAGCGCAATGACCGTGGGCACGAGACCAGCCCAGAGGGCGCCAATGAGGTTGGTGATGTCGCCGATGAACCAGACGGCGAGAAAGGTGATGGAGATGCCGTCGGCAGAGCCCAGCTTGTAGTTCTCGATCAATTGGGGCACCTTATGGCGCAAAGGTTAGCGGCATGGCGGGGGACGAGGCGGCGAAACGGTGACTCGCCAGCAGGAAAATCCACGAGGCGAGAGATATGGAGCCAAAGACGCCGGAGAGGGCTTCGTGGGGACTGAGCTGGGGACTCTGAAGCATGGCGGCGACAAAAGCGGCCATGGTGTCGGCTTGCTCGGCGGTCGAAGCTTGCAGGAAAGGTAGAAGTTGATGACAAAAAAGAATCGGTATACAAGTCAGAGATTTTGCCAATGACGCACAGCAGTCACAGCACGCGAGCGGGCGGGCGGTGGAGCAGCCGCACGAGGAGACGGTTCCGTGACAGCGCGCACAACGTCGGGCGGCGGAAGCACCGGGGCGGTATTGGATCGGCCGGGCCCCGTTAGTCAGGTTAGTCAGGCCGCTGTGATTGCTCAGTGCGCGCGCTATTTGTAGAACTGCTGGCCGGGCACCTCGTGTTTCCTGCTGGGCGCCCAGGCCCGTCTCACCAGTCCGCACCAATCCTTCCTGACCGGCCCAACCCTCTTGTAAAAAACGCTTACATCCCTCGCCGCTCCTGACCCATTCCTTCGCTTGATTCCCGCCGTCGACTCTCGTGGCCCGTCTCTCGCTCTCTGTATATCCACCCTGCCTTCCTCCCAACCCACGCCAGGGTCTCCCTAATTTCCACACGCACACACATCATCGTCACACACAAACCACCATGAAGTCGCCCTCAGCCGTCACCGTCGCCTTTCTGGCCTTGACCCTGTTGGCCCTTGTCCACGCGTCGCTGATCCCCTCTGAGGCGGAGGCATACGCACTTGGCTTCTTCCATCGTAGAGCCGAGGCCTCTGGCGCCGCTGCTCCCAGCACGCCAACAGAAGCTGCCTCTGCTTCGACGAAAAAGGCTGCCGTGTCGTCTGTCGCGCCTTCCTCTTCCGACGAGGAGACGTCGACGCCCGCACCTTCCTCCGCCGCGCCCACGTCAACCGAAGAACCTTCCACTTCCGAGGAAACCACGACCGCCGAGCCTCCCACTACCACGTCCGCCGATCGCACCACCACGCCCAGCAGCGTTCCTGCAACCACCACTGACGACACCAACGACAGCACTTCCGCCACGACCGCTCCGGCCACTTCCCCGGCTGCCACCTCTGCTCAAGCCACCTCCGCGCCCACCTCTGCTTCCACGGTCTGGACCACTGGCGCCAGCGGCTCGTCGTTCCAGACGGTCGTTAGTCCCACCAAGACCTCCAACACCAAGGCTAGCACCACCCGGAAGACGACTGTCACCCACGCCCTGGTCTCCACTTCGTCCCAGGCTTACACCACCACCATCATCACCGTCACCAATGGCATCACCCAGAACTTGGTCAGCACCGGCACTCACCTCGCCGTCACCACCACCGGATATTCCACCGTCACCAGCGCCGCCGTCCTGAACAACGGCGAGTCCAGCAGCAACGAGAGCTCCGGCATGAGCTCTAGCACCAAGAAGATCATCGGCGGTGTCGTCGGCGGTGTCGGTGGCGCCATCGTTCTCGGCGGTCTTGCCCTCGTCGCATGGAGAGTCTGGGGCCGCAAGAGGGGCAGCCCCGAGGAGGAGGACGACCTTGTCGGCGGCACCGCTCACCAGCCGCTCAACTACGAGAAGCGCAACAGCACTTCACCCAACGACATGTTCCAGCGCAACTTGGACCAACATCACACTCCCGGTGGACGTGTGAACGCAGCCGCCAACTTTTAGGCCGTGCCCTAGCGGATTGGTCGTTACGAGCATCACGAAATCGCCCAGTCGAGCATTTCAGCGGAGTTTCTATTCTTGGAGTGCGTTTTGATGTGAGCACACGGTCCTTATTGTTTTGAAGAAGTATTTAATGCGCATCCGGGTATATCCGACAGTCGAGTGTTTTTTACGGGTGCATATGAAGGGAAAGGGAACTGGAAATGAAGGGGCGGCGGTACCCCTCACTGGAGGCTAGGTTTTCCTCAAAATATTCCCCCACCATACTTTTCTTCTGTTTTTCCTACATAGAAGCTACATACCTAGTTCGATCATTATTGGGGCGGTAAGGTGGAATGGACCTGCAATATGGGTCAAATTGATTGCAAAGCTTGTACAGTTAGCGAAATAATTTAGACATGGACATACCCACTTAGTTCGTCATGTCCCACGATGTTTCCACTCGACTCACCCCCACTTTCAGCCCTTTGGCTCGGCTTGTTTTAACCGCGCGAACGAGGTCATGGTCAGGGTCATGGTAGTAGTCATGGTGCGGGTCAGGGCGTCGGCATCGCCGTCACACCGAAAGATGCGCATGACGGCCGATCACAGGCTTACGCCGGCCTGTTTCAGAGGCGTCTCATGCGGCCACTCAGCCCGCCGGATTGGGCATGCGCGACACGCGCGACAGGGCTTGAAGCTCCCGCAGCTACGGATACGTCCCGCAGCCCGCGCTTCGCAAGTAGCCGGTAGCGCCAGGGCGATTGATATACGTGACATAGGTACACGACATTCGCCGCTCACAACCAACCGTCCCAACTCGACAATTCCAGTTGGGACATACTCCTGCGATCTCTTTCCTTTTTCTTTTTTCTGCCCTCCCCACGCTCGCACAGGTTTTTTACCTTTTTCCTTTTCTTCTCTCCTCGAGTCACCAAGTGGCCGGTCGGCGATCTCTCGTAGCGAGGAACCCACGGCGCACGCGCTCGACGGTCGAGCATGCGCAGCGCCTTCAGCTCCACCCGCCTATTGCTGCTTGCATGCGCGGCGGTCGCGGCTGCGTCTGCCGGCGGCGAGGACGCGCGTCCGCCGCATCGCCTGGCGCACTTGATGCGCCGCGCCAGCGCGGACGACTTGCAGACGTTCAATGGGTCGTTGGGCGGCGCGTCGGCCGCTGCGATTCAGCAGTCCGGCGATAGTGAGCGCGTGTATGATGTTGACGGGGAAACCTTTGTGAGTTGCTGCATTCTTTTGATGATAGGAGCAGGGTTGTGGGTCTGGCGTCGTATGCTGGGACTACTACCTAGATGAGAAGAGGAAGAGCTAGGTGCCGGGAAGGTTGAGGCGGGCGGCGCCGTTGGGGGTGGTTGGCTGGCGGGGATGAAGCGGGGAGGGCACTTCCGGCTTAGAGCCAGATCTAGGATGGACGTTGAGTGCTGATGGGTGTATGCGGAAAACAGGACCAGTTCTCAGATGCGGCGCAGAGGACATGTGATAACCAATTTAACGAATGCGCAGATGTGAGTGCGACCTTTCTTTCTTCCTTTGCTGACGTGCATCCCTCTTTCCCTGTCCGGCTCCTGCGTCATTCCAAAATAGGAATCCGGGCACTTCACGTTAGCATGGAACACTGACCTGTACCATCTTCCACAATGCACACCTCGAGCCACGGCTAACTCACTGCCTACCTAGGCTGCCAATGCAGCGGGTAATAAGGGCGATGTGACGGTGGAGAGCTGTACGTCGCAGAAAGAGGACTGCCAATCGGTGCAGAGCGCCGTCAGTATCACAACGTTCGGGGCTGCCGCAGTCGTCTCGACGACCTCGACCTCGACATCTTCGTCCTCTTCCTCATCCTCTTCCTCGTCTTCATCCTCGAGCTCATCGTCATCGTCATCTTCTTCTTCCACTTCCACGTCAATGTCCACGACAGAAGCAGCAGCACCGGTTGAAACCACCGCAGCTGCTCCAGCTCCGGCAGAGACGTCACCAGCTCCGGCAACAGAACCTCCCGTAGAAGCAACGACAGCTCCAGCAGCGGAACCTCCAGCAGCAGACTCCACAACAGAGGCACCCCCCGCAGAGCCATCGACACAAGCACCGGCAGAGCCACCAACAACAGAAGCCCCCGCACCAGCAACGACACAAGCGCCGCCACCACCACCACCGCCGCCTCCATCATCGACATCAACCACGGAGGCACCAGTCGTCGCACCGTCGACCACTGAAGCAGCTGCGGCGCCCAGTACGACAGAAGCACCGGCCGACCCCGCGACGGAAGAGCCCGTCGCACCGAGCACGACGGCCGCCGCAGCCGAACCAACCATCTCCAATCCCAGCGGGGAGGATGGGACGGCGGGGACCATAAACCTGGGGCCGGACCCCATGTTCCCGGAATTCGATCTCATCTGCGATGACTGAGATTTCCGATCTAACGATAGATACGTGCAACTGAGCAATGACGTCTGGCTAAGCGGTTGGATATGTGTGTGAGACAACCTCTGGCAGAAACATTGTAGTACTATATGGCGTTTGGTGGCGACTTTTTCCAAGACAGAAGGAAAAAAAAGGAAACCTGGTTGGAAGAAGAAACCTCTTACAATTGCAAAAAAAACATCTGTGCTATTTCGCGACTAACCCAGCCCCAGCCATAAAACGCCTTGACCGTACCCACGAGCCCATAAAGTCTTACAGAGAGACGACTCGATGATATATTCAACGCAAAGAGAGACAAGGCCAGCCTATGCCTCGCCGGCCCTCTCGCCACTCTTTGCGTCGGCGCCCATGCCGCTGAAGGGGCATACACCAGCGGGCTTGTCCTGGTCGGAATCGCTCTCGCTGCTCTCGCCGAGGATGCGCTTGCCATGCAGGTAGCCTTCGCGCTCGACGACGGTCTCCATGATCTCGTCGGCGTACTCGTCGCCGTCGCGCACGTACCACTTGGCAAACAGGTCGTTCTGGATCCAGATGACCTTGTTGAGGGCCTTGGTCAGGGCAATCTTGCGCGACATGTGCAGGCGCGGGTGCGACAGGATGGCCTCGTTGAGAATGTCCTGGATGAAGCTCAGGCACGCGCCAATGTGCACGTACTCGACGTGCAGCGGGTGCTCGCGGCCGCGGCCCACGTGCATCATGCTGGCGGGCGGGTGGTCAGCTGGCTGGTTTGCTTGTCGGTCTAGCGGGTGCAGATAAATGATAAATGAAATGAAGCGAACGGACGAGAGGGGCGGCGAGGGGCGAGCGGCGGGACCATGATCCTTTCCCTCCTAGCTCTTTTTCCCCCTCTTACACACCAACGAATACTTGGAAAAAATAGGGGATGAAACAAACTCACCCGACCTTGTCCAGGTACTCCCAGAACTCCATCTTGCTGGGATCGGAACACAGCTTGGCGAGGTAGCTCCGCAGGAACATCTTGCGGTGGAGGATCTGCGGGCTGTCCTCGCCGGGCTGGTCGTCCATGGGGCCCTCGAAGCTGGTGCTGCGCGTCGTGAAGGCCCGCGCCGTAATGTCGTACTGCAGCAGCTTCTTGTAGACAATGTTGACAATGGCGGGAATCAGCGCCTTGATGTACTTTGCCCCCGAAATCAGGGCCTCGATGTCGTCTGCAGCTGCGCGTTAGTCGTGGCGGGGGCGCGCGCCGGAGAATATGGGAGGAGAAAGACGTACTGGAGCTGAAGTCGAGGAAGGTGTGCAGGTACTGTATCCGCGCCTCCAGGTTGGTGTAGATGTCTTTGCGGTCAACATGCTGCATGGGGCGCGAGGGGCGGGACTGCATGGTGGGCGAAAGATATATAATAGTATAGGTATACTTTGGTACGAGCAACACGGGATGATGAGGGGTATTCTTCAGAGAGAGAGGGACACGGCGGCGACTATATAGCAGTGGCCCGCGTCTCGGGTAAGTACATAAGCATACTACGGCGTGCCTTGCTACTCCACGCCTCTCATGCCCTGGTGGTCTGATATGAGCACAAATGGCCGCCTCGTCGTTGGCTAGGCCGGTACTGCCCGATCATCCACCCGGGCCGTGCGAGGCCCTTTCACCTGCGACCATGAGAATGGTAGGTTTGTATTCTCAAAAAGAGAATAAAATTTCCAAAAGAGCCTCATGGTTTCTGCAGGTTAGCTGTCTGCATGCGTACATAGTCCCTGGGGGTTCGCCCGGCGCGTCGGGATTCATGATTCCATCCATCTCACGCGACCGCAATCTCCATCAATCTACTCTATTCGACCTTCCACCCTCCCCACAATACCAACCATGGCCAAGAAAAACAAACTTCCCACCCCCTCTGCTGCTGCTGCCTCGAACAAGCGCCGCCGCATCGCCGCGCCCCCGCCTGACCCGCCCGTCGCAACCTCCACCTCCGCCTCCGCAGCAGCTGCCGCCGCCGACAAGCCCACCACTACCACCGACAACAACAATGTCGCCGGCACAAGCACGAACACGAGCACGGGCACAAGCTCAAACAACCCCCTCTCCGACGCCATAATCCACTTCGCGCCAGGCTCCAAGGTCCAGCAAAAAGTGCGCAGCGTGCTCGCCGCCCTCAACACCAACCCCACCACTGCCACGAACAACAACAACAACAACAACACGGGCGCAGTAAAAACACCTCCGCCGCTGCCGCCGTCCTCGTCCTACCCCGGCGTCGCGCACCTCGAGGCCCGCGCCCCCGCCGCCAACAAACTCGTCACCGTCCTCGAGATCGCCAAGCGCCAGCTCGAAGCCGAGGGCCGGGCGTGGTGGTCGTATGCGGGCGTGCGGGGCGAGCTGACCGTCGTGGATCGGGCGCCGAAGGCCAAGGCGAAGCCGACAGAAGGAGAGAAGGAGAGCGAGAGTGCGCGGAAGGGCGAGGTGGGGGATAAAGCTGAAGCTAGGGTGGAAGAGGACGACGACGACGATGAAGATGCTTTTGAGCCGCTCGGGAAACGCGCCTTGCTGCCGGAGAAAAAGGTCAGGAGCGTGGCTGTCATGGTGGCATATTTGGCGACGCAGCCGGTGCCGGCGCTGAAGGCGCTGTACGGCGAGCAGTGTGGAGGAGCGTAGGGCTTTGCCCAGATACGGCAATGGGAAAGGAAAAGCTGTGGGTTATGGGATATCTGCAGCGGCGGATTCAGTCCCGTAATATGCGCATGTTGCGTCATGAAGGTTCAGAGGCTTTTTATTGCTCCCAGGCGTTCTGGCACAAAAACTCTAGATGGGGCATCACACAAATAAGGACATAGAGAGTATATACCCGCGCGCAAGGCCTCGCAGGCTTTTGATAAGCGCAAGAAAAATGCGATAAAATGCTTGATCTACCATGCCCCACCGCCAACCAATGTGGACATCAGGCTTTGATCCCAACTCCAACGCCGCCACCTTACGCCTTGGAGCTCTCGTTCCTCTCGACCAGCTCGCCAACGCCCAGGGCCCTACCGACCTTGACCTTGACCTTCTGCTCGCCATCGCCCTTCTTGCCCGCGGAGCCGACGGGCTCGCCCTCGTCGGCGGCCTCCTCCTCGTCGCTCTCGTCGATCATGGCCTGCCGCAGATGCGACAGCTCCATGCGCATCGAGTAGGCGTCCTCGCCGTCGGCGTAGTACTTGGGCTCGATCTTGTCGACCGTGAAGCCCAGCGTGTCGCGGTAGAGGCGCAGCGCAGCGTTGTTGGACACGCGCACGTGCAGCGACACGTAGTGCGCGCCGAACGTCTCGGCCATGGCGCGCTCTTTTGGGCTGTCGTGTCAGCTCGTGTTGTTGACTGCGCGCTGTCTCTCCGTCCGTCTGTTTGTCTGTCTATCTGGTGGATGGGATGGAGGGGAAGTGCCAATAAATGGACGATTGGGCTGGATTGGACGCTGCGTGTGGGATTACGAGAGATCACTTACGGCTTTGCCTCATCAGCTTCTCGGCCAACCCGAGCCTACGGTGCGTGCGCATGACACTCAAACTCGTGATGTGGCCATGTTGGATGCCGTCCGCCGGGTCCTCCTCCATCTTGGCCAGGACATAGCCAACGATCTTAGGGGGGTCGTATGGCGTCTTCGGGGGGCGGGAAACCTTGGGGCTATGTTAGCTAGGGGGTCAGGTGATTGGCCGGTTGGAAACCGGCAAACGAGGCCTCGGCGAGACAAAAAGGCTTCCAAACGAGAGAGTAATGAGATGGCGGAAATGAAAGAACCGTAGTTAGGCTCGTCTGCTTGCGGTACGAGCAAGGCGTTTGAAAATGCGACGTTGCGAAAACGACGTGTGGCCAGAGCAGAAATTGGAAAAGCAGAAGAGATGAACGCAGAAGAAAAAAGAAGAAAAAGCAACGAGCGGCTACTTACATCGACGGCGACGTATGAAAGCTGGGGCCAGGAGAGGGCGTGGTAGAGGTAGTACTTGCAAAAGTAGTTCTCGGGCAGATTGGTGATGTTGGCCATCTGGACATGGGGGATGTCCGACGGCTTCAGCACACGAATATCCATGTTGCGTCGGGCTGGACGGGTTGCAGCAAAAGCGAATTGGGGGATTAGCTGTACAGTGAGGACGCGCCAGGCGTGGGGAGGTGAATTGCTGTTTTTGGAGGACTGCGACTGTCAAGTGAAGTCCCTCATCGAGTGAGTGAACGTCAAACGCTCGCTTAGTCCTTCGAGCCAATCAGAGCCCAGCAATGGTCGTCGCCAGGTCCGCTCCATACATTCACTTCATCGATGCTGTTCATATGGCACTTTCACTATGCTTCTCGCCTTGCGCCTTGAAATTTACGTATGCAATCAACCTTCTTCTTCTCCCGACAACTTTCCATTGGACAGCCACGAACAATCTACCAAAACACCGCACTTCTACAACCGATACATCAACCCTTTTCGCATCTTCTACAGTCGAATTAAACAAATGTTCAGCTTCATTTGCGGCACCTTATTGGCGGTCAAGGATGTCGTCAGCAGTACCATCCGTATGTCTCCGATCCCTACACCATCAACCATATTGACTTCACTCCCATGTAGGCAACTCCAGTAACAATGCCTTCCAGCAGAGCCTTCCCGGCGCATGGCCTACGGATTGCCATGCCACTCCCACCCCGGATCTTCACAAAAACCGTAACACCAACAACCGTCACGAAATGCGTAGCGAACACCACGCCCGAAAAATCCTCGAGGCGCGCGCTCGCCGCCGTCGTGAACGCCGCACCAAGAAAGCAGATTATGCCAGTCGTACATACGTCGGACCATCTCAGTGCGCCCAAGCTATCGACCTCGCCATGGAGAATTTCCGCAGAGGCATGGATGCCGCTGCCTTCTTGGCTGGCCGTGATGCCATCAAATGGCCAATGCTTATTCAGACCTACGTCAACAACAACCGCGATGACTACAATACCGGTCCTGTCTTCAAGGAAGCTCTGAACACAATCAGAGACGGCGCGGAGCGCGCGGTCCACCATATGGTTGACGTCTGCGGAGAGGCTTCTCGTTCCCTCGGCGAAGTTCAAAAGGATCTTCATCCTTTATGCCTCCAACTTGATTCACTCGAACAGATGTACGACGACCGTGTCCGCGAGGAACTTGCAAAGGCAGAAGAGAAATGGTATAAAGAGAGGAATTCCATTAAGGATGTCTGCTGGGAAAACTTCTTAGTCGATCAGCGGGCCTTGAATTTGTACGGCATGCCAGAACATGTCAGGCATGCTGAGAGCCAGAGATATCTTCAGGAAGAGTACAAGCAACGCGAGGAGGATTTGAAGATGCAGCTTCGAGAGCAGTGCCGTCTGTACGAGGCCATGCTTGCTGCCGACAGGAAAGAGGTGAGAGAAAACATGGAAGCAGCGGTGGAGAAAGCTAGGGAGGAAGGATACACCCACGGTATCCGCGAGAAGCGCAAGGTCGAAGAGGAAGCCCATCCAAGCGCGCCTCATGCTCGCAAGCGCAGACGCTATCAGTAGCCGACATTGGAGAAGAAGCGCGCACCGTTTAACTGATACACAGCTAGATGTCGACGAAACATAGGCTCTTAGAAATGAGCACTTACACAGTCCAGGGAGGAAGCGAATGCTAGGAAGAGCCTCACAGTTATTTACCTAAAAAGGTTACAGATGAGAGGAGGTACGGGGATCTTGGAGAGCAGTGGCCAGAAATCCTGTTGCTTTTCCTTCAGAGCGAGCCAAGTCCAGTTAAAGTTTGAACGAAATTAGTTCCTGTTTATATAAAGAGAAGCGGGAGATACAGACACAGGCTTTATTAGATCGACTGCTGTTGTTAGTTCCTGCGTAGGTTTCAAATAAAGCGGACCCCCCTAAACGTTCAGGGATTGGAGTCGGTAAAGACGTAAGTCAGTATATCACTGAAACGAGATACTAAGGGAAAAGAAGCAAAATAGCCGAATAAGAAGGAATAGGTAATACGGTCCGGCACCAGTGGACGAATATATAGCTCAATCAAACTACAAGCGCTTAAGCAATATGCAGCAACGATATCAAGTTTCAAGAAACTCACCCGAGGAGCGGGGTAATAGTTTATGCATACAGTGGGGAATCCGAGCGTACCCCAATTGTGGAGCATGCCCACCTATTCCAGCTCGTGGGCCGGTTGTCGAGGACTCGAGATCCGAGACGCACCAGGTGTATGTTGTAGATAAGCAGCAGGGGTGAGTAGAACAACAATCCGCGCTGAGCAGATCAGCGCCTTCATCCAGTAATCGTTAGGGCAATTGCAACAGCGGTGGTCAATACAATTACCCCTAGAATAAATTGGTTTAAGAGGTTGAGCGGGGAAACTCGCAAATGACCGATTATATCGGCATTAGGAGGCTGCGTGTTTATCGCAAATACCTGTACCATACCTCAATTATTCTCATGCTTCAACTGGAGAACGTAAAAGTGGTCGGCTTTCACCAGAAGTCGTTGCCAAAATCGCGTGTACCAGGGCAGGAAGAACAAAGGCCTTCAATTCGAAGTAGCAACCTAGCAGAGCCTAGATAACTCCTTGAAGATCCTAGCCCTAGAAAACGACTTTTTCCCTTGCCATGACATGTCCCGCCGAATTCCCAAACCAGTTCCTTGTGTCCGACGATAGCAAAGCGTGATGCACGTAAGAGGCCCGGGGGCTCGTGGTCGAATCGATTCACGCGGCGGCCGCAAATGAAACGAAATGCCGAGGATGTGGTATTTTGATTGAGGTTCCAGCTAACCCGCTGCTTCGACAAAACGCCAGCCCTGGCTACATGCAAAACCCAAAGACGAAGAGAGAAGGCGCTTAGTCGAAGAGACCGAAGCCCATGTCCTCGTCGGACTCCTCCTTCTCTGTACAGATTTGTCAGCGACAATCCCGCGCAATTTTGCAGGCGCGTGAGAAACTTACCCTCCTCCTTCTTCTCCTCCGCGGCGGGGGCGGCCTCGGCAGCACCACCGGCGGCAGCAGCACCGCCAGCGGGGGCGGCAGCACCGGAACCGGAGCCGACGTTCAGGAGAAGCTCCTTGACGTCCTTGCCCTCGAGCGCCTATTGTCCCAAGTCAGATCCCACTTCGTTCCCAATTATTCCAACCAATGCCGTTGTCGCATACCTTGGCGAACAGGGAGGTCCAGATGGGCTCGACCTCAGGAACCTTGGCGGCAGTGATCAAGGTCTGGAGCTTGTCGGCCTGCGACTTGTTAGCACGCGGGACCTCGAGCGGTGCGGTGCGCAAGGCGACTGACGGTGATCTCGACGCCATCGTCGGCGAGGATCAGGGCGGCGTAGGAAGCGGCTTGCTCCTGGATGGACATTTTGGCGGTTGTCGGTGGGTTTTGGGGAGGGAGTCGATGATTGTCGTAGCGTCGTAAGTCGCAGTGATTTTGGCCGCGAGATGTTCGAAGTTGTGCCGGAACGCGATGGGCGGACATATGATGTTCCGCAAGCGAAGACGGAAAATCGTTGATACGCGCTGTGGCCCCGCGGGTGGGAAGCCCCGCATCGTCATGCATGACATCGCCAGCAGCAGGATACCCGTGCAACGTCCTAAGTAGACCTGCGGAAGCGAAGGGCACCCGTTTATGTTCCCAGCATGACCGACTCGCCTGCGGTGAGAGCACCGCTAGACCCTACGGAACAGCCTGTTCTCGATCAACTCCTCGGCGTACGCACCCAGCTTGAGCTCCTGAGGGCCGACAAGTCGACCTACGTCAAATCCGAAGATGTTATCCGCCTCTACAACCAGCTCATGGAGCAAGTCGAAAAGCTCAACGGCCTCAGAATCGACAAGCGGCTTGAGCAGAACAGAGGCAAGTATTTGTTGTTGCCTTCCTCTTTGATGCGGTCCTGCGGAAGCCTCGGAATTGCGGGTATCCAGCATGTGATCCTGGATCATGTACTTGGACATCACCGCGACTATACTCGATACTAATTTGCTTTATCGCAGTGGACACTGTCTTGGATGACTGCTTCCAGCTGATATCGCTGGCGTACATGGCGATAGGCAAAAATCATGAAGCTCCGGCAACGTACTCTGCCGTCTCCACCATGAAGGTACCTAGAATCCTTCACGCTTCTCCTCCGAATCTTCACTAACACCAGTATAGCGGCTATTGGACCACCTTTGGGAAGCCGCTTTCTTCTCGCCAAAGGATCTTGACGGGGTTAAGCACCGGCTAGAAGAATATCGCAGCTCGGTGGAGAGGGGCAAGGAGACTTACAGCCCGCACCTCCTCACTCTGCTCGAAGCGCGTATCAACGTTTGCCAGCAACTACTCAACAAGCTGAACCACTCACTGGAAAAGCTAAGCCCAGAACTGAAGCCAACTTACGAAAAGTTGGTTTCGATATTAAGATCGCTTTCAGCTTGCAACACCAAATCCAAAGTAAGTCCCTATTTTCGATATTCCATTGGAGATGAGTACAGCGTGCTTTGTCGATAGTTTAGGAGAATCATATCATGGCTCCTTTCGACTCGACTCGACGGTCGCCTACGCTGCCTATGTCCACCTTAATATTATGCTATGCTATTTATACGAAACTGACGCCATATACAGTACCCTGCGTCAGAAGTGAAGGCGTTGCATGAGCAATTGAAGGCGATCGAAGCTGAGCTTCATGCCGAGAAGACAGTCGATAAGGATCTCCAAAAGGAGGACCGTATTGCCCAGATGATGCAGCACATGCAGGTCCGAGAGACGGAAGATGCGCCAGAAGGAGATGAAGTTGTCACGGACCTGCTCACTCGGTGCTTCCTTTGGCACGAGCTTATAGAGCAAAAGTAAGCGAACCAGCGGCCCGACGCTCGGCCATTGTATCGGCGAATTCTTTTTGAGATGCTGACCGATTCTCAGACAAGGCAAGATCAACGAGAGGTTTGAGGATGCTTACAAAAAGTTACTCAATATCCGGGGCCAACTCGAGAAGCTGCAACTTACGCAGGCCTGGTCCTTACGCGAGACCGATCTCTACAGCTTCCAACGGCAGTTGGATCGCATCGATGAGAGCCGCGTAGATGGCAACTTCCAAGACAGTGAAGGGAAACCAGCGGATATCCATGCTCAACGGGTCTGTGTCCTACTTGACCAGTCCATGAATCAGGGCTAACGATATTGCCAGACCCTCCTTTATCTTCTCCGCAAGAGCTATTCGATAATCTACTTCCTCATTATCTCTTCCGAACCTGTCTCGGAAGCTTTGCTGCCCATATACAACCAGCTCAACACTCTGAAAAGATGTTTGGTGGAAGTCAGGAAATCGGGCGGCGTTTCTTCACCCCGGGAACTGTATCCATACAGCATGAAGGTATGTTTTGTCTTTCTATTGGCGAGATTCAGACACAAAAGCCGTGAACGCTGACATTAGAATAAGCTAAACTCCATTGACAACATGCGCCAAGACGGTAAATTCATGATTGGGAATGACATCCCCGACGGCCAAGGCGCAGTGAATCACTTGTTGGCAGAATGTTTTGAGCTTGCATACGAAATTCGGATAGCGGCAGAGGAGGAGAACGAAGAGGGAAATGATGAGGCGCAGACTCAGGAGCTCGCGTCGTCCACGGCAGAATAGTTCTCTTTTCCAAATTTCCATTTGTGTATTAATTAGACAACGTTTTTTTTTTGCAAGTTTGGCGTTTCGGACATACCAGAGGATGCATTCTGGGGCGAGGCCTGGGCGATTACTTTCCATCAGAGTTCTCAGTAGTCTTGGAATTTCCGGAATCGTCTTCGGCTGTCGGAGAAGCCGATCGTGTGGTCCTGGCCCGAGGCATATCGGGTCTTTGCAGAGGTCCGTTTGCAGTGTGATATTTTGGGGATTCTATCCCTTCACATGATTAATTGAATCAAGCCGTTACTATCAATCAATTTGTATGTTGGACAAAACCTCTGAACCGTCTCCTTCTGGCTCTTCTGTAGGGGCATCTACGTCTTTGAACGATAGCCTATCGCCATACGAGATGCCTGGCACAGCATTAATTAGTCAGACCGCCATTTGCGCAAGAGAGGGAGGATACATGCATAGTTCTTCACCGGCCTTGACATCGCGCAGCGTCTGGTACCTCACAAGCAGGTGATCTACGTCACGCTCCCAGCCGACGTTCTGGTCCCTGGAATGGTTGAACATGGAGCCTAGCCCTAGTACCACGGCCTGGGTTATTTGTTTCTCGCCGTTTGACGAGTGAAGCGGCCAATTACTGCAGAGGAGGGTAAGGCGGGTAATCAAACAAAAACAAACATAAGAAGAAAAACTTCGGCGCAACATACTACGTATAGTGGTACAAAGAAGTGTGCTTGACATGGCTTTCGTTTTCCTCAACGCCCAGAGGTAGTACAGGAGAGATTTCAATCACGGTCCGGGCAGGGATGTCTTGAGCCGCAAAGACTCCTCTTCCTGTGTAACTCAGTGTCAGACACCCTTGTCTCCCATTCGGCAGCTTACGAGCAAGACTGAGATACCTTTGGGCGTCGTTAGGGCAAGTACAAGATCCGCAGATCTGCGCAGGGAGACAAGGTCCTTCGTGTCACCCTTCATATTAAAAAGCAGCCAACCGCGCGAGAGGACGAACCTGGGTAGAGTTGGACAGACGGCAGCAATCCGTGTGGTCGTGTTTACAAAAATTGATGCCTGATGTGGAGAGCACGGTCCAGGCGTTCCCCGGTCAAGCTGCCGCCTCCACGTCAGAGCTGCCTTGAGCTTGCGCATTATTCTCGCTCCCGTCCTACCCTGCCATGGCTCACCAGAGCGCCCTCTCGACCAGCGAGGGTTTGAAGGGGCCGCACACAGTCAGCTTGAAGGTATTGCGGTAGGTCCTTCCACCCGCTCTTCCCAGCCGCTTGGGCTTCCGACTGACACCATACCCACCTAGGCTCTCGCGGCCCTCGTTGGCGCATAGCTTCCCTCTCCCGCAGCCGACTGCTCCCGACGACCTGACTATCTCTCCCAAGGCCTCCTTGGCTTACCCGACCGCCGACACCGAAGATCCATTCATCATCTCCCCGCTGTTGAAGCTTCCAGAGGCATTCGGTAGCGCCTATGTGGGCGAAACCTTCTCATGCACACTGTGCGCAAACAATGAGATCCCAGAGGGCGACAAGAGCCGAGCCATCAGCGGTGTAAGGATCGTTGCAGATATGCAAACGCCCTCGCAGCCGGACGGCGTACCGCTGCAGCTCTCCCCAGACGACCAGAACCAGGACCGGCAACCCGGGCTGGAGTCAGGGCAATCGCTGCAGAAAATCATAGCGTTTGAACTGAAAGAGGAGGGCTCACACACGCTTGCAGTCACGGTGTCGTACACGGAGACGCAGCTGGCCGGAGAGGGTAGAGCGGCTGGTGGGCGTGCAAGGACATTTAGGAAGCTGTATCAGTTTGTGGCGCAGCAACTGATCAGTGTCAAGACCAAGACGAGCGAGTTGTCTGGAAAGGGTGGTCTGAACAAGTTTGTGCTGGAGGCTCAATTGGAGAACTTAGGCGAAGCAAACCTAAGTCTCGAGGTAAGAAGGGGCTGAGACTAGGACAAAGAACATGGCTAACGCCTCCACTGCAGCCTGTCATCGTCCATGCCGAAACCCCTTTCAAGTCGCTGTCTCTGAACCAGCCTCTCAATGCTACTAGGGAGGATCCGGCCCATCTTCCAGTGCTGGGACCGGGAGATGTTCTGCAGGTCATGTTCCTTTTGGAGCAACAGGAAGGCGCCCCGGAGGCAGAGATTCCCCCGGCGGCGAAGGCAGCGGGTAGACGCATGCTGGTTCGGAGCTTGTTCGTGCAGTGGCGCAGCGCACTCGGCGGGCGTGGTTCATTGAGGATCGGGCCATTGTTTACTCGGCCTCGATGAAGCAAGCAAGCAAGCAAGCAATGAAAAGTCAAGCCCCTGAGGAGGCGAAAGAAGCAAAAGAAGCGAAAGCAATGCACATACACACACACACATACACACGCACACATACACAGATGTACCCCCACCCCCTCCCCGGGCCCCCCCGAGGGATTGGGAGAGGATACATGGGACATGGGACCCCTGGAATGGGTGTTGCAGAAGACGAGGGAGGTGATGCAGCGAGTGTCTTGTGGTAGCGTGCCGATGGCGTCGGGCGGTGGCGTTTTGGCAGCAGGGCTTTGTGGCTTGGGAGATCAGTCCGGGGAGGGATATTGCGTCAACGCAGCGATTGGCAGTAGGAGAGTAGGATGGCACGGATTCGTTTGAGCGAGACAAATATAGGCGGCGTGATTGCAATTGGCAACGAGGGCCCCTTTTCGCGATAGCAGCAGTGCTATAGCCGGGAGGAAGTGAGGTTGGGACCCTGCATGGACGATAGTTGCCTCTTGTTGCGTCGGCAGCGGGCGATCATTGGGAGACCCTGAGGCCGAGCCCCTGGCGAGGCCACAGGGGGCGCGGATACGACAGCTCACACTAGCGGGGGCCACGGCGCGCGAGATTCTGATGGGCGAAAATGTCGCGCGATGCGGAGAGGCGCACCAGATCGAGTCTGCGTTCCTGGCTCGGCGCCCTTGTGCTGTACCTTGAACCTTGCACTTGATCTGTGCCCGCCGTCCCCAGGCCTTTCTCAGATAACGGCGCGACAGGACCACGACCGCCCCCCCTCCCTCCCTCCTCTTCTCGCCCGCCCGGGATCCCGCTGCGGGCTAATACCTTCTCTGCCGCCGCCCGCCCTTCTTTCGCGACGTCCAACACCCGTCCGCCACCCGCGTAACACAACCACCTCTCCTCTACATGACTTGACGCTTGCCGCGCCCGACCCGCCAAACCCACTCGTCGCCTCTGCGCGCCGCCGCCGCTCCTTTCCTCCCTCCCGCCCTGCTCTGGGGCCCCCGACGCATTTCTATGCGCCCTATCCTAAACCCACGAATCACTATACACCATGGCCCCCGTACCACCCTCGGCAGAGCCGTCTAGCGCGCCCCTCGCCGACTACTTCTTCATATCCGGCATTGAGTCGTCCCAGGTCCACGACGCCCAGAGGTCCAACGGCGCTGCCGTCGCCCCCCAGGAATCCACCATCGAGGAGGATGCTGCCCTGGAGACCGACACCGAGCCCCGTCCCCGCTCCTCCGACGGCCTCTCGCTCTCCAGGCTCGTGAGCAATGATCGCAATTCCATGGCGAGCGGCATGGACCCTGACAATGGTCCCGGCCCCACCGCAAGTAACCGCAGCAGCGCGACCATCAAGGGCTTCCCGCAGATTGGCGGTTCTGGCTTGAGTGACGAGGACTTTGACAATGCCCTGCGAAAGTTCGCCGCCGAACGAGAGACATTCCTCGAGGAGATACAGTTCAGCGCCGGCACGCTTGCCAAAGAGGACAAGCCGAGACCGAGGCCTAGGACGCAAAGGATTGTGAGCGAGGATATGGACGCAAGCGGGCTGGGCGTGGGCATTGGGAGCATCAGGAGAAGAATTAGCACCATGAGCAGTATGAAGAGGCAACCAAGCATGATGCGTACCTGTAAGTCGATGATACCTTCAAAGTGCATAAGTCCAGGGAGATCCAGCTATGCCATGTGCAGGCACGGTCTGCTAACGTACGCCTCAAGCTTCCATTCGAACTTCAAGAAGAATGAGTGGATACAACTCCGTCATACCAGCTCCGCAGCCTTTCCACCCTACGCCCAATATGCACCCCCTGAAGAGACGGTACGAGCCGGTGCTGCTTGATAGGTATCCCCCTAAGAACATGGTGGACGAGCTCAAGAGGAGGAACCCCTTCCCCGATTACGTGCCCATGTTCGCGTTTCCCAACGACGTGAACGTAGTCTCTTCAGACGAAAGGCCGCGGTCAACTTGGCATGGATTCGCCATGACGAACGGAGATGGATCCAAACTTTACGGCATTTGTCTGACGATCTGGCTTCCCCTGAACCCGGTGGCAGCCGAGGAACTGGAACGGCAGTGCGAGGAGTGGCGAAAGGCAAACATGACGCCAGAAGAGAGGGAACTAGCAGGCAGCCTGGGAGAGCGACTTGCGCTTGAGCGGGCCAAGCTGTCGAGGTTATTGGCCCAACTACCCACGATACCTTCGGGATCAGAGGACAGAGAAGCGCTGGAGGACGACATCAGCGCAGTTGAGGAGAAGATCAGCCTCATGAACGACCTGCTGCGGCCCGTCCGGCACGGCGCTGCGTCGAAGATCGATGGGCTGACTGATGGCGAGACCGGACTCTGGATCCCACGGGCGTACGGCGTGCTTGGACGGGACGGCGGCATGACCAGCTTCTGGAAGGAATGGCTGAGGGCCATAGTCACACCAATGACAAATGGTGGCATCCTCAGGGTTCCGGCGAGCTCGCCCCGGATTGGCATGTGGCAACCTCTCGAGCGCTATGTTGTAAACCTCTGCGCAGAAGCATTGAGTCCCATTTCGTCAATCACCCAAGTCGAGCTTGCTGTCCGGGAGCTGCGTATGTATGCCCGGAAGGAGGCAGCCAACGAGATCCCGGGTTCCCGCAACACCGACCTCTACGCCTTGTTCCGCTGCCTCTCGATCCAGAATATAGTCGCGCTTTTCGAATGCGTTCTTACCGAAGGACGCATTATCCTTTTATCCTCTCACACGAGCATGTTGCACCTTGCGAGCGCGGCCATTACACACCTTCTGTATCCGATGAAATGGGCAGGAGTGTTCATCCCCGTCCTACCGTCACGCCTCATCCAAGCTTTGGAAGCACCTTGCCCTTATATTGTGGGTATTGAGCGTCGCTACGAGTCTGTAGAGCTTCCCGAGGATGACTTCGTCCTCGTCGACTTGGATCAGAATGTTATCGAAAGCACTGCACCGCCTATTCCTCTCCCTCGCCAGCAACGCCGGAAGCTTGTCTCCCTCCTTCAACTTGCTGCGCCTCACCATATCAAATATGGCGTCCCGGTCGGCCCTCCCGCTTACGCCGTAGACGCGTTCCCCCATGATTCTTTCTCTTCCGAAAACACATCTGTGTTTACTCACCGGGCGCCTCGTTCCACTCTTGCTACGTACGTCAGCCTCAATTCAGCATCGTTCGGGACCGTAGGAGCCACTGGCACATTGCCCCGGCACTCTATCTTCAATGCCTTTTTGCAATCTAGGGCTGAAAGTCGCGGAGCTCCCGAGAGCCGTGGAACGGTCGAGAGCCGCGGAGGCGATAGGCCTTCTACAAGCTCAACTGCTACAAACTCCACCAGGACTAACAACTCTCCTCCGTCTCCGAGGACTTCTCCTACATCAACTGTGTTCCCTCCGCTGCCCTCTACTCCTATTTCTCGCAGCGATTCTGGCTACGCCTTGCAAGCGAGCCTCCGTGAGAAACGCTCCGGGCACTTCGATTCATCGTCTCGGAGGAGCTCTTCGGTACTGCAAATACTTCACCATAATCTGCGTGCAAAAGCTAACAACGTGAAACAGTTTGGCGTTGAAAGAATGAACACACTGCGCCGGCCAAGTCAGCCATTCCTTGGCCATTCGTCGAACTTGTCTACGTCCACTCTTAGCAACGAGATCACTTCCTCGTACGCTCCATCGGTTTATGCCCAGTCCACTATCGCCGCGTCGACGATTATGCCCACCGGCATGTCCCAGACAGTTCGCAACACCGATACCGTGCAATGGATCGAAGGCCACTGTATGCAGTGGAGATCACAGGACGAGAGGACGTCATGTTCCGTCTGTGACGAGAAATCAGATGAGGGCATTTACAGGTGCTCAAGTAAGTCTTTTTTTGACACGTTCGTACCGATGCGTTTGATTGACATGAATTACAGGCTGCAGTGTAAGCGCTCATGCGCGGTGCGCGCATCAAGTTTGCTTGGTTTGCCCTTCTGCCTTCCATTCTGAACAAGTCCGAGCGGCTTTCGTCCGCTGTTTTGCTAGTTTGTTCTACACGTACAGGCGCTATTTGGGACAACCTGGATCCGACCAAAAGAAGTCGGGCCTACTCTATCATTTCAATATGGAAGGGTTCTTGAAGAGTATGCCGAGCGAGAATGCAGAGTACTTCGCCATGCTGCAACAGACGCAAGGTTGGTGTCCCGCCATTCCCTGGAGGTTAACCGTACTAACAATCGTCATGTAGCCTTCAATGAATTCATCCACGAGCGGGAAACCATTCGGCCAGATGACCCACAAATCAAGCTTTTCGATCAAATCATTCTCTCCAAGAAGAACCGCGGTCGCACCTCCATTTTCTCCAAGTCCTCGACGGACTTCCTCAACGACACCTCCGACCACCTTTGGCGCTCGGCTTCGGCCACCCCGCCGAGTGCTCGTTTCCCTGGCGACTACCGCCAAGTGATCACCCGCATCCCAGCGAAGCTCGACCCGACCCTCATGAAAGAGCCAAGGGTCATCCAAGGCGTACCGAGGATTCCTCAGCAGAAAGCGAAGCGAAAGCCGATTCCTTCTATGTTGGGTAAATGAACTGAATGACGAAACCTCCACGATCACTGTCGACTTTCCCTACAGCATTTAGATTCTTCAGGCACAGGCATTCGCATTCCGCGAATTGCATTCAAGGCTAAGGCCGCCACATCATACAGCTCGTTTCTCTATTCCTACAAGTCGTAAAAATCTCGGCAACAGAGTTTCACTGTTGTCGAGGAATTTCTCACAAAAAGCATTGGAGCCCTTAACTGGGTTTTTCTCTGTAACCAACAGAGTCGATCGAGCAGCAACACGTCTAGCTCGATCTCTATTTTCCTCTTCTTCTTGTTTTCGCCCTTTGGTAATCCCTCTGGGCGATGTTTTTCTTTGCGTCCTCAGCGTTGGAGAGTTTGGGCGTACCTAGAAATTTTGGGGTGTTTTGTGTCTCTCTTTTGCTACTCTCTTACAACAGTCCTACCGCTCCAAGCAAAAAGCGGTAAAGGTCGGTTTGGATTTACTGTCCGTTTTGTTTTGCATTTTCTTTGTCACTGTTTGTGTTGATCTGCAACGGTTTTCTGTTTTGGATTTTTTATTTATTTTGGGAGGACTGCTCCAGCGCTTTCTGCGAGCTGCAAATTTCTTTGTTTTGGGTAGAAAGTCCCCTCGGACGTGGGGGACAGCTTCTTTCTGGTTATTCCCCAGCGGGCTACGGGTTGAAGCCGCATCTTTGGAGGCTCGAATAGCAGCAGCAGAAACGGGTGTTGCTGATAGTGGGGTGGCCTGGCTGCGCAGAGTAGGAGCGCCGGCGTGTATTATAATGCATCTGGGGAAGATAAAGACATCTCCGCCAGCGTAGTCTTAGTGTCGTTCCAAACAATAACCAACATTGTGTGCTAGCGAGTCAAGCTTTCTCTGGGCGTGGACGCGTGCGTTGGTGGCCTCAATCAGGGTCCTTCTCGGTTCTGGCAGCCGAGCACAGACATGGGTTGCCTGTCTGCGTGTGTGCGGGGTAGGTCAAGGCCGAGGGACCCTGTCGATCGTGGCCCTGCCTTTCCCCACTACATCCTTCAGACTTCTCCAGACAACAGTCCGTATCTCGACTCGAAAGGATGCCATACCAGCTCAAGGGCAGGAACGTGCTGATCACGGGCGGTTCAAGGTATGATGAGACGGCGAGAGCAGCCTTCATGCCATCATTACCCTGCTTCCGCTGGCGGATAGTACTAACGCTATCTACGCACCTTACAGAGGCCTCGGCGCTGCAATTGCCCGTGTCTTTGCTGCGGAGGGCGCCAATGTCATCATCAACTACGCTTCGCAGGCCGCGCCAGCAGAGGCGTTGGCAGAGGCGTTGGTGAGTGAGTTCGGCGTTCGAGCGCAAGCTGTTCAAGCGGTAAGAGAGTCACCCTTCCGTCTTGACATACCCCTTAAGTTTCTCGGCGATGAAAGAGTTGAGCAAAGCAATGAGGGCTTAGAGTGATGGTCATGGGTAGAGCAAGGTCGGCCGAAGGCTAGACATTCCGGGAATTGGAGATTAAAGCCCGAGTCCGTAACTTCTCCCTGAACCCATGACCTCTGACTTTATCTCAGGACGTCGGTGTTGCCAGCGAATGCGCCCGTTGCGTCCAACAGACAATCGATGCTCTCGGTGGAATAGACATCATAATCGGAAACGCGGTATGTTTTTTCCTGCGCCAGTCGTAACTAACGTCCGTCACCGTCAAGCAAGATTCACCGCCTAACGAGATAATGACGCTTGTACCGAGTGGAAGAAGATATCCAGTCAAGGTGTTTATAGTATATGAGTGCACTAAAACCTTTTACTCAAATCTAGGATTTGGGCCTCTAGCTAGACAAGGAGTAGTCCGTAGGGACTGTTTGTATCATTCCCTGTCTCGCTAGACGGTGAATCTCGGTTGACGGCGACAGACGTAAGATGTTTGTGTTTGAAGCAAGCCAGCGATGACAACAGAGTACACGAAACCTTCACTTACCCTATTTCTGAGCATACAGGGTTATACCAAATTCGCTCTCTTCGAAGACCTCGACGCGTTGAGCGAAGATGACTGGGATAAGGTATAGTTACGCCGACGCACGTTCCCGTGTCGCAGTCTGCTCATTCATTGGTATGTCAGTGCTGGGCTGTCAACGTAAAAGGAAAGCTGGCCTTACTGCGTGCTGCGTTGCCAACGTTCCGTGCCAACCCTGAGGGCGGCGTTTTCCTCATCACATCATCAGTAGCGGTAAGTTTCCTTCGTAGCAAATGAAAGGTTTTGGAGGCATCGAGAAAGCCCCTCTGACAAATAAATTTGAAGGGCGTCTCTCAAGCTGGTAGTTCAATGGCGTAAGTAGCGCCTCCATTGCTGACATTTGATGGATGTCTCTGCTCATTGTGGTCTACGATCCAGGTATTCTGTCACGAAAGCAGCGCAGCTCCATTTGATGAAGTGTCTAGCCTCTTCTCAAGGAGAAAAGGTCCGCATCAATGCCGTACTACCGGGCCTGCTATTAACAGAATGGGTATGGATTCACAAGCCACACCCGTGACGTTATCAACGGCCCAGTGGCCAGTTATTTCCTCCATCTTCTGTCGTTACTCTCCAACACCCCGACCTCCTGCCCGTCGACTCTTTCATCTCGGCAATTTCAGCCACTAATAGCCACTTAGGGCAACAAATACGGCGAAGAGCGCATCCAATCTTTGAAGGAACGCTCAGTTCTGAAAAAGGAAACCGACCTCCAAGATTGTGCGAATGCCTTTGTGATGCTGGCAAAGAATACGTCCATCACAGGACAAAAAATCCAAGTTGGTGAGTTTGTCGCTTTGCGCAATGCTTGTAATCCGCCTCTGACTCACCACCGTTAGATGCTGGTCTGTATGTGGCAGCGCCATAAGAAGCACCATGGCCATGACATGGCGCCAGTCGGGAACTATGTGATGGGTGGTAGAGCGCAATGAACCGTCGTGACACGTGGCTTGAACGGTATTTAGGAAAGCATGGCCATTTAGCATCCGTTTGGTGCCATGCCCGCCTTGGAATGCTTGATGCCACCCTTTTCAAATAAACTTCGGACATTGGATCTCGTCTCACGCTTGAACGGAGATGCCTGTCTTGTGCGCCCTGGTAGGAGTAACGTTTTTGCGTGACCCTCAATCATTTTCTTCGTGTTCTTCCGCCTTCTCCGTCTCTTCCAAGGCTCTCATCAATTCCTCTACTTGGCGAGGGTCTTCAATGCCCCAAACGCCGCCGCCTTTGACCGGCCCTTTCATCCCTACTTCTTTACCAACAAGGTTGCGTCCAACCTTGCCGGGCCCAATGCCAATCCACCTACGCACTTTCTCTTCTTTGTCCAGATACCTCACCGAGCCCCACCAATCTACTGTCTCGACGCACTGTCTGGCTAGCAAGTCTTTCAACTCCACTTGCGTCCGAAAGGGGCGGGCGGTAACATTGGATATACAAGATATGGTACCGGGCCAAGAGATAATGTCCTCGCCGGTACTCTTGGATGGGGTATCTAGTATGCGCCTCATCTCTTTTTCGGCCGGTTTCATGAGCGGTGAATGAAACGGGCTGTCGGCCTTGAGCCTCACAGCGCGTGGGTCATGGCCGCCGAACTGGCGCAAGTGGGCAAGCAGCGTACGAATGCGCTCGATGCTTCCGCTGAGCACAATTTGGTTCTTGCTGTTGATGTTGGCTATCGATACCTGTTGGACGGCGGGTACGTCGTAAGCGCTGTCTTGCTTGGCGCCCGGGCTAGAGTGGCCCAGAAACTCGCGCACGCCGCTAACGAGCGCATGCATGTGCTCCTCGTTCTCGCACACCAGCGCCTCCATTCCCACTTCGCCTCCGCCAATGGTATGGGACGCTTTTTTGGCGCAGCGCGCCATGACCTCAGCTCGTCTACGGACCAAACGCAGCGCATCGGCAAAGGAAAGGTAGCCGCCGGCGACCAAGGCGGCAAATTCGCCGAGGGAATGGCCCAGGGTGAAATCACAGCGCTCGTGCGGTTTGAAGCCGAACTCAGACTCGAGTGTGCGCAAGATTAGGACCGAGGTAGCCATGATGGCGGGCTGGGCGTTCTCCGTAGCAGTCAGGGTGCTGCTGGGGCCATGGGCGATGAGACGGGCGAGAGAAAGGTTCAGAGTCGAGTCGATTTCGTCGAGGATAGGCTTGACGGTGCGCGGGAAAGCTTCAAGCCAGGGCGTGGCCATGGCGACGCGCTGCACTCCTTGGCCTGCGGATGCGGGATGAACACTCGGCATGCAGCAAGCGAGGCGGAGGGAGGTTACCGGGAAAGAAGAGGGCGGTGCGTGGGCGCAGGCGGCGGGCGACCCTCGAGCATGGGGAGGCCATGGTTGTGGTGTGGTCGTAGACGGGATGGAGGTGGTGAGAGTCGTGGTCGGTGGAGAGGTGACGCGCGACCGAAAGCCGAAACGCGGGGGGAGGCGGCTCGGCTGTTTGGCGCTTGCCGTCGGCCTTGCGGCACATGGACCTTCTACAACTCTCCCTCCTGGCTCTCCATGGTGCTCGCGCGCGTCGCCGACCTATACATCCCGTCCTCGTTCAGATATCGCCTTGGCTGCCAGACGGACCGGATTACGCGCGCTGGGTTGCCGGCAACCACCGTGTACGGTTCCACATTCTGGCCCTTTTGTCAGTCAACGCCCCCCAATGCTGCATCGAGCGTACCTTGGTTACGACCGACGCCGCCCCAACCGTCGACCCTCGTCCAATCGTCACGCCCGGCAGGATGACCGCCGCCCCTCCCACAAAAACGCCTTCTTCAATCTTCACCGCGCACCCATAGACTGCCCCGTGCACGCCCTTCCGATCACGCATGTTCGTGCTCGCCGTTCCGGCGTAAATGCTTACGTTCGGCCCAATCACACACCTCGCCCCGATCGTCACGGCCACCGGGTCGACAATGGTGCACTTTTGCGCGATAGTCACTTCGTCTCCGATCGACAGGTTGTATCCGTATTGGCAACTAAAAGGCGCATCGACGCAGACGTCCTTGCCCAGGTAACCGCGCGCCGGCGCATTCGGCGGTCTTGTGCTTGGAGGGTCCAAGATTGCTCGCAACATGCTTCGTTGCTCTTCCGGGCTGAATCCATCGGCTTCCGCATCATTAAAGTCACGTAGCGCTGATTTGCATCAGTCACGATCCTCGACGAGCTGTGGGTTGGAAAACAGGTAGAGCTCACCCTTACGCATAATTTGCTTCTCCGCAAGTGGTTGCGGCGGTAGCACCGTATACCCCGGCCGTAGAGTTGGTGCCGGTTGCACTGGTGGCGCCATTTCCGATGGTGGTGCTGGTGGTGTGGGCTGTAATATCGGCGTTGGCAGCGCTATCTGCGTCGTCGGGGCCGTCTGGGGCGGTTGTGGTTGCGGTGGTTGCGGTGGTTGGGCTGGCCGTGTGTATGACGCTGACTGGGGCAACTGAACTGACGATGTTAACTGAGCTGGTTGTGTGCTTGACAAGTGATGATGGAGGGGTAGTTGTGGGCCCACGGTGGCTTGCGTCTTCTCTGTGCTATAGCAGCGGGTCAGTCAACTGCAATCTTTCAAGGAAAACTCCATGGGCGGAGGCTACCGACCCGTGCATCTCATGGTTTGGAGAAATCGGACGAGAACTCGTAGGCTGATCAGTTCTAACAGGGTTTATGAAATCCAATCTAGCATTTAGTGCTGACTCCAATGGCCTACTCGCCCTGAAGGCCTCGTTGCTGAAAGCATGAGGTTGTGCAAACGGGGGGCGAGCTGTCTCTTGCGCCGTTAGCCTCCAGGCACTCTGCAAGTTTGCTTGGTTGCGCTCTTCTTCAATAATTGCTGCTGCTCTGGCGCCATTCATGGGCTGCTGAGACCTGGACTCCGGCAATGCTTCATGGTTTTGTCTAATTCTTTGTCAGCTATTCCGTGTCTCGGGCTGGCGCAGCGAAAGATGAAGCACTAACCTCAGATACAGGCCCAAATAATCAGGGTAATCAAGTTTTGACTGCAGATAGAAGTGGTTTGTCATGCCCGGCCTGGTCCATGTTGATTTTGTGAGGTAGCCTTCACACACGAAGCCGCCTCGTATGCAGTTGTTGCCTGTACGCCGGTCAGCATGTCGGCGGGAGCCGGGAGTCGTTAGGCCTACATTCGGGCTTTTTCTCGTCGCATTTCTTTTTTCGTCTCCGACAGGTCTGGCAGCCCGTCTTGGTGCGATTGGCAAAGGCCTGGCTGGGCGTGAGTAGTGCAGACGTGTCTCGCGGAGTGCGCACGCACCCTCTTCCTGTTCTTTTTCAGGTTGACCTGGACGCCGGCCCGTGTTATGTCGAAGCCGTCGGCGGGGCGGGCTGCATCGTCGTCCGGGCCGTCGTCGTCATTGCCATGGCCGGGGGGGAGGTGCCGGGGCGGGGAGTCGACGTGTTCAGGCTCCGGGTGCGAGGGCTCACGGTCCTTGGAGTTGTCGGCATGGTGCTGGCCCGGGGCGCCGGTGGGCGGAGAGGCGTCGTCCGACTCGGAATCGGGGGAGTCGGGGGCAAACCTCCGACGCGGGCCGTATGGGAAGGGAGTGTCTGGGTCGTCGTCGAGAAGACTTCGTTTCCGCTTGGCCGGGCTTAGCGGGCGGGGCTCTGGAGGGTAAGGATGGCCCTCAGACGGGCTTGTCGGGGCGCCGTTGGGCTTCGGGGCGGCGGGGGACTCGCGGCCGTTGACGGCGGTGAAGCCGGCGCGAGGGACGGGGGACATGGATAGTAGCACAATCAATCGAGACGGTCCTGGCGCTGGCGCATTGCGCGCTTAGCCGAAGATGAGGGGGGGTTTGCGGCGGGCGGCGGCGGCTGAGAGGCGAAGCAACAGTAGTGGAGGGAAGTGAGTGGCCGCTCCTTTTGTCTTTTCCCGCTGCCGGGCGCCTGTTGCGAAGCTGGCGCGCCAGCCCTCCGCCCGCGCTTACACCCCCGGTCCTTCGCGAGTCGCCGCTTTGGCGCCGGCATGCGCGGCTAGGCGTCCCATCAATCATCTTTTTATCTACCTGTTCAAGAGCCTCTTGAATGCCTCTTGAATGCCTCTTGAATGCTTTGCCTTTCTCTCCTTTTCTTTTTCTTGTCCTTTCTTTTCTTTTCTTTTTCTTCTTCTTCTTCTTTTTCTTCTTCTTCCTCCTCTTTCTCTCCATTCGCGCCCTCTCTTTCTCTCTCTTCCTCTCTCTCTTTTTTATTTATTTTTAAAAAAATTTCCCCCAAAAGTCGACACTCAACCCTACTTCCTCCTCAGCCCCCAGACCCACTTCCTTCACAGCGTTAAACTGAAGCAGCCCGCACGTGCTCGTCGGCGATCGTGAGCCTGGCCAGCTGCTGTACCAGGCGTGATGGTGGCCTTACCTCTTGTGTGTAGGGCGGGGGCGAGCGTTTGTTCCTCTGAAGATCTAGTGCAGGCGAGATTGGGTGACTGAGGTGCTTAGCGCGGCACGCGTCAATCATGGTGTAGCTAACTAGCTTGGAGGGGAGCTGGCGGTAAGCAAATGCCCGTGATTTCGTATAAGCAGGGGGCCAGGAATCTGCCGGCCGACAACAATGAATGGGAGTCGGAGCACACCGCAAAGTGGCCCTTACCCCGATGTGGAATCTGCGCGGCAACGCGGCTGCTACAAACCTGTCTACCAACCTAGTGCCGACCTACTCTTCACTTCGCTGGCCTCTGTACTTGTTGTCAAAAGCCCTCCCAATCCCGCATCTGGCTTCCTCTTGGAGACAAGCCGAGAGGCATACCCATGGTTGCATGCAACCACCCACCACAAAGCAGAGCCGTCGACACTGCGCCCGCTACACGGCTCCTACACCCACGGCGTTCCCGATGCTGCCACCGTCCGCTACCCGTCAACTGTCGTACAAAATCAAGTAACCCACTGAAGAGTGGAATGAGTTCAAACATGGGTTGGGGATAACAACGCGTTGGACGATCTGACAAGAACACGTCATGGCCTGATGTTCACGCAGTCTAGGGAGTAGCTTTGACGCTGATGGATGCCTTCAGGTGTCACTGTAGAGCGACCATGTCCCGCGCAGTTCTCGACTCTGATACACAAAAACACTAATCACCGGACGGTTCAAAAATTCTTCAACACCGAACGATATGCGCTGAGGCCTGAGATTGTGCAAGCGTGTACAACGGTACACTCTTGCCGACGTCGAAGATTTTTTGGTTTTTATTATTCGAATCTTCAGAGCTTCGCCAGCAAGCCAGCTAACCTTTACAGAATGCCAGCAAACCCGACACGGGCCAACCGACGCCCACCGTCCCATTACTGCCAACGCACTGCAACTTCGGTTCTTGTCGTCGATTTATGGTGTCCTTGGCGAAACATAGCAGCGGTGTCCCTGTTTATAGTTGTGCGGTTACATCCGCGCCTCGTGGCAGGATTCCGATGGGGTTACGGGACGGCGCGACCCGATCTCAGTAAACGGGCCGCCACACAGATTTGATTTAAAGCGACGCTATCGCGGAAACAGATTCTTGGCCTTGTCGGTAACGCTTAATGCCAGATGTGTCGCAAGTTGGCAACGGCATATCGCTTTGGTTATCCAGATATATTCTCTTACAGATCAAGGGAACCGCAGGATATCGCAAGACTGGAGACAGTCTGAGTGACGGGAGAGGTTTGTAGGGACTGGCGCTGAACGATAATGAATTCGCTTGTTGGTAGGACCTGCGAGCGAGGTCAGTGTCGTTGATACTCCCGCACGAAACACGGGCGATCAACGAAGGCGAATTTTGCAGTATGTGGCGGCACATCGCCATTGAGGCTGAAAGATGGAAATGAGTGATGCCAGATCGTGGACGGTCAAATGCTTTCTTGTTGTTGGCTTGGAGCAGAAGGACCGGTGGGTTGTGCTAGAGTCTGGAGCAGCAAGTCAAGAGAGAATTTGGTCATCGAGATTACAGCTGAATATAGTTCGCCACTGGCAAGCACCGCCGGCAAATTTATGCCGATACCATCATAAGTGCTCCGATCGGTTTGATCTGCGACTCACGGCTACACACAATACAGATTGTATGCGCATTGGATTGGAATTCGGCGTCTGTGCCTAGGCTTCTGAGTCGCAATTCATTGCCTCCACATATACAAAAACTTGGGCTGTTTGCGACATCGACATTTCTTACTCCACAACGGCCCCATTCCAATATGCGCTACACCCTGTACGAATGAGTTCGTTATTTGTGTGGAAGCGTGCGACAACGCTAAGCCCCCGCCAAATTTTGAACTTCGGATAATTTTAAAAACAAAGAATAGCAGTAGGCTCTATAGACTGCTTTCTACTCCATTATAAGAATCCAGTGAGATTTTGTATGCTGGTCGCTGCCTGCGCTTAGTTGAAGTTGGCTTGAGTTGGTGGACCGCTTCCTCACCAAAAACGAACTCCTTCGTAGTGCGTACGAAGGTCGAGACTACGCTGATTGGGTAGCGCGGATGGGCCCGGAGCCCCGTCCGGTCGATCACTGTCAATGAGCCAAAATGCCAGTAAAGGAGTGAAAACCGACGGAGAACGCTGTTAGTTAGTCATCGTAGCAATTAACTGGTGCTCTCTTCACTAAGAAGCATCTGAGCATCGACTCACTTTTTGGGAGTTGTTTTCTTGTCCATTATTCAGTCGTCGAAGTCTGGATGACTACTAATCAAACTCAACACACCTTTTGTCTCTGCAGCAACAAACTATAGGTACTGCGTTATTCTCCCAGGGCAAATCAGCCTATCCAGGCCCATTAAAAGAGTAGTCAAGATCTTGAAGATCTGTTTGAAAAAAAAAAAAAAAAAAAAAGAAAAAAACTAGACGGACTTACGAATATGTAGAGCCGGAGATTTGCTCAAAGCAAAGCCAAAAGCTGTACGTCGGTTGATACAACAGGAGAGCAAAGCGTTGAAGCCGAGAATTGTGACTAAGCTGTCTTAGAGAATACGCATTCTGCCAGTTTCCTACTTTGAAAGGTTAACAAGTCTGCCTTTTGTCAGGTGATTGGATCTTTCTTGTCTATGTTTCATCTAACCGTTCCTGTGCAGCTGGAGAAGAAGCGTGAGGTTTTATCTTCTTCAAAGACATAACAATGGTCCTTACTACGCATCCTAACTCAAGTATAGATGTTAAAAGATACTTGTTGAATCATTCCTAATGTACTTTCGAATGCTCGCGTAAGCGGCCATGTACAAGTTTTTGGATTAAGACTATTATCAGTAAAAGCCAAGTGTTATGGACAGGTTTCCGGTGTAAATTGGAGTATCTCCTCACGTCTTAGATGTATATAGTAATGACCAATTATGTGCTGTCAATAATCGAGTCTCCATTATGACTCTGGCCTGTATGCCATACATTTAAATGTCTCCAAGCAACACAGGGGAGATATTAACTTTTCTGTCACACTCCGCGACAAAATCCAGGGGCCCGTCATAGAAGCACTGACAGCACCTGTTGTTGGTCAGGTCGGCTACTTGGGAGGGAAAACTGTTGGCTGGATGACAGGCCCAAATACCCCGCGGCGAAATTGGACCGATTAATGTTTATTTGAGCAAAGATGAGGTGCGGGTCATGATACCAAGCGCATGTTTAAGAATGGTGGTAATCAACCAGGTCTTAAGGGGTACCACTGACTTGGTGCATAGCCTGTACACGTTCGATGGACACTGGTATCATGATCCATATCTGTAATCTGTGAGGTGCTTTGGGCACTCCATACAGAGGTCGCTTGATCGTGTGGCTTGCAGGAATTGTAGTCCCCGTGGTGCAATTGATCTTGGTCGGGGACGCGTCCGCTGGTTTTGGAATGACTTTCCCATTCATTCTCTGGAGCTCGATCTTTTATAGTGTGTTCATATTCGGTTTGTGGCCAGCTGCATTGAAGATGATGTTCGTAGAAAGACGTATCCGTGTTGTTCGAATATCCCTGTATCTGATCCAACATGGAGCCTCGTGTTGAGGCAGTCCGCGTAGTGTTAGATGATCCTAGCTCTAGAGAACTCGATTCCAAACCAGGGAAAAAAGATACTTCTGGCTGCACAAGTGGTAGCCAAGAGAAGCTCTGTGTTTGCAACGACATTGGAGATAGGGAATAAGCTGGAAAAACGCCCTGTGGATTGAAAAACACGGTAGATGGCAGTACTGGAGGCGTGCTGGAATCCGAAGAGGCACTAACATCAAAGCTACCCGGAACATTGGTCGTTTCTTCCTGGACGCAATTGTCGATTGCGAGTTTTCCTTTCATACTCAGTGGATACACTTTGCTTCCTTGTCGACTCCAAGGTTTTGCAATGGAAAGGTTATTCGATGAGACCCCGACAGGGTTGTTGTCTGCCTTCGTAAATCCAAATTGTATGGAAGTGATAATATGTGATGCGCCCACGGGGAGTGACTTGTTGAGTTTTTGCGCATAACGATGAATGATCATGACGCACTCCGCTGCGAACGGGTGGTTTGTGGATACTCCGTAGAGGTCCTCTATCCCCTGAAGAAGCTTACGAGACGCAGCTTCCGAAGGGCAGTCATGGAGGTGTGCGATACAAGCCCATATGAGGACATGCATTGTCAACTGCGCACCACAGCGAACACCATACGTGTTTCGGTAGACTCCCATGATATCTGAGATTGTCCCTGCAGACTGACTGCGTATCTCCCGCGGTTTGAGGTTGGTGCTGTTAAGTATGACGTTTGCAAAGAAGTGGAAAAGTTGAAGGACGCAACAATGATAGCACATACTGCAAATGTTAGCTTTGTTATAAAACATGTAACCCTTTTAGCGGTAGCTTACTGAAGAAGCAGAACGTGTGGTAAAGGTGCCGTATGCGTTGGAAGATGTTTCACATCTAGGCTCAATTCTCGTGGAAGTGTTTGATACCAGGACTGATAGCTCGTCCAGCATGATAGCACTTTTGCGGACGTGGCTTGGCTTTTAGAGGCGTAACAGATGAACACCATTTCGTTCATTATTTCTGAAAGACTTGCGAAGTGATAAAGGAATTGGGGCACCGTAGGCCCTAACAGTATCGTTGCCGGTGTTGCGGCCGTCGAATCATTATATGGCTCCCATGCAGGTGACTCGACATAATTCGCCAAAGTAGATTTGTCCAGGGTGATGGCAGAACTAGGTAGGGAAGAAACACGCCCTATACAAAGACCCCAAAGACTAGCCAAACATGTTAGTAACTCGAGTCTGTGATGCAAGTAGACATATAATCGTTCGTTCCAGTTAGCGCTAAATCAAAGTACTTACACGTCGATAACGAAACAGCCCCAGAATGCAAAACTACGGTCTACTAGTTCCCTCGAGTCCAGCTTTGCTTCCTCTTCAGGAGGAAGAGCAAGGTGAAGACCAAGCTCTATCGCCATAGCCATGCACTGTCGAATTAATCGGTAGCCACTACTGTCACGACATTGTGAGATTTCTCTCAAGCTCATAATCGCAACTGCCTGCACCGTGGGAATAGAGGATGTCTCAATGCAGTGGAGGAGCCTCTGAGCTTCAGCGAAGAATCTGTTGCCAGCTGTGCGGGGATCTTGGGGGTTTTCGCGTGCCTCTGGTCTGTCTGAATAGTGGCAGCCATAAGACAATATTGCATTCACCAACAAAGCATTGCAGTGCCGCGTGGTTCCCTCCTGGAACGCCTCGTAGAATAGCTCTTTAAGTCCAACCGGATGGAATGGATGACTCCACGTAAAGTAGAGCCTGAGTATATGGTAAACGAACTCAATGTCTGTCGTAACAGCCGTCCAGGTCTGGTTTCCATGGTGAGGTTCGGTAGGTACCTGCCAATTGTCTTCCTGTTGTTGTATATCTTCGGCCCGGAAAGAAAACATTGATGTGGAACCATAACGCCTGACGCCATCGGAATGAGACTTGACTACGTTTTCGGGAGCGGGGGCGGCCCGTCCTTGAGAGTCGGATCGAGCCTGGTTAAGGTTGACGGTTTGCAGGTTCTTAGCCAGTGCTTCGATATTATCGCAACCTTGGATCTGCCTAATGAGGGTCGCCGCTTCATTTTCTGGAAGGCTTTTCAAGGAAGTGACCAGCGAACTGAGCGCTTCTGGCGTTGAAGTCTCATGCTCTTCAAAGTTTCGTTTCTTAGTGGAAGGTTTGTCTGCATCGTAGTTGCACACGGTCTTGTAGACTGCTGAACAAGAGGAACATGGAGTCGCTCCGTCACATTTGCTTTTTCTCCGGCGACAGGCCTTAGGTTGTTGTCCCGGTTGTCAGCTCAACTGACTGAAACAAGGGGCGCGGTGCACCACACTCACAGTGCAAGCCAAGGGAACACATTTCCTTTTCTTCTCCTTTACTGTGTCTCGCTCAGAATTTTGGCCCCCTCCGCGGACGGCATTGGGCGCTAAGCTCTTGTCCATGTTGGAGTGGGGACCATTATGAGGCGACCGGTAGCGGATTGAGAAAACTGCTGAGATTAAGCAAAAATACGACGACAGCAAATGAGTCCGGCCTGAGCCTCGGCAAATATATCTCGTCGATCCCAGGTAGCATGCAGAACGGGTGGGGCGGCATCAGCGTAAGAGAACAGAAGCAGCATGCGAGTTCAAACCAGCAAAACGGCCTTCAGGAACATTGCATTTCATTCAATAACGACCTGATCGGCGAGTTCCGCCCATGCTCCCAAGCTCTTCTGGCTCGGAAGTGGCAAGCACTGATTGACCAATGTTGATTGGACGCTTGTCCAGAGGTTTACATCACCCGAGAAAGGGAACCCCTCGGACTTTGCACGCATGTCACAGGCAACGTCCCTCTATCAAGTGCTCTCATGCTAATTGGTTAAGTTACGTGTAGCCACGGCGAGCCGGTCCGAAGCGACTATCGAACCAGATCAGTGCTAGACTCCGATAACTACGGGAATGGCATGTGATGGTTGACTCTACTCGTACACAGTAGGTAGACCTAATCCAGCTTCTCCTCGCCTAATGCCCGCCGTCATCGGTGACCTGCTCCCGGGAACAAAACGCGCTTGGCCAAAACCTTGATGGATCGTCCTCGAGTATTAGTACGGAGTATAGCGTCGCTCTAGTGAGCACTTGCGGAGTCTATAGGGGCAATTTCCATGCGCCTTTTCATAACTTTATACATGCTCCACACACCCTCCACGACCCGCTCAACAAACCAAGAAAACTTCGCAGCGAGCCTCCGAAGGGTAATCACCGAGATTCTCCCTCACGTCCCCAGTAAGCAGGCACGCAAATTGATCCCATCCGCTATCCATTATATTGCCTCATGCTTGAGCTGTGCTGCCCGTTGCCGGCACGGTTTGCTTCAGCGGCGGCAGCATGCTTCTCGCCGACTGCCTTGCCTGCTGTGCAAGTACGGCGTCCATGAGAACGAGGGCGGCCATCGACTCGACAATTGGGACAGCACGAGGGACGACGCATGGATCATGCCGACCCTTGGCTTCAAGGGTACCTTCCGCCTCGTCATACGTTGCCGTCGTCTGAGCTTGGCCGATAGTTGCAGGCGGCTTGAAGCCTACAGTGAAGTAAATGTGAGCGCCGTTGGTGATACCGCCCTGGATACCACCCGAGTTATTCGTCTTGGTAGTCAACCTGGGACGAGGAACTGGAGAGTTCGAGCCAGACGCGGAGGGCGGCATGGCAGGCGCCTTGATGAAGGGATCGTTGTGAATAGATCCTGGGACTTGGCAACCTCCAAACCCAGAACCAATCTCAAAACCTTTGGTCGCAGGGATGCTAAGCATAGCATGCGCCAGCATCGCCTCCAGCTTGTCGAAGCAAGGCTCGCCAAGACCGCTGGGAGCATTTCTAATGACACACGTAACCGTTCCTCCTATGCTGTCCTGACGGTCACGGTACTCCGCAACGAGCTTTTCCATGCGCTCATTGGCTTCGGTGTTGGGGCAGCGCGCGGGAAGGAAGGAATCCACAGTTGGGCGATCAATTTGGTTTAACAGATCAAGGAACTCTGGGTTAGTGGAAGCTGTTGGGTGATCCGGTGTAGGGGGGAAAAGATATTCTTTTCCAATCGAGGCAGTGAAGGCCACAATTTCAACACCATATGCCTCCCTCAGATACTTTTCCGCAATGGCTCCAGCAGCAACACGTCCTGAGGGCAAATTAGCAACCGTTGATCTTCGAGGACTAGGTTTTCTCCTCACCAATGGTCTCTCTCGCGCTACTCCGACCACCGCCGCTGCTTGCCTTCACACCATACTTCTCCAGATAGGTCCAGTCCGCATGGCTTGGCCTGGGGTAAAGGTCCATCGTGCTGTTGCCGTAGTCCTTTGGTCTCTGATTCTCGTTCATGACGCGCATGCCAATCGGTGTGCCCAGAGTCACGCCAAACTCGGTGCCTGACTGTATCTCGACCCGATCCTTCTCGTTCCGCGGCGTGGTGATCGCACTCTGTCCCGGTCTGCGGCGCGTCATCTGAGGCTGAATGTCACCCTCGGTGAGCTGCATGCCAGGAGGGCATCCATCCACGATGCAGCCGACCGAAAGGCAATGAGATTCGCCATAGCTATACGCAGTGTCAGCCCCGTAGCTGAAAGCAATGCTTTTGAACGATGAGCGGAGATACGTACGTCGTCACGCGGAAGTGCTGCCCAAAGGTAGACATGATGTTGGCTAAGACAGGTGGAAAATAAGTTTTCGGCGTAAATTCTTGACTCTCTTGTGCTCGCGACTGTACTTCGTAAGTAATGGGCTCGGCGGTAGATATGGCTCCGCCGGCGATGACTCCAATGTGCCGCTGAAAATGAAGGCTTGCGCGCTATCGATAAACGCGCCGTCATCGGCCGCCCCGCCGCACTTCGAAACATTCTTTAAAAGCAACATCGAACATGATTACGAAGTACTGTACTTCGTATGAGGCTGATGTGCGCCGGAAACCATCGGGCTTCTCGGATTCGACCAGAAACCCGTGAAGTCGCTATCTTACTAAAGAATTGACTGCATCAACTTCCTCCTGCTTGCCGCATTCCTTCCATGAGCCCAACGATGCCTTCTGCCATACCACCTGCTTGCCTTTCTATCATTTCAACATTGACCCTACCCAACGCATTCTGCATGCCGTCCACGACCTCCCTGTCCTCGAGCACCTCACCCATGAGCCGACCTTCATCCATCCAATACGCCTCCGACCGCTCTCGCAAATTCTTGTCTCTGGCCACGGTATTCTTCATTGCCCCCAGCATTCCCAGCTTGCCCTTCAGAGCCTCGACCATCCTTGTGCTCTCTTCTAGTCTCTCGGAAATGCTCGGAGGCACGACCAGCCATCGATTTGTTGATGTCAAGTAAAGTGCAAAACCAAGCAAGCCGTCAACGCAAGCCATGCCGATGTAGCGCATCGTTCTCATTCGCCAATAGAAAGGCTCAATGTCGCCCAAACGGGTTGCTATCGCGTTCTGTTTGTGATTGTAGGTCCCTACTATCCAAAGTTCAAGGGCTGCCAACGCAACACCAGCGATTGCGGCCCATGTCCTCCAGCGGGCTCCTTCGGCGCCAGAAACAATGGAAGAGGTGACCACGCCCAGAACAGCAAGGTGGAGCAGGTGTGGAGCTAATATTGACGGCAGCGCGTAATAGAAGTAGCTCGACGGCTCGTCGGATGTGCAAAACGGACATTCGGCCAGGACATTAGGCCCGTACGCTAAATATAGCAGCCTAGACTCCAAGCTGACGAACTTGGCTTTCAAGGTATGGTCGAGAACAGTCGGTTCGTGAATCGTACGCAACCGCGCAAACAGTGTGTCGGTAGGAATTTGAAGGCGTGAGGACGTCGCGTAAAAGACATTCTCCGGCGCAAAGTAAGGAAGCGAGTAGAGGATAGCAAAGAAGGCGAAAGCATAGAGCAAATTCAGCGACCTTGCTACAGCATAGGGTATGGGCCTGACGCGACTATGAGGGCCTTGCGAGGATGCGCGTATCGACCTGTAGAACTGCAGGGCCTTGGGGAGAATAACAGGTCCAAAGAATATAAGGAGGGATTTGATGCTATGGGAAGTCAGCTTAGTGATGGCGGTGGTAAGAAGCGCAAGCTTACGTCGAAAAAGAAATTGCCACCATCTTGCCCGCAGCACTACTACATACGAGCGCGAGTGCGAGCTGTTGACGGGAGAGGAAGAGCATCCAAGCTCCACGTTGACCTCCCCGGTCTTGGCTTCAGACTAGCGCGCGGCTTGACTCGCGTAACGCGCGCGTCAGCGACATCCAGCAACTCAACACCACCTACTGCTTGCAGTCCTTCCTGGCCTTGCACCCGACCAGCCGCACCTAGCCTACCACTTCATGGCTGTTGACTTCGGTCCTTGAAAAGGCTCTTTGCGTCTTCAGTCGCGACCTGCCACGATGACGGAACCACGGATGCGCATGCGGCACAAGGGCCAGCAATTCGATACCAGGGACTGTATGCGCCCAATATTTCTTTGTTATATGAACGCAGATGACTGACGCACTTATAGTGGAAGCATACCTCGTGGCTTTCGGTGATGACTGGAATCCACTGCCCGAAACCGTGAAGGTACTGGATGAGATTATCACCGAGTACGCCGCATCAGCTGTTCGCGAGCCCATGGAAACACCGCGCTGACGAGCATTATAGTTTTGTCATCGAGACTTGTCACGAAGCCGCCCTGTGCGCATCATATTCTCGCCGTGCTAAGATCAAGGTCGACGATTTCAAGTTCATCCTCCGCAAGGACCCGCTCAAGCTGGGCAGAGTAACTGAAATCCTAAATAAGGAGAAGGAGATCCGAGAGAAACGGAAGGTATTCAACGTCGATGATGAGCAAATCGGAAAAGAAGAGACCAAGGAGGAAAAGAAAGCCAAGAGAAAAGACGACCGGAGAGACGAACAGAAGGAAGATAGAGTCGCGAAGAAGGTGAAAAGCTCCAAGGATTGAACCTGCTCAGACGACTGACCTAGGTTGGACTACCGGGAGTTACACTGCATAAAACAGGTGAACGGAGTCAGGCGAATATCATGATCATGGATGCAGAGGCGTTAATGGGAAGACATTTGTTTTCATGACCAAATTACTTCTATTTTCCTACACCTTGTTCTTCCGGCCTCCAGTCTGCATCATATTTGCTGGTTACCACTTCGTCTACCTTCAGACTTTCGTCTACGATTTCTTTGCCGTTTATCAGGTCGTTGTCGGTGACTCGCTTGTGCGCGTCGTCTTCATCCTTGGCAATCCCAGCTTTGACATGCCTGCTTACAAGCCTCTCCCTGGCTACGTCAAAATCCACTTCAACAAACCATGATTCGTCCATCAATTTGGCTGCGTCTCGCCAAGGTTCTCTATCGAGACTCAAGTAGTTACCCTCAAATACGAGGACCCGGGTCGTCGGTGCTATGGCAATGTCATCCGCAACGGGATCCTTGACAGCGTGGTCGAAGCTAGGTGCATATAAGGTCTGGCTTTCAGGTGTGAGCGGCTTTCGAAGCTCTTTCACTAGCTCCCAAAAGCTCTTGCCGTCAAAGGTAAAGGCTGCGCCCCGTCGCGCATGTGCCGTGTCAGGGTCAGGCATTGCATCGAGTTGCGCTCGTGACAGATGGTAACCATCCATTGGCACAAATGCAGCAATTGGAGGTTCATCAGCACTTGCGCCAGGGGATTCAGCGCGATGAAGCTCGTTGAGGCGCAAGGCAACCATGGCTGCGAGTGTCGTCTTGCCGCTGCCTGGAATACCAGACACACCGATTAACAGCCGTTGCGATTTTGGCAACTGTTGGTATTGTCCTGATGGTCGTCAGAGAAAGAACCTTCTCTGCCGTGATTGATAATTAATGGTCCTTACTCCATGTCTTGCCAACGAGATGGTTGACTTGGTCCTCCATGTTAACTGGAATTTGGTAGCTGAGTTGGACATAAGGACATGAACGGAGTTGGTTATATATCATAGTGGACCCGACAGGCCCCACCGCGGGGTACTCCGATGACGTCGGCTCGAAGGCTTAATAAATAAAACACCGCTCTCAATTAGTAGTAGTACTCAAATTATTAATTATTACTAAGATAAATAAGTAGTAATAGTATATTTAGTAGTAGATATAATAGTCTATAAAATTAGAGTACTATATAAAATAAAATAAAAAATTAAAATAAAAAATAAAATAGATAAATAAAAAAGTTAAATAAAAATTAAATATAAATATTTCTAAATAAACTAATAAAACTATAGATATTTTTTTTAAAAAGAATAATATATATATTACTAGTATTTCTTTTAGAAAAAACTAGACTAATATTATTAAGTCTTAAAGAAATAATATAGATAAACTTTATAGATATTAAATTTAGTAGAAGTTAATAAAAATTTTAATTTTAAAATTTTAAATAACTATATAATTAGCTTACTAGCCTATATAATATTAGTAGAGGTTTTTTTTTTATAATAATTATATTAAATATAGTATTAGATTATAGAAATTTAATTATTTTATTTTATAAAAAAGAAATAGAGTATAGTAGTAAATAAAATAGTTTATATTAAATTTAATATATATTTTATTATATTAAAGTAATAAATATATATAGTAAGTTTTATTATAATAAAGATAATTAAAAGTAAGATAGAATAACTAAAACTTATATTAAATAATCTAGAGTAAATAAAAAACTATAATATTTATTATAAAAGTTATTAAATTATTAGTTCTTTAATTTTTAAACTTATAAATTTCTAAAAATTTTAATATTAATTTTTCTTACTATAAAAAAGCTAGAAATTAAATTAAGATAGTAATAGCTTATATATTTAAAAGTATACTCTTTATTATAAAATATATAGCTATTTATAAAGATATATATATATATATAATAAATAATTTCTAAAATATATATTATAATAAAATATTTTTTTAAAAAAATATGATATATATCTTGCTAGAAAAAAAGGTTAAAAAATATATATTCGAGGTTTTTTTTTTAGAAAAATTATATACTTTTATTTTAATTCTTACTTTTTTTTAAATACATATTTTTCTTTTCTAAAATTATATTCTTTTTATTTCTAAAATTTATTTACCTCTTTTTTTAATAGTAAATTTCGCTTTTTTTAAATAATATATTATACTTTTTTTTTAAGAATATACTCTTTTTTTTAAAAAGAATATATTTACTTTTCTTTTATAAATTATACTTTACTTTTTTCTAAAAAAAGTAAAATATATCCTTAAAAAAAGAAGAATTTTTTTTTAAAATAAAATATAAGATATATTCTTTTTTTTTTAAAAGAAAAAGCGAAATATATTCTTAAAAAAAAATTTTTTTTCTAAAAATAAAAATCTTTTAAGAGATATATATTTTTAAAAAAAAAATATATAGTATAGAAGCTTTTAATAAAAAAAATATATATATCTAAGAAAATAAATTTTAAATAATTATATTCTTAAGATATTAAATTAATCATATAATGTTTTTATAAGTTTACTTTCTAAGATAAAATTTATTTTTTAAAACTGATTATCTCTAAAATATATTAAAGTTTATTTTCTTATTTTTTTTTTTAAAAAAAGTAATTGTCTCTACTCTAAAATATACTAAGCTTTAACTAAATTATATTTATACTTCTTATTAGCTATTTTAATTAAGCTTTATTTTTATATAGATTTATTTTTTTTCTTAAATATATTTAGATTTTTCTTTAAAATATTGACTTTTTTTTTTAAAAAAGTTTATTAAGTTTTTTTTTTTAATAATAACTATTATATATATAGCTATTATTAAAATAAATATAAATTTTATATAAATATTTCTAAATATATATATTAGACTATTAAATTTAAAGCTTAAATATAAAATTAAAAACTTAAAATTCTAAGCTAAATTTAAAACATTAAACTATTTTTTATTTCTTAAAAAGTACTAATATAGTAAAGCTAACTACTCTTTAATTTTTTTATATATTTTCTATTAATATATTATTTATACTATAACTTCGAGCTAATAGTAAGTATATAAAAATAAATAACTAACTTTTATTTACTATTTTTATTTTTATTTAACTTTTTTAGCTATTTACTCAGATATATAATTTTTTTCGTATAATTTCTAAGATATATAAATATATATATCTTAGAGTTTTACGCTATATATATAGTATTTTATTACTAAAATTATATATCTTAGAAATAAATATTAAAAAATATATTCTTAATAAATCGAATATAACTCTTAAAAAAAAGTAAATATATCTTTTAAAAAAGTTATATATTTTAAATAAAAAACATTTATTATATATATTAGGATTACGCTATTATTATATAGTTTAATTAATTTTTAGTTCTTAAAACTTAGAACTATACGTAAATATTTAGTTTAATTAGAATCTATATTCTAGAATCTAAAATTACGCGACTAATTTCATAGTCTAATTATAATTAAAATTCTAAAACTTAGAACTAGACGCTTAGTATTTAGTTTAAATAGATAGACGCCTAATATTAGGCTATAAATACTAGAAACTTTCTTTCTCTTTTTATTTAAAAAATCGACTATAGTGCTACTTTTAATTAAAACTAAGTTTCTAACTATAGAAGAGGTAAGAAAATAGGCCTCATTCTATATTAACTTACGAGGAGAATTATAGAAAATAAAACGTAGTAATTCGAAAATATCTTACTATATTTACTATAATCTAGTAATAAATAGCTATCTATTTAAAATATATATCTTAAAAAAGAAAGGTATATTTTTACTTTTTTTTAAAAAAAAAGATATACTTCTATTTCCGTTTTTTAAAGAAAATATACTAATATCTATTAGATCTTTTATTATTAAACGGCTTATAAACTATATATACCCTTAATCTATTTACGAAAATTAGAAATATTTAAATTTAATAAAGTTTCTTATTTCCTATAGCTAGGAATTTATTATAGATAACCTAGTAATTCGCCTAGTATAAATTTAATTAAATAAGTAAATTTTATATAGAAAAAAGGTTCTATATTAGATAGCTTAGAGAGCTAAAGATTCGATTTCTTCGAATATTTAGAGCGACTAAAAAAAAAATTTAAATAGTTTAGGTATAATTTTTTATTAAAAGTTTATTTTTATTTAAATAAACTAACTATTTTTTAGCCTTTTTTTTTAAAAAAAAAACTCTAAGAACTATAAGGGAAAGGAGGAGGCCTTACTAAATTTAAAAGAAATTTAGAAATAAAAGAATTCTAATAAGTTTTTTTTTTAATAATTATTTAGAAATATATTTTCTTAAAAAAAAAGCGAAAATAAGAGTAGATTCTCTTTTTAAAAAAAATAGGAGTATATTTTCTTAAAAGAAAATAGGTATAGGAGTATATTCTCTTATAAAAAAAAAAGCGAAAACACTAAAATATCTAGTAAATAGGTTTATATTTCTTTCTCTAGACGTATTTTTAGAGGTATCTATATTAAATTTACGCGAGTATAATTTAATTAATACTACCTATATAAGAAACTAACTAGAAAACGCGTTTTACTATTTATTAATAGTAATAATATTAGATTCTATTAATAATATTATTCTAATCTATTTTAGAATCGCTATAGATACTAAAAATAAAGAAAATTAGGTTTAATCCCTTTAATTTCTAGAAAAGCCTCTTAGTTCTATAAAAAAGCGAATTTTCACCTATAGAAATTAACTTACTATACTAAATTCTATTAGAATAGCTATTATTTTAGATTAAGGAAAAAGACTACTTCCTATAGTAGCTAAAACTTACCTAAATACTTAGTATTATTTTTACTAGTAGTAAAATTACTACTCTTTTTTATAATATAAATTTTTCTTAAGAAAATATATTCTAAAAATTCGAGTTTTTTAAGAGATATACTAATTAAAGAAAGCTTTACTATAACATTATTTAATAAGAATTTAGTAGAATTCTTTTATAAGTTACGTAAATCGACCTTTTAGCTATAGACTATATTTATAAAATTCCTATAGATACTTAGTTAAGAATTTAGGTACTAAAGGAATATTCTAGATTTAGCTAATTTATATTAAATATCTTAGAATCGGCTAACTCTCTATTCTCTATAGAGAGATCTCTACCTATTCTCTATATAATAAATCGAATTTAGTTATATTATATAGAGAAATAGTAAGATCGAATCGATATAGTATTTTCTATAAAGTTAAGATTTACTAATTATACCTAGTAAAAATTTAGTATTAAACTATATATAGTAAGTTTTTTTATAAAAAAAAATATACTAATTTATTTAATAGTCTTAATACTAGATAGTCTCTATCTAAAAGAGAATAGTAAATTAGGTTTATTTCTTAAGAAAATTTATAATTTCTTATAAATATTTTTAAAAAAGAATATTCTTATAAAGATTTTATAGAGTATAAGGTCTCCTATTAATAAACTTACGCTCTAGCTACTACTTTAAGACTATATAAGTCCTAAAGATTTAATTAATTTTAGCTAGAAAATCGATTCTTATAGGGTAGTTTATTACTCTAAAAGATTTCTTTCTCTAGTACTATTTAATTAGCTAGAATTAGATAATACCTAACTAAATAAAAATAGTACTAGAAAGATAAAGCTAGGGTAACCTCCTACTAAATACCTATAAAAAGAAATAGTAGCTAGTTACTATAATCGCCTAGCTAAAGGATAACGCTAGAAAACTTTTAGTTAGTATAGAATTAATTTTAGGAGATTAAATTTTAGGAGGATAAGGATATAAAATTCGAGTTTTTCTAAAGAAAATTCGAATTCTTCTAAAATAGCTAAAGAAAACTTAAATTCTTTAGAAAATTTAGAAGAATTTAAGGTTTCTCTAAATATTTAGCTATAGAGAATTAGCCTAATCCCTAAGTTATAACGCTTTCCTAGCTTATATTTAAGTTATAGTTATAGGAAGAAGAAGAAGAGATTAATTTTATATAGTTCTACTTTTAGGCGTTTACATATTTTATTTAGTTATCTTTTTTAAAATATATTTTAATTTTTTTAATGTATTTAAGATTTTTTTTTAGAATTTATTACCAGTATATTTTAATTTTTTTTAAATATATATTTAATTTTTTAAGAGCATATATTGACTTTTTTAAGAATTTTTTTAAGAAATATATTCGATTTTTTTTAAGTATATTTTAACTCTTTTTAAGAGTATATTTATTTTTTCTTAGTAATATTTTTTTTTAAAGAAAATAAATAAATTACTAAGATATGCGCTTTTTAGAGATATATTTCTTCTATAATATACTATAATATATTATTTATTTATAAGCGAAATATATAAGAATATATATATCTTAGTAAGTAGCCGTAACTTTTTATTTCTATAAATTTATTTTTACTATTTTATAAAATTTATCTTTTATAGTTCTATACTCTTCAACTAGTTATAATATTACTACTACTATATCTACTATCTCTACTCGCTACGCTTACTATAGATTAAAGTATATAAAAGCTATACCTCTATACTAATCTCTCTAGATATTAAAATATATTTAATAATAGCTATTTAATAATATACATATATTATTTCTACGGCTATTTACTAAGATATATAATTTTTTTCGTAAAATTTCTAAGATATATATAGTATTTCTTAGATATATATATCTAAAAAGTCTCTCTATAGTATATATATTTTTATATATTTCACCTGTAAATAAATAATATATTATAGTATATTATAGAAAAAATATATACTTTAGAAATTATCTCGAAAAAATTATATATCTTAGTAATTTATTTTTTTTAAAAAAAATATTGCTAAAAAAAAAGATAAATATACTCTTAAAAAACAGAATATATTCTGAAAAAGAAGTTAATATATACTCTTAAAAAAAGTTGATTTATACTCTTAAAAAAGCAAATATATTCTAAAAAAAAACTAACATATACTCTTAATAAATTCTAAAAAATTCTTAAATATATTCTAAGAAAAAAATTAAAATATACTCTTCATATAATCTAAAAAAAATCGAAATAGGCTTTCAAAAATAACTAAATAATAATGGTATAATCCTAGTATATATAATATGTTTTTTTTTATTTAAATTCTATCTATTTTTTAAGAATATATTTATTTAAAAACTTATTTTTTTTTAGGAATATTTTTTTTTAATAATAAATTCGATTTCTTATAAATATTTATTAGTTTTTTTTTAATTTTTTTAGGAGTTTATTCGTTTTTTAAAGAATACTTTTTCTTAAAAAAAAATATTTCTAAGATATATAAAAATATTCTTAAGATATATAAAAATATTCTTAAGATATATAAAAATATTCTTAAGATATATAATTTTTCGATATTTATTTCTAAGATATATATTTTTAGTTATAAAATACTTTATATATAGCGTAAAACTCTAAGATATATTTATTTACATATCTTAGAAATATTATAGATATCTTAGAAACTATACGAAAAATATATATATCTTAGTAAATAGCCGTTATTTCTAAGATATATATATATTATAGTATATTATAATAAAATATATCTTAGAAATTATTTTAAAATAATACATATTTTAAAAACTTTTTTTTTAAATTATATTTTTCTTTTTATTTTAAAAATAGTATTTTTATAAGTATATTCTTTTTTATAATATATTTACTTTATTTTTTTTTTCTAAAAAAAATTAATAATTTTATTTTTGTTAAAGATTTTTCTCTTAAGAAAAGAAAAAGTAGAATATATATTTAAAAAAAACATATATAATTTTAAACTTAGTTTCTAATATATCTATTCTTATAATATACTTTATATAGTATATAAAAATAGTTAATATATATATATATATTATAGAGACTAAGTTCTGATATATTTATTTTAGAAATAGTATATTTACTCTATAAATAGTATTTATATTCTAGTTAATAACTACTTTAGTATAATATACTTCTATAAAAGTGTTTTATTAATAAAATAAAATATTATATAAATAATTTTTACTTAGAAAATAAAATAAAATAAAGTTAATAGAAAAAGCTATTATAAGTTATATTAGTATATATATAGGTAATATATATTAAAAAACTAAATATATTTTAGAGGAAATTTATTTAAATAAATTTTTAAGATATTAATATTTAAAAAGTTATTTAATTTTTTTTAATTTAGTTTTTAAAATTTATACTTTTATAAGATACTATAATAAAAAAAAAGTATTTAAAGAGAATTTGAGTTAAATATATAAGTTTTAGAGAATAATTTTTTCTAAAAAAAAAAAACTATTTATATTTTAATAAATAGCTATTAAATATATAAATATATTTTAGAAAATAAAATATATATAAAAATATAATTTTTTAAAGTAGTATTAATTAATTTTATTTTAATACTAATTATTACTTTAAATAAAAATATACTTAAGAAGAAAAAAGCTATAAAAACTATTTTTTTTTTAAAAAAAAAAACTAAATATTTATTTAAAAAAAATTCTAAATAGATTCTAAAATAATAAATATATATAGAAAAGTTAAATATAGTTTTTAAAATAATTAAATAACTTTTAAAAAATTTAATATAGTTTTAGAGAAAAAAAATTTCCTAAATAAAATACTTTTTTTAAAAAAAAAAACTTACTTTTTAAATTAACTTATTCAGCTACTTACTAAGATATGTAATTCTTTTAATATATTTTCTAAGATTTATATACTATTTCTAAGATGTATACATATATTTTTTTTTTAAAAAAAAAAATTCTAAGATACATATTTTTTATAATAATTACTATGTATATTGCGAAAAATTCTAAGTTATACATATATATTTATCTTAGAAATGATATGTGTATCTCAAAATATAGCCGTTTTTATTTTTACAAGCTAGATATATACCTAGTAAGCTAATAGCCGTATACTTGCTTTATAGTTAGTGATAGTTTCTTTCTAGTAGAGGTTTTATATAATACCGGAGAGTCCCGGCTATTTAACAAAGATATAGTACTACTTATTTGTCTTACTAGTAATATAATTTATAAGGTGATGAAAATGCGCTGGTCTAAGAACTTTGAATCATTGTCCGAGTTACAAATATTCGCTACAGGTAGATGGGGTATTCTGTAGACATGAGGTCATTAAAGCTTGTAGCGTTCAGCTACACATATAGACTGCTTAGGCCAGACCTCCTCCATTTTTGCGGAATGAAACCTTTTCCACGCCCACGTTCTCTACTCCTTCGGCGTCCTTCCGTAGTTGGTATACATAGAGCACCAAAACATCACCTTGGACCTGCAGCACGTTATTAGAACCATAGCCACGTCAAATGCTGGTTGCATGGGACACATACGTCCATCAAAACGAAGCTGGGCGTCGGATCCTCTTCCTCCGGCCACCAACCGGTCGTCATGGCGCCGGTTACACTGCCTGGGTTCACAAAGAACTTGCCCTCCATCTCGTAGGCCTCGAATCGGTGGGTACCGCCCCAAAGCAGGACATCCACGTCCATCTGCCGTGCGGCAATCAACAAGCTGTCCGGGTCGCCAGGCGGTACTATGGTATGACCATGGGTGAAGCCAATGCGCAAGGAGCCATGATTGACGACTTTGGACAGGGCGAGGTTAGGCGCCTCAACGTCAAAGTCGCCCTTAACAATCTGCAGATCGGGCGCAATGCCACGGAGGAAATCATATGTTTCCTTGTCGGTGAGGTTGCCGAGGCAGAGAACCTGGCCAATCTTGCCAGGCGCAAGGAGTTTTTTGAACTGACAGGAGTCAGAAGACGGGCGCGGCGGTCACAATGGGAGCTGTACCTTTGCGGGAATGTCCTAGACAGGCGTGCGTCAGCGGAGAGGGCGGAAGATGAAGAGGGGGCAAGCATACAGCAGCCCTGTCGGGAACGAAGAGGTCGCCGAGGCAGAGCACCAGCCGGGAGGTCATGGTGTTGGCGCGACTCTGGGCTGGGGTAGCTGGATAGCGGGAGGGAATCGGAGTCGGTATGATGTTCGACCTGCAGTCGACGGGACTTGGCGGGGCGGGGGCTTGGCAGGCACGGCAGGGACGGGGCAACGACAACCGACTGTTCTGCCCGACCCGCAGCGGGAGCAGAGCCGCCACGCCCGCGCAAGGACCACTGGGGTGAGGAGAGGCCAGTCGGCAGATGTGTCGTGTGTATGAAAATAGACAAAAAGTCACATCGTCGCCTCTTTCCCATCTTTTCTCGCCATTGTTGCCATCGGAAGCATACCCGTTGCCTCCACCCGGATCTGCGCCCGTCCAACGTATCATTGCGCCGAGCACCCCCACCCCGCAGCGCCCGTTAAGAACCTACCCCTCCTCCTCTCTAGCCGCCAACCTGGCTTCCCGCGCCCAACCTCGTCTAAGTCTCATTGCGAGGCATCTGGACGGTAAACCATTGGAACTCAACACTCCTTTCTCCACCGAGCGCTCCGCTGCCCCAGACGCCGACCTCGAATACCACGCCTCCCGCCCCGAGCTCCAGCAAGGCAACGACGCCCAAGAGAAGATCCAACCACCCAGCATGTCCACCCAAGAAGCTCACCCCGCCCTCCTCATCCCGGGCCCCATTGAGTTCGACGATGCTGTCCTGCAGGCTATGAGCCACTACAGGTGCGATGCTCGCCATCATGACTTCGGTCTGGACTGACCAGATTCAGTGAATCCCATGTTGGTGCACAATTCGTCTCAGTCTTCGGCGAGACCCTCACCATGCTCCGCAAGCTCTTCCAGAACACCGACCCTGCAGCTCAGCCGTTTGTCATCTCCGGCTCTGGGACGCTTGGTTGGGACCAGGTCGCGGCGAATTTGGCGGAGCCGGGTGATGACGTCTTGGTACTCCACACCGGCTACTTTGCCGATTCCTTTGCGGACTGCTTCGAGACGTATGGCGCCAAGCCCACCCAGCTGAAGGCCGCCATTGGTGACAGACCTCAGCTGGACGAGATCAAGAAGGCGCTGAAGGAGAAGAAGTACAAGATCATCACCGTGACCCATGTCGACACCTCGACTGGTGTACTTAGCGAGATCAAGGGTCTCTCTGAGCTGGTTCATAGTGTTAGCCCAGACACCTTGGTTGTTGTTGATGGCGTGTGCAGTGTTGGCTGTGAGGAGATCCGTTTCGACGACTGGGGCATCGATGTTGTCCTCACCGCTAGCCAAAAGGCCATTGGCTGCCCTGCTGGTCTCAGCATTGTCATGGCTTCCGGCCGTGCGATTGAGACTTTCAAAAACAGAAAGACCAGGCCTGCTTCCTACTTTGGCTCGTGGAAGAACTGGCTCCCTAGTATGCCCTGTCGATGATCGTTTCGTCGTGCACGTGCTAACGGTCCTCCCAGTCATGCAAAACTACGAAGCACAGAAGGCTTCCTATTTTGCGACTCCTTCGCCGCAACTCGTCCGTGCCCTTCACACCTCACTCACACAGATTCTCTCGTCGCCTCTAGAGGAGCGTTTTGCTCGCCACCGCGACGTGTCCAAAAAGATCAAGGACACAGTCACTTCTTTGGGACTGAAGCAGCTGGCCTCCAAGCCAGAAAACCAAGCCAATGGCATGACTGCCATCTACCTGCCGGAAGGCGTCGCTGCGCCGCAGATCTTGCCCAACCTATTGAAAAAGGGCGTCATCTTTGCCGGTGGTCTTCACAAGGAGATTGCGACTAAGTATGTCCGCTTCGGGCACATGGGAGTCAGTGTCACAGATCCCAACAGAACTGACATTGACCGTGCTCTTGATGCGCTCAAGGAGGGTCTGGCTGAAGTTGGCTACAAGGCATAGTCGTCAGATGATGTGTACCTAGGAAACGCGTCATGGAAACACAAAATACTTAACTTACAGGGTTGGCCACATAGAATGGGTACCAAAATAATGATATGATGTGCACCTTGGCAGAGATACACTGTGACGCGACGATAGGTCTGCTCATGGCGCCGCTATTTTAATGTAAGCCTGCTTAAATGCATAGGAAATGGTTGTAAAAGTAGTAGTCTTTGTTTATCGACTGGCGTATACATACGCAAGAAGGGCTTGTGTCCGTAAGGTAGGTTTGTTGAAACAAAGCCCCTCGCATCTAAACAGTGTTCGGTGCAGCGGCTTCCGTTCGTATATGAATTCTTTCTCTACCTCATTTGAGTATTTTCAACATATACTGTTATCTATTGCAAGCTCTTTACGATGTCTATTCTCTTTTCTATGAAAGGAAATTTGCAAGGAAGAAACACAAAACCGTTACTATAATTTTAGATTGCATCGTACCGCACGTTCTGCAGACCATACATATACCATATCATACCTATGGCTGGGATTAAATGTACTGTAAGACCGAACAGCCTACTACGGAGTATAGAAGCTTATAATGATTCTAGGGTAACTACACCTACTTATACACCGACATGTCCACGCCCGAGGGCCTCTAATTTACTATCCGCTAATTTAGTACATCGAAGGTGCCAGTGCAAGACGTTACTCTATATAATAAGCGGGAGATAGAGTAGTCACGCTTAATACAGCAAGCCTGCCTCGGAAGGAACTGTATGTGAATAGTATTGTGCGGGGATAATTGATGTTTACTGGGCATAGTAGTAGTTATTAGTAGCTATCATTAATGAGCGAGCTTAAAAATAGAATAGACTTCAATGACCATATGAATCATGTTCCCAGACAAGACTTTGTTTTTTTATCTTAGCCCCTAACAGAGAGTGTTGTTACAAGTCACGTTCAGCAGCATGTGTCGTCCAAAGACCCCACTGAAGTTGACAAGAGAAATTTATTCTATCATCGATCCCACACTTTATCTAAAGTAACCTTGTCACAAATCTCAGATTATCTGCCTTCCAAGAACTATGCATAGAAATGCGCGGTCGAAGGGTTATCTCAGTTAGATGTTTGTTGTAAATCCAACCCCCTTGCATATCTGCTGCATGGCGGCAGCTGCAATACGAGTCCGAACGGTAATCACCTATGGCTGTGAACAGTCTCGAAGTTCCGAGGTTTGGTCAAACTGGTTGTAGTTATTTCCGCACGTACATACAACATACATAGCTGAAAGTAGAACCACAAAGTGAGGCTGAAGCGTGACACAGAATGTTCCATATGTCTGGATATCTTCACAGCCACGCTAGTGCGGATTCCTCTCCCTTTGGTGACCATATACCCAAAACCGTCCCGTCCTGCAGCAGCGCGCTCCCATCCCGCGCGCCAACGTTGTACAAGCGCCGCACCCTGCACTTATGCGCGTCATTCGGCGCACTGCCGTGCGCGCACACCCCCATGTACCACGTACGTGCCGCGTCGCACAAGCGCAGACATGTCAGTCGTCAGGCGGTCGCACGTCCCAAGGCTCGTTGCCCTGGCGCGAGGTCACGGTCGGTGCACGGTGAATGGCTAGCGGCAGAGCGGCATTGTCCTGCATGCGGATGGCGTATGTTATGTGGCGGCGTTTAGTGCTTCTGTGGGGATTGAGTTGAGTGTGGTGCGAATTGTTGTGAATGTTGTGTCTAGGTGTTCTCGGCTATATACATGAAGAGTCGTAACCAATTTCCCTCGTATGCTTCACTCACCTCGTCCAGCGTGTCTTCATGTATTCAGGTCTCATAGAATCAAGAAGAGATAAACACCTGCTCCATATCTCCGCCATGCACGCAAGTTCCACCACTCAAAAAGCAAACAAGCAATAACAGATCTCTACTCTCCCTTTTATACACCCTCTTCTCTACACACACACAAACGCACATGGATACAAGCGAGCGTCCTGCGCCGACGTGCCCGTCCAATGTGCGCACTTCCATCCAGTGCACACAGAACCAGCATCACATATTTTGTCACCATCTTCCTCCATAAAGATCCGTGACATATATCACCCTACCTCGCACCACTCCACTTTATCGACTGCACAAGCGTATGCTCTTTCCTTCATTCCATTCCGCATACCCGTCCGATCCTGCGTCGCATACGAACATCGTCTTGTCGCTGAGATCAAGATGAGAGTTTGCCGTTGCGTAGAAGCTCGCGATTTAGTTTGCGGAGTGCAGGAGACCGGAGACTGAGACGAGAAGACAGAAGTAAAGAAAAGGACGAGAGGAGAAGGTTGCAGAAATGGAAGAAACGACGTAACACATAATTCATTGACAGGAAAGACAAAAGCGAGGAGACAGATAAACAGACAGCATTATTCAGGACTCGAAGCCCGGCTTTGCGTAAAAAAATCTTGTTGAGCGAGGAGAAGATAGCAGTGATTGTTCTCTTTCCAACCCCCGCCGCTGAGCCATACGTATTATTCGGACAATGATGCTGTTTTCATGCCGCTTCCCTTTCCTTTTCCTCCTTTTCCTCCGTTACTTTCGTAGCCGGTACGGCCCGCATTCTTTGATAATTCAGCTGCTGAGTCGCGTTGTTCTACTTCTTTGACGGTCCTGCCTTAGCCATACCGAAGCCCTCGACGCTCTTTTCGCGCCTGCATCCGCCGTCCCTTTCCACGTCGCTGCCGTCCTCGACGACAACATCGTCAACCCCGAAACTCTCGCCCTCGGTGTGCATGTTGACGCTGCCCTGGTCGTCTTCTTCGTCATCATCATCTTCGTGATCTGTCACTAAACCAGGCGCTGAGTCCAGTGCATGCGGACTCAACTCCATCGTCGGACTCTCGGCGTTGCCACCGCGCAGGCTGCCATTGCTCGTCGCGCTGTCACTGTGCCCGAGCGAGGGCGGTGCCGCATGGCCGGTGGGATGCAGGTTGGTTGTCGCGAGAGGGGCCGGAGCGACCCCAGCACGTGCCGGCAGACGACTGGGTACCGGGGCGCGGGATGCGTTGGCGTTAGCTGAGCTCTTTTTCTTTGACTTTGGCGCGGTCTTGGCAGATTGAGCGGGCTCATCGTCGCTAGACTCGGACGCGTCGAGTTCGGCGAGATCGACCTTGGTACGGGCAAAGTCGACTAGCTGGTTCAAATCACCATCAAATCCTTGCTTCTGCAGAAGAGCGCTCATGTAGGGCGTCTGCGGAGATGGGACGAAGGACGAGTTTTGTTTGGCCTTGGGTTGCGGGGTTTGAGCGGCATCGCAGCTGTCAGGAGGCGCAGCTTGTGACTTTTTGCGGGGCGGAATGCGCCTGGCGAGAACATCGGCCGGCTTCGTCGGAGGATTCGATCGGATTAGGGGATGCACAAAAGGCCCGTTGGGGTGCGTGGCGGCGGCAGGCGTCTGAGGGGCCGGCTCATTGTTGTTGGGAACGACGACACCGAGCTCGTTGACGTCGACGGGAACACCGCATTCGACGGCAGCCTGGTCATGGCTCTCAAATTTTTGGTTGTGTTTGATGCGGCAGTGGTTAAGGAAACCCTGCGTGTTGGAGAAATTGCTATGCCGGCAGTCCGGGTGGTGGCAGAAGAGGCGCACCCATTTACCGTCCGTCGAGCGCCTGTGCAGCAAGGGATCAATCTTGGGCGCAGACGGATCGCCGAGCGCCTGAAGCTTCGATCCCGCGGAAGCACGTGACGAACGCGACTTTCCGGCCACAGGCAGCTCGGCCAGGCTACCTCGCGTCGCGCGGCCTTCGGACGGGCCCGAGCTGGAGCGGGAAGACTGCAGGCTCGCAACCGGGACACTGTCGAACTTGGGGTCTGGGATGAGCCACTTGGCGTAGTGACGGGAGTAGGGGCCGTCCGTAACGCCCCAGGGAGCAGGCGATTCGGGCGCCGTGTAGCCCTGCCGAGGTTCGAGCGAAGCGCCGACGCCGCGGCTGACGTCTGTAGAGGCAGCGTCCGTTCCAGGATAGGGAATCACATGACAGCGGCGCAGCTGCTCCAGCGCAACCTGGCACTTGGCCAGCTCCTGCTCGATCAGGCGCAGCTCGTTGTGCTTGAGCAGGATTTCCTGGTCAAAATGCGTCTCGATGGCCTGCTGCAGCGGCGTGAAGGCCGTGGGGTCGGCGTCGACCATGCTGGCATCCAGGCTGGCTTCCAGGCTGGCGTCCATGGTGGCCGAGGTTGGGCTTGGGAGTGCGGTCGGCGACAGTTGCGCCTGTTCGATGGGCGACGGCGTGGGTTCTGCCTTGGGCAGCAGCGGCGCATCCGACACCTTTGCAGCGCTCTTGACGCGCGCGGGTGCAGGGCTGGGTGCATCCTGTTCAGCGAGACGATCGGGCTTCCCTATCTCTACCACCGGGCGCACGCCGTCGTGCGCGTACTTCCACTTCTTTGGGAAGTGCTGACCATAGGGAGGCGATGGCTCGGGGCTGTCGGTGCGCTTTCGCTTGAGCTTGCTCAGCAGCGGGATTTCGACGACAGGACGCGGCTTCTGCGAGTACTGGGCCTTGTCCAGGACGGCGTTCTCGGTGCTCCATGGGAGGCGGAACATAGATTGCATGGCGGAGGAGGAGGATGCGACGACGACGCAGCGATCATCTGAAGCTGCGCAGCGTCGTTGGGTGCAGCGGGCGTCGGCGTGGTTGCGCGGCGCGGCTCCGGGAGCTGTCGCGAAGTAGCGATGGCTCGAGCGGCGGCGGGCTGTCGGGTGGTGACGCAGCTCGGCGGAGCGGCGATCGCTGGGAACCTAGGGGGCTGTCGAACTAGAGCTGACAGGCGGCAGCAGAAGCAACAGCAGCAGAAGCTGGGCAAGACAGAATAAAAGCCAAAAAAGCCAAATGCAGGCAGCAGAGAGGAACGGCTGGCTGGCGTGGAGGAGGCGGGCAAGAGAGACAGCACGGTAGCTTGCGGACGTGCTCTGGAAGGCAACGGAAACAAACGGAGCTCTGCTAGTAAGGCGCGTGCGGGCGCGTCGCGGACGACTTGTTTTGATTGTGGGTGTGTGAGAGTGTTGTGTTGGTGGTGGTGGTGGTGGTGGTGCAGGAAAGGTTTGGAGGGGGGTCAGGAAAAAAAAAAAGCGAACAGGTGTCTGCTGGTTGCGGGCGACGATGATGGAGATTGGGGAGGGTAGATTGGAAAGAGTGAGCGATGAGTGATGAGCAGCGAGGCCCGGGATGCGGGAGGGGGGTGGGCTGGTCCTGACGTCGATAGGGCCGCTGATTGGAGTGTTCAGGGGGGTTCTGATGCACGGCGCCCTGGTGGCGCCCCCCCGGAGCCTGGAGCTTCGAGAATGCCGTCGCACAGCAACAGGCAGGCCCTGGGATGGAGCTGCCTGCGCTACTGTACGTGACCCTCTCGCCCACTCCCTGGCCATGTAAACACTCTATCTACCACTATCCATGCAATTGCCTTCCTAGACACACTTATACCCTCTTCCCTTCTCTTCACTTCTCTTTCTCTCTCCTCCCCCTCCCCCTCCCCCTCCCGCCGCAGCCACATCATAAAAGCGGGCCCCAGCATTGCGACGCGGCGAAACTCAATCCAGCCGCGATCACCGTCGCGACGTGTCCAACCCGTCTCCGCACCGCTTGCGTGCGATTCCTGACCGGTCTCGGCGCGCGCCCATTCTCATTGACGCGGCAACCAACGACCCCACGCCCGACGCGCGCTAACGCGATCGCCCTCGCTATTCTGCCCGCCCGCCTGCCACACGCCTCTACTGCTCTCTAGTCTCTCGTGATGCCGGCCTTTTATCTTGCTCTACCCCCCCGCCGCCCCAGCGTCTGAACGCCTCCACAAACCCGCTTCCCCCTTCCCCGCCAGTGTTGCTAGAGCCGCCGCATCCTTCGGCCACGCCCAGACCCTCGCCTCCAGCCACACCCCCACCCACTTCGACCAATGGTACCATGCTAGGCCTCCCGTGCGCGCACTGGAATGGGAACGCGCATGTGGCTAACCGCTCCATCAGCTCTGAGCACTGCGCCACAGTCAGCTCGTCGTTGAACATGACGGCGCTCCTGCATGCACGTGAATTCAACATCTCCAGAATCCCTTCGGGACACTTGCCCACCCGCCTAAGCCAATCTCGTCCGCTCGTCTCGCTTGCCGAGTCTGCGACGGTCATCGTTTTGCTCGCGTCGGACGACGACGTGCGGGCTCCACCTCCACCGGAAAGCTTCCACACTTCGGTCCGCAGGAGCGATATCAACAGCTTCGAGTCGGCCTGGCATCGCTCTGATATGCCCCCTGGTAGCGTTTTAACAATGAGAATTTTCCGCGCCCCCGACTGGCCAATGTCGAAGAGGATGCCCCAGTCTGCGAATGTCGCCGCGTACAACTCAAACAGCTGCGCTTCTCGGTCCGATATCTCAAAATACAACGTATCTGCGAGCACACTCGTCTTGATGCCGGACGCATGGCCAAGCTCAGAGCGGTAACCGCGGCCCTGTCCAGCTGCAGGCATGCAAAGTTCTGCTAGCAGACCCTCAATTCGACAGCGCTCGTCTGCAGCGTGTTGGTCGATGATCACAAGCATCCGCTTGGGTGCGTTGATCTCATCATGACGAGAAGGTGCGCTGGTCCTTTCGCTGCCGTCCATGATTGCTAGAATAAACTTCTTGTCGATCTGTGCCACGACAGAGGCTCGCTTCAAAGCGTCTTTTGACAGCTTTGTCCCCTCGAGCGAGGAAGCCTCTGTGAATGCTTGTTTGATTGCCTCGTGAGAGTAGTGACCTTGCCGACCGGAAAGGATCCCGCTGGATTCGCTGCTTATACCTTGTAGGCTCACTTGCGGTATGGCGGCAGCGCTTGGACGGAATATCGGGTTATCCCACTTGGCGAGAAAATCATCAAGCCACTTGCTGCCGCTATCACCTTTGTTACCCGCACTTTTAGATCTACGAGACAGGCTAAGGGGCCTGTCGAAGACAGACGAAATGCTTGCGGGTTCTCCATACGTCGATAGCCCTGACGAGTTCGGTTTTTGACCATCTCGATTGATAACAACACCTGTCCTGGAGTTCACGAGGTAGGTCTCGTTGCTCATTGTGTCAGTCAATTTTACGGTGTCATCTCCGGACGGCTGTATCAATGAATGCGTGACAGACGCAACATTGTTTGTTTGGTGATCCAGAGATGACTCGGGCTGCCGCACAGAATCGTCACGAGAATGTTTTACTGAACTAAGTTGACCAGGTAAGATGGGGTCTGGCCTAAAGAGACCTGAGCATCTTCCTAACTCAGTGCCCTTGTTGCTTGAGTTCGCAGCTAGAGAGACTCTCTCTGATTTTGTCGCCTCTACCGGTAATGCGCCATGTGCCGAGCCCGGTTTTCTCGAAGACCATATGTTATTGTAGAAGGAAGGATTTGCGCTTCTAATTCTGCTCCAATCACTGAATATCTTCGGCTCATTATATGCTGTGCCAAGAGCAGCCTTTGCTGCCGAGGTGCTCGGACGTTTTCGCTTTTGACCAACCCCGAGAGGTGCGTGCTGCGAACCTGGTTCGGTATTGTCTTCGACAGTGCTCAACGCAGGTTTATCATGCCCTACAAACGACTTGGTGTCGCCTGCAGAGGCACGCATAGAAGAACCCGAGACGTCACTTGAAACAGAGCCTGGTTTGCTTCCCCCCTTTCTTGTCCGTTGACTTCGCGGTCGGAAATGATGTACCAAAAGCCATTGGGTGATCATAGCTCGTAGAACCTCAATGATAGAGTGCAGCTTCGATTCCGAACTAAGCGCATCCTCATCATTGTCTTTGAGAGTGGCATGCAAGCAGAACATTGGCCATCTGTCAGCACCTTTCCTGCCGCCCTTGAGCTGTCGATGCGTGGGGCCATCGATTTTGAATCGTTTGTCTTCTACTCGACGTTCCTTTTCTCGCTCATCCAGTTCTGGCTCTTCATCGACCGTGCCAAAGTTCGATGCATTGAACAGGCGGTTAATTTCATCAAAGATCTCGTTATGGCCTCTGTCCGGAAATATTGGCTTGACACCAACTGATATGAATTGAATAGTTTTGGTAGGACCCGGCTCTAGTGATATGGCTCCTTTGACGGCTATCGAAGCAGTCGACGCTGAGGCAGGAACCCAAGATCCCCATTCATTGGGCGTGATGTAAGAGGCCTGTGAGAATATGGAAAGCAAAGGGCGTAACTCTTCGTGGACTTTTACTTTCCCGATGCGTTCTGTACCGCTCGGCTCCTGGCGTGTGGTTTGCAAAGTGATGTTCTTATTGCTCTGTACATCCCGGAGGCGCACCGACGCCGGCCGTCTCCACGCGAGAAGCACACCTGTGATGATCTTCTTCAGAGCGTCCCATTGACGTTCGGCCTCGCCGCGGTCATCGGCCATCATCGCACGTTGCTTGACTCGCACTGGCATGTTGCCAAAGAGGTCCCGCACTGTGACGCGCGTGCCATGATCGTGGAGGGCGAGTTCCTGCTGATGCGGGGCAGGGAGCAGCCTGGAGATGACCTGTGATCGATGCACGACAATCGTGTTGTGCGACCTGTGCAGGGAGTGATGCGAGGTAATGGTCAAGAGGGACGAGGCACCCAGGGAGGCGAGGAACGTGCCATTGCGCCCATGCACGGGGAGGGAGCTCTGATGTTTCGAAGTGCCTTGGCTGGGTCAGCGGCTATATGATATAGCAGCCGGCGGGAGGCTCACTATAAGGTTTGCCCAGACCACCCGCTTCCCTGAACTCGGCGGGCAGGATGCCGGAGCCGTCGTCCTCGACGACACAGCCGCCGCGGCGGGTGTCGATAGCCACGTCGATCCTGGCGGCGCCGGCGTCGAGGGAGTTCAACAACAGGCCCAGGACGACGGCCGTCAGGTCGGTGATGGCGGTCGAAGACTTGATCTGAGCAACGACATGGGGCGGGAGCGGCTCGATGGGGCGAGGGAGGGCGGCGGTGGTCACATCGCGGCGGCGCAGGTTCATATTTTAAGGTAGGGAATATGGGGGGAGGGGCACATGGAGGGCGATGTTTCCCTATGACGCAGCCGAGAGTGGAGGCGGCGCCGGAAATGGCAAGCTTGGCGATCACTGGCGAGCGACCCTGGGCTGATTGCATGCAGGCGGTCGATCCCGTCACAGGCGCCCAATCTACCACGACCCGACCTCCATTCTTCACGACAACCGCATTGTTACCGCGTGCCAAGCCATGGCCACCGCCGAGCCAGCTCCCAGGCCGCAAGGTAAGCCTCATCCAGCTGCCTACGCCGCCGGTCCGCGCCCTCCGGAGCTCTCCCCTCACCATTGCATTGCGTCTATCTCCTTCCGCCCGTCGTCGTCGCATGCTGACCATGAAAGACCGCCACTCCCGCCGCCGCCCCTTCACCGCATGGATCAAGCGCGTCGCCAATCTCAAGGGTTCCGCGCCGGCCCAGCCTAAATCCAAGAAGGCGGCCGCCGTCAAGAACAACCCGTACCCCGAGTCCGGCCACCTCCACCGCCCTGCGCCCGCGACCAGCAGCACGAATGGACACCTTTCCTTCTCCGAGCCCATCTCCCATCGTCACAGCTACGACTCCGACGAGGCCTCGGACCGCCCGGAGGACCCTGGCACCGTCAAGTCGGCCGCCCCGACCCTTGCGACCAACGCCGAGACGATATACTCTGATGCAGGCCAGTCGAAAGCCGAGACGAGCAACACCAGAGGCGGCATCAGCTCACATCATGATGGCGGCGCCAATAGCACCTTTTCCTCGCCAAACCACTCCGAGCGCTCTCTGACCACGACTCTGACCACCATACAATCGACTACTCCTTCCGGCCTCCTAAACAGCCAGCACGCCGGTACCGTGCCACAGAACAACCTGCACCCAGCCAGCGTGCATTTTTCGCACCAATATCCCGTCTCTCCTGCTTCTGCCGTACCTGCTCATTTGCAGCCGCAAGCGAACCCCAACACCTATCAGGCCGCGACAGCTGGCAATATGCTCTCGGACAACGCTTCGATTTTGACCCTCGCATCTTCCTCCAAACGCCGTCGCCGTAACTCTCTCGACACGAATGCCTCGGTTCGCGCATTAGCCCCCTCATCTGTCTGGGGCGGAAGTCGCGAGTCCCTCCCCCTCAGTGTTCTCAGTGGCAATATCGAGACTGCAAGCACTGTTGGCACGCCAAGCGGCCTGTACCACAGCCAAAGCCGTGCTGCCGTTGGTGGATTTGCAAGTGCTGAGCGGGCCAGTGTTTACTCTTCATCTGGCGTCACTGCGCCAGCATTGCCCTCGGAGCGCAACAGTTTCTATGCGGGCAAGCAGGGAGTCGACACGGGCAGCATTAGGAGCGGGCTTCTCGGTCACGGCCGCACTGAGAGTCTTTCCGGCAGCGTATACGCCGGTATTGGTCCAGCGCCAACTGGAAGCCCGCTGGCGACCCCGGCGCATGCGTCTACCCCTGTACGCGTCACCGCCAGCAGACGTAGCAGCGACTGGAAGGAGCAAGACGCAGAACACAAGGACGATCACAAGGAACGCGAGGTAGAACAACCGACTCAACTCGACGGATATGACAATGACGGAGATGCTAATAGCGAGAATGTCAAGGTGAACGCAAAAGATATCATTACAGAAGCTGATTAAGCCGGACCCACCTTTTGGTACGATGAAGTGGAGGAATTTTGGGCGTTTTTTCCTGAGGATGAAGGAGTTCTTTTGTACGTGCGTTGCTGCGATTTGCTTTCCTACTGCTGCTGACAGGAGTTTTCTTTTTTGACCAAGGCCGGGCACAATTCCGATACCCTACAAGTCCACCCGAGTCTGTTAATTGAGAGTCATTTTTCCCTTATCAATCATGTACGGTGCTGATTGACGTTATCTGCACGCGGGAGTGTATATGCCTTCCCGTTTTGCGAGTCTCATATATCTGTCTGCTTCCTGTTACACCGACAACCACCACCTGTGGTTATCTCGTTTCCGAAGTCACGTTCCATCACTCGTTTGCAAGTTTGATACGTATGTCCAAACGCTCATCGGTCACTGCGCGGATTGAGGCTCGCGGAGCCCCGCAAGTAGCCTGGAGTCTAACGCAGTTAAAGCAAGCGGCATGATCGCAACCCGAAGCACTTCCGTACCCTCCAGGAAATGCCGAAAGCCCTTTTCTCTGGTAGCTTTCAGTGGCGACTAATACTGTCCTTCACGCTACATTGAATTGGAATCATGGTCAACAACGGCATCAACCGAAACGTAATCTCAACTCAGATCTTCGTCAAGGACTCGTTTCCGTATTGCCCGACTTCCGCACCAGTATAAGCTATTCTGATGGAAGTCGACGCAAACGCTTTTCAAGAATTGCTGGATTGCTTGTAAACCATTTAATGCCGACCAAAGACCAACCAGAGCGGGATTCCGATACTCATGGCGTAATTAACTCGTCATGTTCCCATTGAAAGCACGGTCGTTGAAACCCGCAGACCTACAATAAACGGCAAATGCCTACCGGATAGAAGCTTCTTTTACCCAAAGTTGAATATGATCCCGGCATAACAAAGCTACGATACTGTCACGAAACAGCCATTTCCAGCTGTGCGTGAAGCTGCTCGTGCAGTGGTAAACCAGTCATGATTAATTTAATCAGACATGTTTCTACTTGTCAGCGTAGGCGGGCTCTTCGAAAGTCCCACCGCGTATCTGGATGGATGGACAGCATAAGGCTGAACTTGTCCTTACGTACTCCTACATCTCCACGTCTCAATTATATGTTTACCCCACATTGAACTGCCTTCCTTGACAAGATCTATCTTATGCGATCCTGGCATAATAAAGTTTTAGGTCTCCGGGTACATGTGCCGCCATAGAAGGCAGCCGTTTATAAGCACGTGGAAATGGAAGCGGGTGGTAGAAGTTGTCACCTGCTAACAAGTGGCTTCTCTACAGTGCTGAGACGACGAAGGCGAGGCGGCCAGACCAGATATATTCTTCCTTCCACCTCCGAAGATAGGGACGTACGGGCTTTGACCGGAAAATTCGCAAGGACCACGTGGGCTATGCAAAAGTGGTCGGTGCGCCGACGACTCATTGGGTGACACGCTTGATCTGCGCTTTACCACGAGCATTAAACCTGTGGGCTATAGGTATAGGGGCATCGGGCATGAGTTTGGTGTCCTTGCGCTGGGCACCGAGTCACAGCTTGACGCTGTCGCGCGCTTGCCTCCGTCGCTGAGTGGGCGGCAAAGACTTATCCAAGCATGTTTGCTCCACACTCCAGACAAGATCCCCCACTGATGCGCCTGCGCCCTGGAACATTGTCTGCTGACTTTGCAACCAGATCAGACCGCCTCCTGCTATGCTTACTCCTACAAGATTGTAGATAGCTGCTCCTGAAATGTTAGGAATGCATATTTATTCTTCATCCAGCGCGCAATAGCTTCGTTTGGCCCAGGACTTTTCTTTACCCCCAACCACAGCCATCCTACCCATCGCCGTCACGCCAGAGAGGCGTACTTCCGCAACCATGCAAAGACGAGACTCCATCATGGGCGTGGCCAAGGAGAACTTGACAAGTTCCGTCTCTCACTCAGTTTCAAGTGGCCTTCGCAAGCTGCCGTGCTTCTGGTATGTCTAAGAGCCAGGGTAGCGGTGGCAACGCTGCTCACTTCCAGATCAGGGACAACTCCATCAGCGAAGAGCGCGTCATTGTAAGAGTTGGAATCGGCGGTCAGGTTTTCCGCATTCACAGGGACGTCCTCTGCCAATGCTCGCCGAACTTTCGCGCTGCTTTGCAGGGAAATTTTCGAGAAGCCACAGAAGGTCTTGTACTGGAGGACGTCAGCGTCGACACCTTCAAGGTATTCCTGGATTGGGCCTACATGGGCACGGTGCCAGATTGGCCAGACCATTCCTTCATCTGCAGCTGCAAATGCTGCACCGCAGACAAGTCCAGCTGTGTGCACGACGAAGCCACCCTGATGTCTGGCGACCCGGTCTCTCTCGAAGCTCTGGACCTGGAAGCGCATTACCGGACGCGCACTGCAGCTGAGATTATGGACGCCTACATCTTTGCTTACCAATACGACATCCGACACTACCGCAACGACCTCTTTGACGCCATTCACGCGGCGTACCAATACGGTGACTCGTTGCCATCTTATAGCATCGTGTTGAAAGCCTTTGAGCATATGGCGCCCTCATCACCCGTATGCCGGTACTTAATCGATGTATACGCGCGCAACTACGACCGCAGCTCCGACGACGGCCATCGGCACGAGCTTATAATTCGGAGGCACTTGCCCAATGATTTTTTGCTGCCGCTCCTGCTGAAAAAGATGGATGGGTGTGATGAGAAATACACGCCTTGGGATGAGGATTATTGCAGGTACCATGAGCATTCAGAAGGCGAGAAAGGAAAGTGTTGGTGGCAAAACAAGGACACAAAGGAGTAGGATGAACAGGTGGTGATGGATAGAGAAAGAAAGAAAAAGATGAAAGAGAAGAAGAAGGCGATCTCATATATATATCCCAAAGGCGATGAGTAATAACGCTCCAGCCACGAGTATGAAAAGGATGTTGGCTGTTACACTATGGTTGGACTGGTGGGTACCTGGTGGTTGGGTTGTTTGGTAGCGAACGCCCTGGCAAACGCCCGGGCTGTGTTAACAGTGAAAGAACCGACACTACCAGAAATTACCACGTGGTTCTCGTCATCACAGACCATTCACCCGCGTTCAAAGCCGTGGTGGTAGGTGAATGTCACCAAGTCACCAAGTAGCTGCGCTATAAAACCACCACCAGTCCCTACTGGAAACCTCACTGTCTACCTGTGGCACCCCAACTGCCAAAATGGCCTCAATGGCACCGACCAACGGCGATAGCGAAGATCCTACCAAGAGCAAGGGCAAGAAAGAAGACGTCAGCAGTGCGAACGCTGTCACCGCCGACCCCGGACTGAAGCCCACACCCGCCTTTGGAAGACACCTTCAGAAAAGCCCTTCCTTCCAGTAGGTTACTTCTCATGGCGCACGTGATATGCGTGTTGCTGATTTGCAACTTTAGTGATGGTACATTGAGGGACATCATGGTGACTGTCGAAGTCGGCAATGACCCTAAAGTTGAGGCGTTTACCATCCACAAAGACCTGCTGTGTCACTTCTCACCCAACTCCCGCGCTGCGCTTGATGGAAATTTTCGTGAGACACTCGAAGGAAAGCTCACATTCAGCGATGTTACTCCGAAGTCTTTTAGACTGTTCCTCGACTGGCTCTACAGCGGTGCCTTGCCCAGCTGGCCTTCTCATGACATTCGTGGCTCTCATCTACCAGTTGAACCTATTCATGTAGATGAGGGTGAGACCCTCAAGGCTGATGAGATTGAACACTACTATCAAGAACAACCCGAATCAGAGGCACTGGAGCTTCTGATATTCGCAGACCAATACGACCTTCGGCTACTTAGAAATGATTGCATCGACGCGATCATCTCCATGAACCCATCTCATCAAGGATGATGTCTACTGCTACCATCATGTTCTCTTGTGCTGAAAGCTTACGACCGACTTCCGGCATCATCACGTTTTCACAAGTATCTTGTCGACATACACAGCCGTTACTTCAACAGTTCTGTGGATAACATACGGGAAGAACTCATACTTCGCAGACAGATCCCCTCTGACTTCTGGCTGAAAGTCACCTTCGAGTTAGCCACAGAACGCGACGAGAAAACCCGGAAGTTCTGGCGCGCTTTCATTCATTGCGACTACCATGAGCATATAGATGAGGAGGAGGAGAAGCGTTGCAAGCAAATGCGGGTGGCCAAGGCGTTGCCATTGAGATGGAACAAGGATGACAAGAACGGCAACGATGTTAGAGTGTAGCAGCAGGACATGCGGGAAGCGAGTATGCGGTCACTGGTCATTGAGCAGTAGTTGCCAAAATTGAAATGCAATGATATTAAAGGAAGGTCTGCACCGTACAAAATTGTAGCAAAGACAACTCTTCGTGATGATGTGTATCCGTGTATTTACTTAATTACTGACACCGTAAAGAAGCCTCTACGGCCATAGACACAACTCAACGTCCGTCTCCATCAAGCGAGATTCGCTATGTTGTGAGATGGCGATGCTTGTATGGAGTGGAAGAAGAGACGCAGTTAAGATATGTAGAGTCTGTGTGTACTCTAAGACCTTTTCACTCATACCCAGGACTCGGGCTGGGAGCTAGGCAAGAAGTACTCTATAGGGTCTGCTTGTATCGTCCTCCGCCTCACTGGACGGTGGATCTTGGTTCGCGGTGATGAACGTTACATACCATGAACAACTTGAAGAAGCCTCTACGAACATAGACACAACCTGACCATGCAAAATGCCTTAGAGCCTTAGCAGCAGTCATGTTAAGTTCGCTATGAATCTACTTTATACAGATTTATCTGGTATTTACGCACTAATACTATATAGCTAATTATATATTCACCTATTATAGAAACTAATAACATTATTTATATCCCAGATAATATAGTAACTAGTTATACGCAGTTATCCGTTACTTTAAAAGTGCTATTAATCTTAGGTATTTTAACGTTAACCCTATGGAAATTAACTTTTATTAAGTTAGTAGTTAGCTAAGTTAATTTTGATAGCAGATTCGAGACCGTAGATATAAAATAAAATAATTAACTACTTATATTCGTCTAAACTCGATTTTGCATGAACACTACGTCTAACGTAGAATTCTTAATTTATATAAGGTAAATAAACTCGAACAAATAAAGAACTACCTTGTCTTGCTACTAAATTAGCAAACCTAACTACTGATAAGTAAGGATAATTAATTTACTTGAAAGTAGTAAAGATACTTAAATTTAACTGTACTTTAAAGGACGCGGTTAATTGTATATTATAAGCGGTAATATATATAGGAAAACTGGAGAGACTCGGTTAAGAGTAAGGCTTGTTTAATAGAGAGGTACTATTTATAAAACGATTACTTAGGAACTGCTTAAGTAGAATCTATAAATCATAACTTTATTTAAACGTTAACCATTATAACGTTTCGTCTTATATCGGTAAAGCTGTACAAACGTCACGCCAATCTTAATTAGATATACCGATGAATATTGTCTTAAGGGGCGGAAGTTGCTAAGGAGGTTAAAAGCCGTAACTAGCCCTAACTATAATTTAAAGTTTAAGATAACATATTAAGGCAGAGAAAGACAGAACGCTGAAAGAATTAAGTAGGTGTAAGCATGGGAAAGAGGGATTTATTAAATAAGCACCGAGAGCTTTCGTGTGTTGACAATGCATTCGATATTTCGAGTGCGTACTATAAACCCGGACGCCGGGAGTAATTGATCTCCCAGTGTTTAAAGCCCGTCAGCGATACTGTCACACACTGTGAGCAATGCCCCAGTGTCGGTGTTCAGATAGGAACTGCAACTTATATGCCAATCAATTACCACAGCAGTTACGAAGCATCAACTACCGTCTAAGCATGGTCCGATGCGATAAAAAAGCAACAAACAGCTCAGTGAGTTGTTTTAGCGGATCGACCCTCATATACAAAGAGAGAATCAAACCTTACTACAACAACTGACACCCACACCATCATTCCTCCAAATCTCCTTCCATCAAGACAAGGAAATGACCACAGTCACCCAAAAAGCGATCCGAAGTCCAGATTACCCAATCCGGCTAGCCACGAACCCCAAGCCCACTTCAACTCCGGCACCCAAAGAAAAACTACCGACCGCCTAAACCGCAAGCAGCAAAACGCCCAACCCAAGCCGCAATCTAGAGTAGAGTAGAAGGATCGTGGATACCTAGTACCTAGTAGCAGACCAGCACGTCCCCCCTAGCTACTACCACTAGCAACCAACAAAACAAAACTCAAACTCCCACACGACGCCAAAAATAAAAATCTACACCACCTACCACCACCACCATACCCAGCCGCCCTGACCGGTATTCCTGCGCACCGAGCCCAGGCCACACAAGGCGCAAGGCAAGGCGCGCTTCTGTCAGGGTATACCTCGCCGCCACGCCACGATAGCACTCCTACCACAGGCTCCTCCATACTACCACATACACGCGCAAGGCGCGCCACGTCCAAGCGAACAGACCGCCGTGCCCGCGCCGACGCACGCACGCACGCACGCACCGCGGCAACCACGGAGCACCATGTAGGTATCATGTCCAAGCATTGAGTGGGCGGAGGGAGCACCGCGGTGGCGCCTGGCCGAGCGGACGCCAGGGCGCAGCAGCGTTGAGGGCGCGCTTCCCAATCCTTCGCGCCGCTTCCAAGAGCCTTCGACTGCCTTCTTTTGCAGGGGCAGGGTCCGCATCCTGCCAACGCATGCGGAAACATCGACCGCGAGCCCGGCGTGCCCGGCTGACCCGGAGGTCCGTTTCGGAGTCCGATTAGTTGGACGGACGGCGGAATGAGGCCCTACCGCAATCCTTTCGGTAGGGATTCGTCGAGGGTTTGCGTGGCTTTCCGGGGATCTTCGATCTTCATCCACTCGAGATATTGGGGCTTCCAGTAGGATGGAAGAACTGATTCTGACCATTCTCGGGGGTTTCCCATTCCGAGTCGGGAGTCGGAATTTGTCGATTAGGCATCTCCGAGCCAATATGTCAAAGGCAAACACTTCGGCGGCAGCAACGGCAACGACGATAAGCATGCGAATGAGTGTCCGTGGGGAAAAACTTGAATTGAGCGGACGGATTGCAATCTGAATGAGATCCAAGAAAGAACATCCTCCAACATCAAAACCATAACCGGAGCTTGAGCGCTTCAAGCGAGCGGCAATCTACATAAACTTAAACAAATTACAGCGACATAGCAAACTCAAGCGAGGATTTCTCAAACAAGAGCAACATCTGACGCAACAACCAACCACATCCTGGACAGTAGCCATCCAATGGCACATCCACAAGGGGACCGGGCCGTCCCATCTGCTACCCCGCCCTAATGAGCAGGCATCGCCCCATTGGTGTCTTTAGGACCGAGCACGTCGTCCAACAGATCATTCCAGATCTGCTTCATCATGCCCTGCTCCGAACCATTGTCGTTGGGGCGGAATCTCGCAGCAGCAGCAGACACTGCGTTTGCAAGCCCTTGGAAGTCAATGGACGGGTTGTCCGTGACATCAGTCAAGGCTGAGGGAGAGTAGACTTGTGCCGCGACAGTGTTGATCTCAGGGCGCATTGGCGCGGGCTTTACAGAGCAATGTCAGCGTTAATCCCTGAGGTTGATTGGGAGCAAGGGATTGGCTTACAGCATCGACTTCCTGTTCGAGTTGCTGACTGCTGCGAGACTTGAAGCTGACGTCAGGCAGGAGAGGAACGCGCAGGCGGAAGGGTTCAGCTTCGGCAGGGCTGGACTCGGGCAGGTAGGCAAAGTCCATGGTGGAGCTGTCATTGACCGCCTTGAGGGTCCTGCTGGTGTTGAAGTGACGGGTAGTGGTGGCAGCCGGGGCGGACGAGGCGTCTTCGGCGCTAGGGCGCTTGTTGGCAGTGTCAATGGCGAAGCCCCGGGTCTGGAATTCGGCCGTCAGGCGGCTAGTGAGCTATAACAGGGCACGAGTCAGCTACTCTATTCCAACTCTGGTCCGTGGCTGATGGCGTGCTTGCCGTGGGTTACACAATGCACTGGAAAGGGGGGGTTTGGCTTACCTCGGCCTTGTTGCCGGCGGTGGGAAGCTTCCTCTTGATGCACTCAGCACGCAGGCCAGCAATGTCCTTGGGAAGGCCAGCGACAGAGCGCTCAGAAGTGAGGGCGGCACTAGGGAAAGTGGCCGGGCCGGTCATATGAAGACGGCGAACGGTTTGCTTGCTGTGAGCTGAGAGGTACTTCAGCGAGCGCATGGCGGAGGCTCTGGAGGAGGACATGGTGGATGGATGGATGGTGGGACAGAGTGAAGGAGGTGGGGGAAATGGAAGCAGGAGAATGAGGGGCAGGCGTCCTTCTTATCCTGTAAGGGGAGTCGGAGGCGTGAGGGAAAGTACTAACCAACATCACTCTGACCTCCATCGCTGTTGAGGGGCCCGTGCGCAAGCTCCAACGGATGCCAGCGGTGTGAGAGACAGGGGTCGGGCAGATCGTTTCCTATCAATTCCAGATCTCCCGTGATGTCAGTCGATAAGGAAATACTGATGAGCCTCGACGGGAGGTGCGGGTAGCTATCTATCAGCCATCCAGAGTATACGTAGAGTAGATAGATAGCGGAATTGGCCAGTGACAGACAACAAGATGTCGACTACGGGCACTCACTCAGCAGCAGCACGTGCCGTCATTACCTTACCGTACCTTACCGTATTGTCGTCGTGACACCATCACCCCATCCATCTCCCCGCAGCTCGGCCGATCAGACGCGCGCCCAGGCCACCAGGGTCGCGGGTCTCCGCATCCACGCTTCCACGCCTTCCTCCGGCCGTCTGCCCGGCCGCTATCGTATGCGCTTGATGCATCGTGTTACACTAGCTCCCTCGAGGTGCCTGTTGATCACCCACGCCAACCGGTTTTCCTTTGCCTCCTCCTGCTGATGAGTGAGATTCTTCTGGGCGGGTGTTGCTTTTCTTTTCCTTCTGCATTCCGCTCCTATCTTCCGCAGAACAAAGAAAGTGATTGCCGTTCCAACGTGGCCTGCCGAGTCTGCTTGATTGCATTGTACTCTGCACTGCGCCCGCCACTTGTTTTTGTTTTGCCCTCAACACCGTCAGCCCCCTCTTTTGCCTCGTCTCTGTTCAACCACATCGTCCTTTATGTATTTCTCGCCTTGTGTCCTTTTGGCGGCCCTGCCGTACGCCGCCGCCTTCTACCCTTACCTCGCTGGCCTCGACGATGCCGTCGCACCGGTCAAGGCCACCGCCAATGATATCATCGCCCGAAAACCTCCGGGTGACAGCCTGTCGATCCGCGTTCCTCTCAACCGCGTGCCCGTTCGCCGGAACAATGAGTACAAGATCATCACCGCAAACACCCCGACTCAGTCGGGCAGCGTAGGCGTTGATCAAGACGGCACCGACTTCTCCTACTTCTCCACCTTTCGCTTTGGGACAAGCAATGTGGAATACCATCTGCTGTTGGATTCAGGTGCTGCCAACACCTGGGTCATGGGCTCGGACTGCACCACTGAGGCTTGTTCTAAACACAACTCTTTGGGTGACTCCGACTCTGATACACTCGAGGTAGGTGTCGGCCCTCGAGCCATTGAAATCTTTGCTGTAAATGCCATTGGCGCCGCGCTTAGACCACCGCAGCGACATCTTCGTAAACAAGACCGTTCGCGTCTTAGCTGCCCTGATGTCCATGGTGCCTCCCCCTCTTGAACCATACCGTTTTGGATTTTGTTATTTGTGCGATTGTCCAACATTGTCGCAGTGTTAATCAATCTCCAACCAACAGATCACCAACACGGCCTTTTCAATTGCCTATGGTACGGGGAACGTGAACGGCACGATTGCCAAGGACGATGTCCAAATTTCGACTTATAGCGTACCTCTGTCTTTTGGACTCGCGTCCTATGCCTCCAAGGAGTTTGAGTCCTACCCAATGGACGGGATTTTAGGACTTGGTCGCGCCGACACCACCACGAGTGATGTCACTTCAGGCACACTGATTGATGCTCTTTCGAAAGCGTCACTGATCCCTGCCAAGCTCTACGGGATTCATCTGTCGCGCACATCTGACGGTCTCAACGACGGCGAGCTGAACCTCGGCGCCCCAAACCCCGACCGTTATGACGGGTCCCTCTCCTGGACCAAGGCCATAACCAACGATCGCGGTTTCTGGGAGATCCCCCTGGATGGCGCAAGCGTAGACGGCAAAGACGCGGCAGGCCTCACCGACCGCACCGCCATCATCGACACCGGCACCTCGTTCATCCTGATGCCGGGTGATGACGCCGCCGCCGTGCACGCACTCATCCCGGGTACGAAGCGCAACGGCGAGATCTTTGCGATACCCTGCGACACGCAGCGTACCATCTCGCTTCGCTTCAACGGAAAAGCGTATAACATGAGCCATAAGGACTACGTCGGCGCCAGCCATGGCGACGGCACCTGCCAAAGCAACATCATCGGGCGACAGTCCTTTGGGCCCAAGCAATGGCTCGTCGGCGAGGTATTCCTCAAGAACGTTTACACGGTTTTTGACCAGGACGAAGCGCGCATAGGGTTTGGCGTCAAGGCGGACGGCGGACGGACGGCGGCAGAGACGTCAGCGAGCCCGACGGCTTCGGCGCGTGCGACTTCGGGCGCGGCTTCGAGTGCGAAGGCGAGCACTGAGGCGACTGCAAGCGAGAGCGGCAGCGCGAGCGGGACGGCTGCGGTGTCGACGGCTACGGGAGCGCCGCTCATCGGCTCTGCTTCTGCTTCTTCTTCTGGATCGGGCTCAGGGACGAGTGCTACGGCTGCGGCGGCGTCGGCGAGTGAGACGCATGCGTCGGTGGCTTCGTCATGCAAGGCGACGAGGATGGTTGCGACGGCGGTGTTCTCGGCCTTGGTGGCTGTTGGTTTTGTACTCTGAATGACGCTGGAGGGGCGCTCGTTGAGCGAGAACAACGAGAGATGAGAATTGGCTGGCGCAAAGGGCTTATAGACAGTCCTCGCGTGTTTCAAGTATCGGCATACGTTCGTGTTGATACAAGTTGTATATGATTTAACTTATGACGTTGGATTGACTCACATGTTCTTAACCGCCTTCCTGTGAAGGTGTGTGCATGGGTACATGGCTTCTGACGGCATTGGAATAGGTATGACAGTCAACTGTATCCAGCTGCGCCCTCATAAGAGCGCCTGTATGGCGCATGTGAATTAAAGCTCAGCCGACAACGCTAATCACTGCATCGCTGATATAGGTGAGCAACGCTTCAGTTCAATTTTAGGTACGAGTACAAAGTTCGCCCGAGGAATCAATGCTGACGGCGAGTTAATTGAGTATGTTTGGGAGCGTTGGGTGCCGTTGCACGATCGACAAGTGCTGATGTTGGACGGGTAGGTTATGACAACGACAAGTCAACGAGACCGAGAAAGCGAGTGGAGTGAGCACGTTTTCAAGCAGACGATCAAGCGAGCCCGTCCCAACAAAGCCGGCCGCAGAGACCGGTTGAGAACATTTGGGGACAGCGTGAGTCAGTGGAAAGTTAGTGTAAGAGTCTGAGACGCGTTTGAGCCTCCTAGCATGTTTGACCGAGCTCACGAGAGTGGCTGACGACCAACCTATAGTAAAACTAGGGTCTGGGAATTAAAAAGCCCTTTATGACAATCCATTGAGCCATCCCTCTTGGAAAAATCTTGAGCAAGGGTCTTTCGAGGACGTCAGAGGCCCAGACCCGTCAACCACCGCACCATCGCAGGAGAATCCGCATCCGGCAGTGCGTGCCGCTCTCGACTGCGCAGCAGCAGCAGCAGCGTCATCATCAAAACTGCTTCCCTGTCGGCAGTCTCGACCCTTTCGGTTCCACCACACGGCGTGCTGGCCGAGTACCTTACACGCGGCTTTGGGACTCGGTGAAGAGGGAAGGGGAGACGTGGCTCTGGATGATACGCCGCGACAGGGAGGCTGATGTGGCTCTTCAAACGTGCAGTGTTTCGGGGCATGCCGGACGTGCTGGTGTTGGGAACGGGTGATATGTCGTCGATCCGAACGAAATGCGGTTCGCTGTTTAGTCTTTTGGGACGTTTCGACTTGTCAAGTTTGCTTTGCATGTGGGCCGTTGGCGCACCGTCACTGGGCCCTTTTTCCGAATTGCGAATCGACCGGCCGCGCGCACTGACAAACTGTTTCCATATGTGTTAGGGCTTGCCTAAAGCACTAAGCCGTCCGAATGGGGAAATCTTATGGCTCAATGTAGAACAAAGCAATTTTGGCGGCCGTGTGCTGTGAAGATTAGCACGAAAATCCCTGAGACTGCCGATCTTCATGACATTCATCCCTTCTGAAGGTAAAGGATAAGTGGCTCGCCGGTGTTAGCCCAGAGGGTTGGATCGAAATATTGATGCGCGAGCAATGAGCCGTCTGGCGAGTGGAGAATCCGAGTGAGTTATTTCCGGCAGAGGGGCGCCTATTTTCATGCACTCAAAGCATCCCACGGGCGTACACGGCTAGGTGCCTGCTTGGAAGATGCAAAGGAAACATCATAGACGTTGCCAGAAAGGCAACCGCCCCTCGCTGCCCTCGGGAAGCCGTGGCGACGGTTCCATTCACCGATTGCTCCGTAGGCAGGTTCCCGGCGGCGGAACAGTCCAGATTCGAGTGACATGTGTACAACAAGTGGTGATGACGACGAAGGAGCACGCTGTCAAGGAGGCATATCCAGCAGGGAGGATCCGCTCGGCCGAGGAGTAGGAGGAGGAAGATTGGGCAGAGTTACACCAGATGAATGGCCTGAGACGAGCCGTGTATACTACCAGAGAGCCCAACGGGCGGATCTCGTGCATGTTGCGGTGTCGAGCTGCGCGCTACCGACGGCAGGGCCCTGCTACATGAAGCATTCCTTGGACCCGGGCGGCAGTCAGCATTCTTTGGCCGACTACGACCACAAGACTTCCATGTTGTTCGAAGAGCGGTGTGTCATGGAAGGTTGTGTGGTGGTGAGGTTGGGCGTCGCACAGTTGCTAGGTGTGAATATTCCGGGCGCGGACAAAAGGCAGGGCGACGCGACGGGTGAGGCTCGGGAGTCACGACGGCCCAGGGGTAGGCCGCCGACGCGTGCTCCCAGCAGGCGCAAAGTTTGCTGGCGCGAACGGGAGGCCGTGGAGAGAGACAAGAGTAACTTGAGCAGCGAAGAGCGGTCTGCGTGAGCGGGTGGCTGCCAGGCCGCCCGTGGAGCTGGGTTGAGTGGCGGCCGGCCCCGGTTAGGGTGCGGACACCGCCGCCATGTCATTGACCGTCTCCTTGCTGGTACTCTATGTACGGCGCGTTCCAGGCCTGCGGGAGACTTTTTTTCTTTCTGCGCGCGGCAGGCTGGTGTGTTGAGGAAAGAGGGACAGCGGCTCGGCGGGAGGGCAGGTACACGCGCGCGAAGTCGCGGGAAGCAAAGACGGGGTCGCGAGAGTTCGGGCGGGAATGGCTCCGATTGCACGACTCTGCCAACGACGGGAATGCGACAGGGTTCCCAGGCAAGCGATGACGACGCGGCGGGGTCGAGCCGGCTGGTCTGTGGAGAAAATCGGTGGAGCATGGAGACGCCGGAACAGACCGAGCTGCCCGTCCGGGGCAGACACGGGGCATTTGGTCGGATGATGTGCTCTCCAGTCTGCTGTCAGGTACCCAGCTCGTGACACGATTCACGCCATCTCACGCACGCTCGCCCCTGATCCTGCTTGGCAATCGTTGTGTATTCGATGCTACATGGCGCAACTGTCTTGCGCCCGACTCTGCTTTCCCCACACTTTCCTGCCCGTGGTATCCCGTTCCTTGCAAAGTAGCCCGACTCCGTTCCCAGTCTTCTCATCCACATGTTTAACAAATGAAACGTAATAAATCGACTTTTGTTTATCACAAAATCCCGTGCCCGGGACCCGAAAGGAAAATGCGCTGAATCTACAAGAAACTGGTCATGTTTCGTGGCCGCCCCAATGTAAATAAAAGTGAAATAGTGTGCGCCGGATCTCGATCCATGTAGGAAACCGTAGAGCCCAATGCCGGAATGGTCCAGGATGCTGAAAATGTCCATGTTTCTTTGGGATTTTAAAAGGTAATGAGAGAAGTGGTAATGATGCGGGTTGCCGAATGCGGTACGGCCGTCGTTTGTTCGCGGATATGACGTGCTCACGCAGACGTCTTCCTTCTCCGCATGTCACGGACTTGGTCAAAGGACTGAGTGTAGCCTCTGAGTTGGGTAGCTGCCTCGGCGGAGAGGCCTTGGGTTGGCGTGGTTACTGATGACAGTGACGAGCGGGAGGATGATGGTGAGAGAGTACGTTTTGATGCGTCGTTGGAAGAGAAGTAGGATTGTTGCTGCCTGGGAGAGTAGGCGGCAGGGCTGGTTGGCGGCGAGTCGGTTTTTGTTTTGTATGCGGAGAAGTTGACGGCGGGTGGTAGGTAGAAGCCCGAGTTGTTTGATGAAGCGTATGATGAGGCCATGGAAGAGCTGAAGCATTCTGACGAGGCCTTGTCGAGGTCGGCCAGACGGCAGGCCTGGGAGCAGTAAGCTCCCTCGGCAATCTGCTTATCGCAGGAGAGGCAGAAGTCGTGGGACCACTCGGCAGCCATGGTGGTGGTGGTGGTAGTAGTAGTAGTAGGAGGAGTGGTAGTAGTAGGGGGAGGTGGAAGTAGTAGTAATGGTGGTGGTGGGGTTTCTGGCGTTATATGGACGTGCTCTTGGATGAGTCAAGGGAAAGGGAGAGTGGTGTGCTCGACGGACTGGCGGACGGGGCCTCTTGTAATGAAGATGGACGGCGGCATCGAGGGCGAATGACACGGCAGAAGCAGGGACGAGCAGCAGCTAGACGCTTTGGTGCTTTTCGGCCTGCCGCCCTACCCACCCTCTGCCCTCACGCCATCGCCCGCATTCTTGCGTCCCCACGCCGCTAGAGAAGCACAGCCCCGTCATCTGCGCCCCAAGGCCCGTCACACGATTTGCGCCAGGAATGCACGAGGAATGCCTCCTCTCAGCTGGCCAGAGCTTATCTGCAGCCCTGCCTCTCGTCAATCTGCGATACGTCTCCTCCTCCACACGACTACTACTGCTGCTGCCGCTGTTACTGCTGCTGCTGCTGTCCCTACATACATGTCCTCTTTCCTCTTTGCTGTCTCGGCCTCGACCACACACGTATCCGCCTCCATCTCACTCTGCCTGCGACATTTTCTCCCAATTACGCCCTCTCTCTATCAGCCATCTTTCGATTTCTGCATTGCAGCCTGCCCTGCCAGCCTCGACCAGGGCCCTGACTGGGTCCCCGCATGCTTGCTGCAGGTTGGTGGCGGCGCGAGCAGGGTCAGCGTACATAGGCTGGAACTCCCTTCCCCACAGAACAAGTCGTCTTTGTCCGACCCAACTAAAAAGATTTTTTTTCCAGTGGCTTTTCCTCTTGTCTGACAGGGCGAAAAACTTTTTCTCTCTGCTCGTTTGCGGCGTCATTGTCTCAGTGAGCATGTCGCAAGATCCTGCACGCTTGTGTCTTGGGATGCATGGCCCCCGGAGGCTTCACCGTAGCCTCTCTCCCTCTTGCTTTGCCAGCCGGCGCGTGCGCAACCGCAGCTTGCATGGGATCAACCTTTTGGCGCGGCGGGTGGCTACAGGCCTGCCAGCCATTGGCCCAGTTTATTGGTACAACCATGCGCATACAGATGTCTGTCTGTGAGCCCCATTCGGCTTCGTACGTTTTGAACGAGCGTTCGTGCTCACCGGCTGCCGTGCGACGCCCGAGGGCATAACATAAGCCCCTCGAACGAAAACGTGTCTGCTGCCCACAAGGTGTCTACGCGACCCGAAGAGCCTGTGCGACGCCCATGTCACGCCCACTTGGGACTTCCCGCAAGCACGCGCAGAGCAAAAAGATGGGGTACGTCGATGCCCTTGCTTGTTTCGAACTCCCGCCTCGGGAATTATCCAGGACTCCTGTCCGCTCCACTCTTTTTGCCGTCCGGATATTCGCCACCATGTCTCATTGAGCCCGACGTCAGCGAACTGATCAGGTGGCGATGACGGCGACATCCGCCAGGCTCTGCGGCAGATCGGCAAAGGGCCCCGCATCCGCAGCTTGACGAGAGCGTTTCATCCCCTTCTCGGCCTCTCGCCTTGCATCCCACGGTCGTCGTCTTGACCGGCCGGCGCCTGCCTTTCCACTCAGCTGCCGACACTTGGCTGCGTCTGTCGGAGCCTGACGGGCCAAGACGTGCGTTTCATCAGGGCCTCAGAGCCTTTCTTTCTCTCTGCGGGAATAAGCAACCGCTAAGGACGGGGCGTGCCTGAGCTATGTCCTGGGGTCTAGAAGAGGCCCACTATCCGGCTCTGACGTGCTGCGATAAACGACGCGCTGCACGCCCCTTGTCCAAGCCAATGCCTACATACATACATTACAGCCGCCGCCCCCTCCCTCTGATTTTTTCGCCTCCTTCTATCGCGCCGCGCGAAGCGTGTGCGTGAAGAACGGGTCCGGCATAACGACGCCGTCTGAGTGGACGAGCTAAGCGGTGGGCGGGTAGGGGTCTCCCGCAGCAGTCGAGGATGGTGGTGGTGCGGCCGCGCACCTGAGCGGCTGCCCGCACGCCCTTATCGCCCCTCCCCCCCTCCCCTCTCGCACCTTGCCGAGGTGCCGCCATGGTGTTCGCGAGATCGCGATCTAAAAAAACGCCTGGGGGATGCGCTTCGACGTTGAGAGGGGGGGAAGGAAAGCGGCCGGGGTTTCAAAAATGACAGGTCAGCTTGCTGGGGGGACAAGAGAGTATTGGTATGCGTGCCGTGTTGTGGCTGGCGTTCCTGGTCGGTCGTGAAGATCGACCAGCACAAGCGACGGCCATGTCGACGGCGCCAAGTGCGTGCTTGACGTTTTCGCGAGAGGCAAAGAAGGTAAAAATAAAAAAAGGGACTTGTCTCCACCAGTGTCCTTTCCGTCGGGCTTGCGGCTAGGCCATGGCAACTAGCGGTTGTGTCCGTAGTGCACATCCGTTAGGTTCTATCACGCTTGGCGCGCAGTGCAGTGGCGACGCCGTTGCTTCCCCTACATATCATGGTGGCCGGCAAGGTCCACCACGTGGACGAATTGCCTGCCCCTCGGGCCTATCGTATCCGCTCCCGCGCGAATGAGCACGCGACTGAGTGGTTTCTCCTCAGTAGAGTGATAGTGTGGTTAGTAGGGAGAGAGGAAGGATGTAGCTACTAGCTCGGTAGGGAATGAAGTTGTCTCTCCATCACTCGTCACAATCGTCTGTCTGTCGCACCGTCACCTCACGTCTCTTCACTTCATCTGCATTGCACATCCTCTTCCTTCAATGCGTAGGCCCTGTGCTGTCTGTTCCCAGTCGCAGTGCCCATCCATGCCGCACACACCCAAGCAAGCAACCGCCCATTTCTACGTCAGGCCGGTCGCACTGCCACCACCCAGATACCTAGCCACTTACCTAGCACCCATCCTATCCGGCGCATGCAGTATGTGAATGCGTGCGTGTGTGTGTGGCGGCTCAGCAGCATCCGTCTTCCGTCTTCCGTCTTCCGCCCAACGCCGCCGCCGCAGCGGCAGCAGCATGGAAGTAGTAAGCAAGCAGCAAGCAAGCAAGCAAGAAAGAAAGAAAGAAAGCAGCAACAGCAGCAGCAACAAGCAGCAGCAGTGAAAGATCAGCACTTCATTGCGTCCGGTGAGCACCAAGACCCGCCATCTCCGCAATCCTCCACGCCGTCTCTCCGCAGCCGCGACCGCCGCCGCGACCGCCCTCTGCTCACTCACTGCTCACTGCTCACTGCTGCCCGCTCACTACGACGCCTCGCTTTTCCTCCTCCGACATGGCCTTCTCGGCGTAGCACAGCACAGCACAGCGCCGGCACCGCGATCTGCGCGCTCTCGCGCACACGCTGACGCGCGTCATCCCCCTCCCTCTCTCCCTCCCTCTCCCCCTCCCTCTCCCCCTCTTCCTACGAGTACTGTACCCCAGACCACACCACACCGTGCCCCTGCTCTTCTGTACACACATACGTATGTACATACATACGTAGTAGCTTCTCCCCAAATCCCAAGTCCCCTCTCTCTCATTTATCTTAGCCTTTCCAACCAGCCTGGCCCTGCCCTCCCACCACCCCACCCGAAGATCGTCTCTCCCTCCCTCCCTCTCTCTATGTGTGTGTACTGTACATCGCTAGGTAGGTAGGTCAGGCGTTGCCCATGTCCATCATGTCGTCAAGCCTTGCACATCACTTTCGCCATTGCCTCGCCCGCCTCCCCTGGTGCGACCCCACCGACTGACTGACCTACATGCTTTACTTTGCCATGCTATACTAGGATGCGTATAATTGGTGGCCAAGGGTCCCGTCAGGTTGATCCTTTGCCTACTCCCTTCGCCACTAGGCCGGCTCCTAGCGGCGCAGCTGTCTCACGCACGGCACAGTCCCGCTGTGCGTGTGTGCAGCTTGCGACCTACCGTTACCAAGGCTGTCAGGTCGCATCACCAACGCTTTTTGGCTTGGCCATGACCAAAGTGGCGTGGCTGCAAACTTTGTTAGCCGTCACGGCCGCATGAATCAAGGCATTGAAAGGGCTATTGGAATTATTCTGCAGATTTTTGAGCTCGCTAATGAGACACAATGCACCAACAGTCGCCGCCTCATCTAAGAGGGCCGCGCTGTCCACCCGCCTCGAGAAAGCTATGTCGTGAGTGATCCGTTTCCCACATAGCGCATAATCTAAACCAACGTTTAACCAGTACCGGATACAGCAAGCCTGTAACGAATATGGTTAGCCAATCTCGTCTTGATAAAATGTATGGGTTCACTTACTTCATCAAGTGATCCATGAATGTCTGCAGCGAGACGTCGTCCGTGAAGATGGTTTGAGCAGTCTGGGCAACACCGCCATACGAGCCAGTCGTGTGCGTCGTAGAGGGGTTCAGCTTCGACAGCAAGAAACGAGCCTGGGATCCACCAGCGTCACAGACAATGAAACGAGGAAGAGGGAACCGGTCCTGGATGAGTTCCTTTGCGTCCTCCTTTGGCGCCTCCAGCAGAGCCCTGAAGTTCTCGTAACCCTCCTGGTCCTGGTAACCAGCCTTCCTCCACTCCGCCATCGTCTCACCGTGGAAAATAAGAATGTGGAAGAAGGTGTCGAGCAACAAGACAGTCTCGGCCTGGATGGAAGTTGAGTCGAGCAGCACAGGCTGACCACCCTCATGATCAAAGCCGTAAGAGTCAAGGGTAGGCTGGATCATAATGAGAGAGTTGCTGACATCCTCGTGGTTCAAGACGTGACGGTAGAAAGCAGTCTCATCGGGAGAGTTGTTGAAGACTTGAAGGAACTGAGAGCGACGAAGGTGGAACATGAACTGGGGGTATAAGGTAAAGTTCTTTTCAAGCCTGATTTTGTTAGTTACGTTCGATATAAAGATGATTTGCTTACCTGAAGGAAGAGGGGTCATCTTTCCGGTACTCGGCAAAGCGGGAGCAAAGCCTGATGAGCATGCGGTCAACCCAGCGCAGAACGTCCGGTCCATCATCCACTTCCGACTTGAAAACTGCTATTCTCGACATCAAAACAGCGGCGGCTTCCTGATCGAAGGACTGAGCGATGGCAGGGTCCCCAGAGGGACCGCTGAGGTTCCGTGCTACAGTGGTAACTCTGAGATGGTATTGGCCAGCAGAGTGCTGGTAGTAGGTCAAGAATTGCATCATTCCCTTCTGGGGGCCCTGTTGCATCTGGTTGGGGCCACCCTGGCTGGCAATCTCAAAGTAGATGCCGTAGCTGGAGCTAGGGTCGATACCGCACATCTTCCACGAGCAAGTGTTGCCGATACCGCATTCGGTCTCGCCTACGGAAGCGGACTTTTTGTTCATCGAAACAGCGTGGCCAATCAGACCGGTGACCTTGAGTTCCTTGGTGGTCAGGACCTCAAGAGATGCGTTGAAGCCCATCAGAAGGTTGTCGTCGGCATCCTTATCGAAGACACGAGCGAAAGACTGCTTGTACATGGAGGAAGTAAAGCTGTCAGTCAGAATCATGTGACCACCGGTAGAGTTGGCGAGGCCCTTCATTTCGAGAAGACCAACTTGGTCCAGACAGCCAGCGAAGATATCAATAATGTGGCCGTTGTGAGCGGTCCTCTTAGCGAGGGCATCGTAGAACTGCTCGTGTTAGCTAAGTCTAGCTAAGTTTATTATGATTGAGATTGTCTTACCTTGAGCGCCTTCTTGTAGTATTTGATGTTGTCACGGTCAATGTCGTGGTGCGAACGAATAGGCTCCCTAAGTTCAGGACCGACAACCATACCAGGGCCTTCAGTGGCAGGGCCACCAGTGAAAAGCATAACCCTGGCACCGGAGTTTTGGAAAGAGGTTTCGAGAAGGCCAACAGCAACGCTGAGAGCAACACCAGTGCAGCGCAACGCACGCTTGTCATTCGCAACGGGCCAAGGGTCCTTTTGCAGCTGCTCAAGGACGTTGGTCAACTGGAACTCGCACTGCTGAACGGGAAGCAGGAAACGAGCAGCGGGGCCCATGGGAGGAAGAGCGCGGCCCGGCTGGGGCTGCATGCCTGGCCTCAAACCGGCGGCCATAAGACCAAGCATTTCCTGGACCTGCTTCGCGGTGTACTCCTTGCTACCGCGGAAGACGTAAGACTTGGCGCATTCGGTGTAGCCGAGCTCATGGACTTGGGTCTGAAATTGTTAGTTTCCAAATATTACAATAAGTCGTCCATGCCTACCGTCGTGCCAAATGTGATGAGACCGACAAGAGCCCACGGCGGGAGCAGGCTCAAGCTCATAATGATCGAATCCTTCAGCGCCTTCAAGCTATCCTCCTCTTGGCAAGTATCCACGACGAAGACGAAAATCGGAGGAGAAGGAGCGGGCCGCGCCAGCCTGTACTCGATGGTGGTGTTTTGCGGGTGGAGCTCCGGGGGTATCGCCTGGTCGGAGATGTCCTTGTAGTGGGGGGGAAGACCATTGCGCTGGAGACAGAACGGGCATATCCATATCCTAGCGCGCATGTCGACTTGACTGGATGTTGTTAGATTGATATATTAAGCCGGGCTGTGGACTGACCAGAAGGGGTTGAGGACGGCCCTGCAGGGCGCTTTGCAAGAGACCGGCTCATACTGGAGCAGTGGCGTATCCGGCTTTTCCTTCAAAGGGGTGTAAAGAGCTCCGATGGGAACTGCGGCGCGTGAGTTATGAGACGTGGCGGAGACCATGAGGGAACCTACCAACGAGGCGGGAAGCTTCCTGGATGGCAGTCAGCGAACGATCCCCTCGGTGGTGTTGAGACGTGACCTACCATGCGCGAGCTGGGGAAGGTGTTCCAACTGAGCCTCACACCATCCTGGTCCTCAATGTCGCTCCATTGCTCTTTTAAGGCCTCGTAGTCCATGATGTTGGGGCCAGCTCAGTAGCTGGACGTGACGGGTGCAGGGTTGATGGCGGGGCGCCGAGCGTGACTGCGGGCAGACGCAAGAGGAGGGAGGGTCGTCGTCGAGCTTGGGCAGGGCGGGCGACTTTGGAGGATTGTAGGCGGGCAAAGGCAGGGGAGTCTTGATGGTGTCCGGGGTAGATCAGAGGCGCGATAGAAGCGGCCACATTGTCGTGAACTTGGGCGGTCGGGCATCCCGATGCAGTCTAGCTCGCTGGCCCGCCGCGCCCTCAAAAAGCCGCCGCCGAGCTCCCGCCGCCTTTTCTTCTTCATACCACGCCAGCAACAAATCACATTACTGTCGACAGCGTGCGCTTTTCAGTGCCAATGCTGCTTTCGCGCTGAGCGAAGATCGCTCTTACCCATGGCTGGGCGCCCGACTTCGAAACGTCGTTCCGACTTACAGGAGATGTCGGGAATCAGCAGAGGTTACATATTGTACATGTAGAATGAATGCATCACTTCGAAACATTGCCAATGCTATCCATTAACCCCACCTGTACAGAGGGCCCTTCCGGCCCTTGGTCCTGTTCAACGGGTCCGGGTACACCTTGCCTTGAAGCGGCTCCTTGACGCCCTTGTCCTCGGCGTTCAACTTTGAGAATTTCTGCACCATCTCCTCCAAATCCTGCTTGCCCTTGTCTCCCCGGAACTGCAACACCTTCTTAAGGTTGGTCTTGGTGATGTCGTTTTGCGGAATGTTTTCGCTACGTTGACGCGCGAGCGTTTGTGCCATCATGGCGAACCGCATGTCCTTGGGCGAGTCGACGAGCTCGAGGATGGCCGACTCTGCCTGGTCTTCCTTGAGCGGCTCAATGCGCAGCACGCGCGTGTAGCCACCGGCACGCTCGGCGTAGCGTTCGCGGAGGGGACCGAAGAGTTTAGGGACGAGTTCGACGGGGCGCTAAAAGGTTAGTTTATATATGTGAAGTAGAGGACATTGCATACAAAGAAGATTGATGTTGCCCTCCTCTTGCTAGCTTCCGTGTTCTTCTTTCCCAAGGTAATGAGTTTATCGGCCAGACGCTGGGCTTCCTTGGCTTTGTGCCAGGTCGTAGAGATGGACTCGTGCTCGAACAGCGACGTCACCAGATTGCGCAGCAGTGCCTGCCTGTGCGACGACTTGCGCGACAAGTGGCGGTACTTTGTGCGGGCGCCGGCCATGGTGGAGGTGTGGTGCGGAGGTTAGAGGTTGAGGTATCAGGCGGGTAAGAGGATGGCGTGGGTCGCGAGATATTCGAGGTTCGGCGGGCAATTGGCTTGGCTTGAACCCGTCCTAGAGCCTGGATGCGAGTCGGCAGGATGCGAATCGGCGGGCGTGCTTGGGCGTCGGCGGAGGTGAGCTTCGTGAGAAATTCAGCCAAGACCACCCGCCGCGGAGGCGGATTGGAACCACAGCACCATCACCGCTCCGCCGTCCGCTCTAAAGGGCAACACCGCTGTCTATCCCCTTTTCTGCCAGGCAGCTCTAGACCCCTTCCACTTTGCATACCCTGGACATCTCTGGACATACTCTCTGCACATTGCTCCCAACACCTCAGGAGTCGCGAATCGTCTGCTATCTAATCGCCCTTTTGATCACCATGGGCTTTACCACAGGCTTCGTACGTTCGCTAGCGTCTCGTTCTCAACATGACTCTAACCTCTCCCTAGCTCGGTGGTTTCACCCTTACAAGTTCCGTCCTTTACTTGACTGTCGTCCTGCACCAGCGCAACCGTCTTCAGCAATCACTAGCGCTGCGCCAATCCTCGCTTGCCTTGGGCAACATTGTTGAGCCGCAACCCACCTTTGTGCCGCCGTCGGCGCGTGAACGCCATGCTGGTCTTGCCGAAACCGCAAAGGATCGTTGGAATGGCGAGGTTGAGCGCTTTGTCAAGAAAGCGTATGAAGTTGACTGGAGCGAGGTTCGCGACAATGCCGAGGCGCAGGTTACGAACGTATGGCGGAGGATTGTCGAGAGCGCGAACAAGAAGGATTAGTGGTGGTGGCACTGGGAAGTTGCACTGGAGACGCGCACGACGCGGTATGGAGACGCGGTACGGAGACGCGGCACTGCTACAATCGCGGCGAACTGCCGCTGGACGAACGAACCGTGGACCACTGGAGCAGTCATTAAAGATGCCCGGTGGAATTGCACGAGGTCGGAGCAGCTCCGGGACAGGGAGGCTGAACAGATGATACCCTTGTTCTTTGCGCAGGTCTTTTGCTTAGGAGTTCATAAGCGGAGGTTGAATGAGTTATGGCACCATGAAGCGTTGTTTAAATAGACTTCTTAGAATAGATCGTTTCGTTAATACATTATGCTTCTCTTATCATGGCTTTCAACTTATGGCTGGACCATTTTGTGTCTTGTCAACATTATTCCCCTTACCCCCTACAACAGTCCAGGGATGACCGCCTTTCTATTACCCACCTTGTCGGCCCCAAATTTCTCCACATACCATCTTCTGCCTTGCAAGGCTCTAGGCAGCATCGTCGCAATCTCATTCAACAAGAAGCTCCTAGCAGGCGTGCAATTCCAACCTCCCACCATCCAGAAGCCCGCCCACTCCATCCACTCACAGAAATAGTGCGCATACAGCACGAACTGGAACAAACCGTTCTTCGGCAGCATATACACCTTATCGACGCCCTCTTCAGGTTGGCCAGACTTTTCCGCCTCGCGCTTCTGGCGCCGCGCGGCAGCGCGTCTGATCTCGCGCAGATCGTCATCGTGGTAGATGTTGCCGAGCAGGGACCAGCCCCAGATGATCATTCCGATCTCTGCCAGGTATAGCTGGCCTTTCCAGTCGTATGCGGTGATGGGGCCGTAGCCTGCGAGCCAGCCGCCCAGCGAAATGGCGTTGGCGAACTGCCACGCGAGAGCGAAGAACCAGACGAGCAGGTGGATGGGGGACATGCTGGGGTTGAGGAAGAGGGGGGCAGCGATGGCGCGGTAGAGGTAGTGGATTGTCTGGGCGATTAGCTTAGGATGAGAGCGGGGAATGAGAAACTTACAAACATCCCGGCCATGGCCCAGTTTCCCCAGGGTAGTTCAGCGATGCCCAGCTTTGTTGGTAATGTAAACATGATGTAGAGTAGTATGATGAAGCCCGGAGCTTCCATGGTAAACCATGCCCATTTGCCTGGAATGTTGAGGCGAGAGCTACTCGATGTCTTGCCTTGGGGATACCAGTCGGTGAGCCACTGCACCGCAGTGAACTAGATGCGGTCAGTAATTGCTAGATTGATGCAGCTTGGAGCTTACCAAAGGGAAGAAACGCCATGCCCATTCAATCAACTGCCAATTCTCTAGTGAGGGAGGAAGTATGCCTGGTATGATTGCCATGGTGGTTGTTGTTGTAAGTTCTGTGCTGGATTGGTGGAGTCCTAAGTATGGTGTCGTCACTGGCGTCACTCTGCGGCAGAGCGGTTGCTTCCGGATCGACAGCGTTAAGCGACACGATCTTGGTCTGGTGAAGGGATCTCTGCTGTCGAACCACTGTTTGACCCCAGCTCGAAGCTTATAGTAAAGTGCACCTTGAAGCCATCCATTATCCTATTAATTTTGCCCTATACCCGCTTGAAATGCAGGTCGACATCCATCCTCCCATATGCAACTGCGATGAAGCAAAGTGGTATCAAACATGCTGCGCTGAAACAAGCAAATCGACCGACTCCACCTGTACGTTGGAGTGGTTGCGATGTGAAAACAAACAAATCAACAACTCCACCTGTACCGTGTGGAGCTGTTGCGTTGTGAAAGCAACCGGCTCGAGTCGAGCCACACTGCAACTCCTTCCCAAGACTCCAACCATGCCAAAGATCCGATGCGACGAGGTGCCCAAGGTACCTTTTACCGGCCCCGCGCTTCCCTATGCCTGTACCGTCGTAGAAGTAAAAAGCTTCTAACGCCTGGAACTGAACGCCTGGTTGTCGACTAAACGCCTGGTCGTAACTGCCAACGCTTCCGCCGACGTACGACCTACATTAGTCCACCTAGCACAACCTTGCCAACACCAGCCACTTCTTGTTTTGCGCCAGCGCGACTCGCGTCTTCAAACTCTCGAACCACACCGGCGACGATTATCTTTCTGACCCTCGCATCGGCCTTTGCAAACATCTCACCCACACCAGGCACACACGCCTCTGGTCCATTGACCAAATTCATGACCTTGGTATAGCAATCGATGAGCACATCGCAGAGAGTCGAGAATGTCTCGAAAAAGTCCGGATCAAAAGGTAAGCTCGGCGTCAAAAGATGAGTGTATTCTTCGCCGGGAAGCAGGTCATTGTTGTCGCTGCCAGTCATATTGAAAGGAGTGTCGGAACTGCCAATGTCTGGAAACCCAAAATCGGTAGCGGAACTTGCGCGTCGACCTTTGGTTGCGCCTGAAGCGGCGTGTGTAGCGCGCTTGAACATGCCGGCGACACGACCGCGAGACAAGCTGCTCGGCATGGTGCCCTCGGGTGGATGGATGGATTGGTACGTCTCGAATTCGATGAGCAAGGCATTGAGGGCGCGAAGGTAATCATGCGGGTTCTGCGAGTTTCGGTCGAGGATGGCAGGGAGAGAGAAGCCGAGCAGGAGGTAATTGGTCGCGCGTCGGGCAAGGCTGCGCTGGGAGAAGTAGGAGAGCTTGGAGAGGTCCGTTTTGGTGAAGAGGAGGGTATTGAACCAGTAGACACGGCCGTCATGGCTGAGAGGCGGTTAGTCATGGACAGGGCAGTCGACGGGAGAGGATTACGCTTTTCGCAGGTAGTCGAGCGTCGAGATGCGCTTGGAGGACATGTCATGGATGTGCTGGTAGATGGCGTTGGGGTTGTGGCCGCCGGCGAGCGGGCCAATGTTGGCGGGAGCGGCCAAAGGCGCGGATTGACCAAAGGGCGCATTGGAAGCCGAGGTGGCAGGGGGCCGTGAAGCCAGCAGCGGATGCATGGGGCCGACGCCGGCCATCTTGGGGTCGTGGGGGTCGGGCGGGGATCGTGCTAGGTGGTCGTGGGATTTCTGGCGGGCGCGGGTGAGGTTGTGGATGGAGAGGACGGCCTTGGAGGCATTGGACTGGGGTTTGTCGGGCTCTCGTTTGTCGTCGTTGTGGCTATGGGCCGAATGGCCGGAGCGCAGGGATGCGGACCTGCGCAGGTTGGAACCGAAGTCTGTGACGGAGGAGGCAAAGCTGTGACGCGAGGAACCCGTCTTGCGGCGCGAGGGCGAGACGGCCTCTTCGATGGTGGGCGGGACGGGCGTAGTTGCCCTGCCGTTGTTGGTGGGGCCCGGGGTTGCACTGCGGGCCGGCTGGGCGTCGGCTTGATGGTGCTGACTATGCTTGGTCTTGGTGCGGCCGAAGATGGAGGGTTTGCGAGGCAGCATGACGGGGGTCCGGGGGTACGCCGGAGAAGGAGGAGAGCGGCTTGAAAGCAGGTCATGGTTTGGCAAATTGCGCGCCGGCGTCTATCACGGTGATCGCAGTGGGCTCAGTCATGCGCAACGGCGAGTCAGGCCGGGGCGCGCGAGAAAAGGCCGGCCAGCCCGCGCCCCTCATCAGCAACCACCACCTGCACCATCCCATCAGGTACCATGAGTCCAGTGTGTGCGCACCCACCCCAATCCCCGCCCGCCCCAGACTGACGCCCCGCGAGGACACGCCCAAGCCCGGCGACTGGCCCGTCGATCCCCAGCACGACGTGCCCGTCGACGACGACCGCATCTGGATTGACGGCTGCTTTGATTTCAGCCATCATGGTGGGACTTCCTCTTCTTGTCCTCTTGTTAGGTACATCTCTAACTTCCTCCCCAGGCCACGCCGGCGCCATGCTGCAGGCCCGCCAGCTCGGCAACGAACTCCTCGTCGGCGTCCACTCCGACGAGGCCATCCTCGACAACAAGGGCCCGACCGTCATGACTCTGCCTGAACGGTCAGCCGCCGATCACCACTCCCGCTCCGCATCTGCTCGCTGACGCCGCCCCCTTGCAGCATCGCCGCCGTCGACGCCTGCCGCTGGTCCACAAAGTCCATCCCAAACGCTCCCTACGTCACCTCGTTGCCCTGGATCACCCACTACGGCTGCCGCTATGTCGTCCACGGCGACGACATCACCTCGGACGCGTCGGGCGAGGACTGCTACCGCTTCGTCAAGCAGGCCGGCCGCTTCAAGATTGTCAAGCGCACCCCTGGCATCTCCACCACCGACCTGGTCGGCCGCATGCTGCTCTGCACCAAGACGCACTTCATCAAGGACCTGGAAAAGGCCCTTGACGGCGAGGAGGGCGATGGGAGCGAGGAGGAGAGGAAGCTCGCGGGCGAGGCGATGCGCGAACGAATCGTCGCCTACGCGAGTGACGCTACCGGTTTGGCTCCAGGGAGCGAGGTCTGGCGCTGGCACCAAGAGCTGGGCAAGTCCACCCAGATGGTCAAGGGCATGGAGCCTCGTCCGGGGCAGAGCGTCGTTTACGTCGACGGCGGCTTTGATCTCTTCTCCTCGGGCCACATTGAGTTCCTCCGGAGAGTGATTAAAGAAGAGGAGCAAGAGGCCCACAAGCGCGGCTGGTACCATCCCGAATCGGTGACGCAGCGCATCACCCAATTCGGCTGCGACTACAGCCCCGTCTACATTATCGCCGGCGTGCATGACGATGAGGTCATTAACGAATGGAAAGGCATCAACTACCCCATAATGAACGTCTTTGAGCGTGGCCTGTGCGTGTTGCAGTGCAAGGTATGATCGAGGTTCGGGTAGCATGAGCTCCTGCTGACAGTTGTAGTACGTCTCGGCCGTTGTCTTCTCTGCGCCGTTTAACCCTGACCCGACCTTCCTCCGCTTCCTGCCTTATGGTCTGCCGAGCGCCGTCTACCATGGCCCGACTGCCTTTATGCCCACTGCCGAAGATCCGTATGCCGATGCGAAGAAGCTCAAAATCTTCCGCGAGATACCGCAGCATGACTTTGCGCACGTCAACGCAGGCGAGATTGTAAACCGCATCATGCGCAGCAGGGCGTTGTACGAGGAACGGCAGCGGGCCAAGGGCGTAAAGGGCATTGGCGAGGAGGCAGTGAGAAGGAGAGAGGAGCTGGAGCGGGAGACGGCAGCAAGGGATGCGGACAGACTAGCGCAGAGAGAGGCGCAAGGATAGATGTAAAAAGAAAAAATGGAGGTTCGTCTGCTTGGAGTGGCACGGCCGCATTAATAGACTGTAATAGAGGAAATCACCTACGATTAGGCGGTCAAGAGGCGAGATCTGTGAACCAGTGCGTCGGGAGGAAGAAGAAGTCACGGCTCGGGTCAGATTTGCTCTATTCGGCCGGTATCGCGCCGAGACTTTCCCCGCATCAAACGCCGATGGACGAGGTACACTTCCCCGCGATCCTCACGATGCAACGACATCGGCGTGAATTCACGACGTCTAACTCGGGATTGGTTTTCCGCGTCGTCTTGTTGTAGATAAATTAGCTGGCTGCTCATCGACCGGGTTGGATACATACCAGATTTAACCTCCCAAATCATTCAGCTTCAGCTTCATCTTCAGCTTTCAATTGCCAGCTTCCAGTTCTTTCATTCCTGCTTTCGTCATCTCTCCTTCCTTCAGTCCCACGAACAATGTTTCACTCCAAATCCGAAGCCCTCCAAGGCCGACCCAACACATCCAGCTACAGCAAGCCACCCCCAGCCCGCACCAGCGAGCTAAGCGCCTACACCAAACCGCCGCTGGACACGCTGCTCAACGCCCACGACTTCGAGGACGTGGCCGCGCGCACGCTCGACCAGAAAACCTGGGCCTTTTACAGCTCCGCGGCCACGGACCTGCGCACGCGCGACGCGAACAAGGCCGCCTTTGCCCGGCTGTGGTGGCGGCCGCGCGTGCTGCGCGACGTCGCGCGCGTGAGCACGCGTGCCCGCGTCCTGGGGCACGATGTCCAGCTGCCGCTGTTTGTGTGTCCGGCCGCCATGGCGAAGCTCGTGCATCCGGAGGGGGAGAAGGCGTTGGCGCGCGCGTGCGGCAGGCGCGGCGTCGCGCAGTGTGTATGTGCCCCTAGGTCCGGCGGGCGACTGTGCGAGCAGCAGCGCGCGTGGGTAGAGACAGAAAGACTGACAGCTAGCTCTTCCCCTCGCCCCAGATCTCGACCAACGCCTCGTTCCCCGCCTCGGAAATCGTGCCCGAAGCCCCCAAGAACCACCCCTTCTTCTTCCAGCTGTACGTGAACAAAGACCGGCGCGCATCCGAAAAGCTCCTTCAACACGTCGCCGCCATCGGCATCAAAGCCATCTTCGTGACGGTCGACGCCCCCGTCCCAGGGAAGCGCGAGGCCGACGAGCGCGTGCGCGCCGACGAGACGCTCAGCACGCCCATGAGCGGCGCGCAGGCGCGCAACGACAAGAAGGGCGGCGGCCTGGGCCGCATCATGGGGACTTACATCGACGCGAGCCTGAGCTGGGAGGACCTGCGCTGGCTGCGCGGCGTGACGACCTTGCCGATCGTGCTGAAGGGGATTCAGGGCGCGGCGGACGCCAGGCTCGCCGCTGAGCACGGCGTCCAAGGCATTGTTCTTAGTAATCATGGTGGGAGGAGCCTCGATACTAGTCCCCCGTCTGTGCTGATGCTGCTCGAGCTGCAGAGGTGCTGCCCCGAGGTGTTTGATAAGCTCGAGGTGTATGTGGACGGTGGCATTCGCCGCGGTACGGACATCCTCAAGTGCTTGTGCTTGGGTGCTACGGCTGTGGGCATGGCGCAGCATTTCCTCTACGCGCTCAATTACGGGCAGGAGGGTGTGGAGCATTTGATAGAAGGTGAGTCTTAGGTGTTTAGGGTAAGGACGGAGCTAATAGAAAGCAGTGATGAAGGACGAGCTCGAGACGTCGATGAAACTGCTTGGAATAACCGACTTGAGCCAGGTCCATCCAGGGTACGTTAACACACTGGAGGTAGATCACTTGATACCCACAACGATTGAGCATCCATATGCGAGGTGGTCTCCGAAAGCGAGGTTGTAGTTTGATGTAGAATGCATGAGCAGATTATAGGAGTTAGGGTGTTAAGGTCAGAAAGAGACCAGGTTGTGGTTTTAATTATCTAGATGAAACAAGAGCTTCCTGCTAGCTAAGCTTTACAATTTTTAATGAATGTGTTGTAGCTATTACAGGTTGCGAGGCCAGGATAAGAACAATCAAGTCGTCTGGTAGTCAATGTGCGCAAAAACGTAGCCATGTTCGAGTCTAGTGACAGCAAATATGGCTCTCCAGCGGAAGATAATCCGAATATTCGACAGGACGACGGTTCAACTCATGCAGTGGATGGGTAGAAGACAAGTCCCCGTTAAAGGCCTTGACTCTTTAGCCGCTGGCGGAGCTCTGCAATGAACTTCTCAGTATTGTCCTCCGAATCCAGCTTCTTCCTCTCAGCTTCCACCTTGAAACCTAACTCTTTTATCGCACCGAGCTCTTTCAAGAACCCGTCTATCTTCTTGGTATCAAGTCCCATGGATGGCATTAACTCTTCAGGTACCGTCTTCGTGGTATTGCCTTTGATTAAGGCCTCCGTAGCAGCTGGTCCCATGATCTCAATCGAGAGGTCCTTGATCTCTCCTTGGATCGACCTCCATTCTTTCATCAGCTCTTGCTCCTTCTTCTCTGCTCGCTTGATGTCTATGCTGAAGCCTTTCATGAGCTCGCCGAGAGATTTCTCTGAATGTCCTGTGACAGGATCGGGGTAGGTTAGAAGCTCGTACTCGATAGGAAGGGTCAGGTCTTTGATCAAGCGGTTGTGTGAGGATTGAAGTTCCGCAGTTGTGGGAAGACGGTTGCTATCTTCTTCGTCTTTTTCGAGGCCCTGGGGTGTAGGCTCATCGAGCCGCGTCAAGAGAGATTGGAGCGTTGAGTCCAAGGCAGCATTTGCCTCGGAGACGACAGTAGTCTGGTAGTTCCTTGAGGCTTCTGCAGATGGGGGTTGTTAGTATAAGTCTTGATTCGTCTACTGTCAGCGGTGGAAACTGACCATTGAAAGCAGTAGACAACGGGTGCTCTAGCTCCTTCTGAACGCGAGCCGTTGACTTGGATGTGAGAGTGGATCGGGGTTTAGAAGCGTGTTTTTGTAAGCTCCGAGATTTACCGCTGAAGGTGGATGTTGTGCTTGATGTAGGCTGGCTTGTTCTAAATGACCTAGCCGTCTTCTTGAACATGGTAGACGTGGAGATGACAGTCTTTGCTTTCTGCGCAGGAGCCCTCTTAGGCGCGCGGGACGGGATATTTGGTGCCATTATGTACGTGAAAAAGTAGTGTACATTGAAAGGTGCTGTTAAAGTGTGAGAATAAGACTGATGGTTCAGGAAGTGGCGGAAGGACGCCGGGAAGCACAAAACCGGCAACCACGCAATCTCAACACTTCAACATGCCGCAACACCCATCAATTACCTTAAATCGTACAGAGGTTATGTATAGGATATCTAATCAACCGTGACACTCATACACATCGCCACCTTGATGCCGACCTCTATTCCGGCTTCGCGTCCTCCTCAGCGGGCACAAGGACATCGTTGTCCTCCAGCATCTTCGCCAACGAACCATCCTGGTGCATCGACATCAAGATGTCGCAGCCGCCAACAAACTCCTTGTTGACGTACAGCTGGGGAATGGTTGGCCACTCGGAGTATTCCTTGATTCCTGCACGTCATCAGTCACTATCCATATTGAGATCCTTATAAACTCACCCGCCCTCAAGTCCTGATCCTCGAGCACGTTGAATGCCGTGAACTTGCTGGGGTCAACGCCCTGCATGCCGAGGATCTGTATGCTCGCCCGCGAAAACCCGCATTGCGGCATCTCCGGAGTACCCTTCATGAACAAGACAACTGGAGCCGACGCGACGGCCTTGTCAATGGCCTGGCGCGTTTCCTGCGAGAGGAGGCGAATTTGCAGAGGCGTGAGGCGGGCGTTCTGGAGCGGGTTGGCGAGTTGCCGCGACGGGCGAACTGCTGCGCGGAAGGCCTGCGGCTGTCAGTATTGTCCTTGTGGTTTGGAGGATGTGGAACATACGCCGGCGAAAGCTGTCCTCGAAAACATTGTGACTGGGTTGTTTGTGTTGGAGAATGCTAGGTTCGGGAGTCACGAAAGTTCGCCGCATCGAACCGCATGATGCTTACATATCAAGAGCTCTTGACTCGCCTTCACGGAACTTTTGATCCTCGGTACAACTAGCGAAAGCACTGCTGCATCGACAGCTTGTCCTAGTTGAGATGTCTTCAACTAACCCGGTGCCCGCTGAGCGCAGAAAATACAACTCTGGACCGCTGGTAGCCTCCGCACATCAGAATGACAATAAAGCGCATCTCCTTCTCGCCGCCTCAGGCTCCGTAGCGACCATCAAAATCCCAGCCATCGTCGATGCCCTATCCTGCCACCAAAACCTTTCGATCCGTTTGATTTTCACGTCTTCCGCAGCCGCGTTCCTTGCCGGGCAATCCGCAGAGCAACCCTCGCTATCCGACCTCGTCTCCATGCCGAACGTAGACGGAATATACTTGGACGAAGACGAGTGGGTGGAGCTATGGACAAGAGGCGCGAGCATTCTGCACATTGAGCTTAGGCGATGGGCGGATATTATGGTCGTCGCGCCTCTGAGCGCAAACACGTTGGCGAAGATGGTTGGCGGGATATGCGACAACCTACTCCTGTCCGCTATACGAGCTTGGGATACCACGGGTCTGCTTGATCCTGTTCGCGAGGAGTTTGCTGCTGCTTGCGCTTCCGATGCGGTTGAGGCTCGGAAGAAGATTATCATGGTTGCACCGGCAATGAACACGGCCATGTGGCATCATCCAATCACAAAGAAGCAGGTCGGGATGCTCGAGGGCGAGTGGAATGTCCGAAATGGTGGCTGGGTAGAGGTATTGAGGCCGATTGAGAAGTCGCTCGCGTGCGGTGACATTGGCGGTGGGGGTATGAAGGAGTGGAGGGATATTGTGGGCATCATAGAAGGCAAATTGGGCCTCAAGAGGTGAACGTCAGGCATCCTGTTTGCGAAGCCACAGCAACTGGTTGCAAGAGGGTTGGTCTCCACCTGTTTAAGACAGTTGGAAGCAGTTCAATGATTGGGAGCGAGGCGAGAGATGTGTAAGCTTCAGATGTTTTTATTTAGGAACTTATCCTGCCCTGTTGATATGCCAGCGCTTGCTAATGATAGATAAAGCATATTAGAGGTAGGTCAGTTTACCACGGTCATACGGAGTAGGGGAGATGTCGTTTATATGCCCGGGGCTAAAGGTAGTCAGTAGAAGTAGAAAGTATATTAATTTGCTTTTAATTTGAGGGTTGAAAACATTACAGTGCTATCTGTCTCCACGGTGAATGTTGTTTAGTAGAAGCAAAGTGTGTCAAGTTGACTTAAATTCGAGCATTAAAGATGCTCCATTGCTACCTACATCCTCTGGTAGTAAACCAAGATACTCCACAGTCTAACCCTTACATACCTGTACCTAGAGCCAGGCTTGTAGTCTCAGTAGCTCACAAAGGTGTAAATTGTAACAATGGCTGCTCCCACAGCTCCTGTGATTGATGAACATATCCGAAAGAGGAAATGAACGGGAATGGTTTGCTTCGCGGCCGTAGTACGGTACACGATAGCATCGAAATAGCACATCATCTCCCTGCTGCCGAAGTCGCAGTCCCCAGACAACCTTGCATGTGCGTTCCTAAGGCGGAATGTATGTCCGAAGATACTCGATGGCCACACAAGGTGCACGAGGTGTAACAATAACCAATCCGCTCGTTCTATATCGAGCTCTTCTGGCAACAAATCGTATCAGACCTGATCCGGCGCAGCATCGGCTAGGTACGTCATTGATGTTGACCGCAAGCCTACGTCCAGGAAGTTAATGAAGACAGCAATTCATTTACAAAAACTATACGACTCACTCAAAGATTATGAACCGACCACAGAGTATAGTCATCGGCTACAACAGATTAGCCGCGCGGTTGGCCAGGACCGTGCCAAGAGCTTGGATAGTGGATCTATCTGGTCTTCCGTTTTGTCTCGAAAAGAGAAGAATAACCTAGCTTTGACGCGAGTATTTACAAGCCATGAAGAAGCGCTGCATCTGGATTCACCGAAAGGCTTGTTGCTCCACGGCGAGGTTGGCACCGGGAAGTCGCTTCTCATTGATCTCTTCGCTGAAAGCCTCCCGAATCGAAAAAAGAAACGGGTTCATTTCTCCATCTTCATGTTGGAGGTGTTAGCGCAGTTGGAGCAGCTAAGGCGAAGACGGAGCGTTGGCAAGGGACTTGACGACGAGCACTCGCTCCTGTGGCTTGCCCGAGACATGATCCAAAACTCTCCTATCTTATTCGTGGATGAGTTCCAACTACCGGATAGGGCCTCAAGCAAGATCTTGGCAAACCTCCTGACGCCATTTTTCCAGCTCGGCGGTGTCCTGATTGCTACCAGCAACCGCATGCCTGAGGAGTTGGCCAAGGCTTCTGGTGTGGAGTTTGCACCGCCGCCGTCAGCGTTAGATTCGCTGCGGTGGAGGTTCGGGTTGAGAGGGCGTGGCAACATGCTTGGCGGTAAAGGCGATTTCGGTCCCTTTCTGGAAGTGCTCAAAGCAAGGTGCGAGGTGTGGGAGTTGGGGAGCGGAAGGGACTATCGTCGGGAAAGCGATGCTGATGTCACTGTTTCTGCAGCGAGTGAAGCGGCCAGGGAAGCCGCAGGCGAGGCCTGCACAGCGGGTCCCGGCATCTGGCTTCCTGACCTGGCTGAGCCCGCCCCCTCCAAATCAAACACTCTCCCGAAGAAATACTATGTCAAGCCATCCCCGACCGCGCCAGCCTCTGACCACGAGACATGGCTGAAAAACTTCCACGAAGCCGAGCGCCAGGCTACCGGCCAAGCCCTTCCGACGCCGTGGGCACCCAGCGTTATGCGAGTTTTTGGTCGGCAGGTGCATGTACCCCGCCAGTCTCAAGGGGTTACTCTGTGGACTTTCAGTGAGCTCTGCAACACGCATCAGCTCGGACCCGCCGACTACATCACTCTGGCCTCGACATTTCACACATTGATTCTTACCGATGTCCCCGTCCTCACATTGCTCCAAAAGAATGAAGCCCGACGATTCATAACACTGCTTGACGCATTGTATGAGGCACGATGTAAGCTCATCATCACCGCGGCCGGAGGTCCAGATGATATCTTTTTCCCAGAGGCACAGCGCCCTGCCACTGAGGGTGCCGAGAAGGAGCAGGTCAATGAGGATGTCATCCATTCCGAGACCTTTGCAGAAGCATACCAAGATACAGTCGCACCGTTCCGCCCTAACATCTCCAGCTACGAGGGGTCTGCAGATGACAGGGAACCCGAGCCTGATCTGACGCATGCTCGACTTCAAGGAATCCTAGCAGAGGATGCTCTCGAGGACGATCCACCCAACCGCGTGCGCCGCGGCATTGCCTCATCCAGCGAGGAGCCGCGTCAAGACATTGGTGCCGCGCGACACGCGCCCAACTTCCAGCAGACGGGCGCCTTTACGGGCGAGGATGAGCGCTTCGCGTACAAGCGTGCGAGGAGCAGACTGTGGGAGATGTGCAGCAATCGCTGGTGGGCACGCAATGAAGAAGGATGGTGGAGGCCTGTGGCGAAAGAAGTGCGGCGGTGGGAGAGTAGCGTTGCGGAGCGGGAGCGGGAGGCGCTCGTGAATAGTCGGACAGAGGGCATTGATGCCAAGATGGGTTCGGCGAGTGACATAGACGAGAAGAAAGATGAGGTGCTGTTTAGACATGGGGCTAGTCCGTTCAGGACGCACTCTGAACCTCCTCCGAAGATCAGCTGGGTTCATATATGGGGGACTGGCGTGACTTGGGGAAAGAAAGCGGGTGCCTGGGGTGCTGGGATCGCTGGTCTGGAGCAGAGGAAGAAAGAGAAGGAGGAAAGACATGAGAAAGACAGCCCTTCGAAGTGAGTGAGCTTAGCAGGACGCTTGAAATTGCTGCGTCCGATAATTTATATCTTGCGATCAGAATATTGTCACTCTTCACTGGGTCTAATGTCGACACACAATCATATCCTGGAAGCCAGATGATTTGTCCAACTTCCAACTATCTCGATTTCTCTTTGCCATTCTTTCGAAATAGGCTTGCAATACCTACTGATTACTCTTTCGGTGGCTGTAAGCAGCTTCAACTCTACACCCAGGTGCTCCATGAAGGTACGAGGGCGCTCAATATGCGCGCGATACCCGCCTTCTCGTGCGCATGGCAGAGCTGCAGCCAAGACCGCTTCATGTCTCTTTCAGTACCTGCGAGCGACTCCTCTCATCACAGCTTTTCCACCCACCGGGTTCCTATGAAGCCATGCAGGCAGAACACGAACTCAGCCCCGACGAACCATAGAATGGTCTTGTTGTTTTTGTTGGTTCGGCGGAAGGCAGTCAAAACTCGAGCAGGCAGAACTTCAACGAGAGCTAGTATATGAATGCCCTGCCGCCCGTTCTCATGGCTGCTTTCTTCTGTAACCGTATTCACATCTCAGGACGTTCACCCAACTCTTGTATCCTTCATATAGCCCTCACAAAGTCTTTACTTTCTACCCACGTTAGCCATCTCTTCAAATACTTCTATCAGACTTACTAATCTCTCCAGAATAGACTTCTATCCGACTACCCATCTTTCCAGGAATATTCTCTCTGCCCAAGTCACCCATCTCTCCAAGAACGGCTGTTCCAAGAATGGCAGGTAAGAAGGTGGCCAACTGGCTAGACAGTCCGGAGTTGTCTCGCTCGGTCACGGATGAGGATGCTTCTCCGGATGCTTCTCAAAATGCTCGAAGCAAAAGCGATGGATGGCTTCATCGCCACCAACAGAGGCTCCCGGAGCTGTCTCGCCGGCAGAGCGCCAGAGAACTGTCCACCAACGGACGGGGACGCCCTCCTGCGCCTTGCAATCTCAATAGCAACTGGAGGGAGACCTTGCCGTCTCCCTCTTTTCTCATTTTTCTTTCTCCACCTAGGTCGCCCAGGGATACAAGGCCCTGATAAGGGTCTGAGATTGGCTTTACACCGACAGGTGATAGGATATTGTTAGAGAATGATTATACTCTTGGCCGGGTCGTGTTCATCCGAACAAGCCCCAGGAGATGCCGAGGTCATTTATCAGGGGAGGATGGAGTCTATTATCTACCCCCGCCTGGCATTAATGGCAGTACAAATGAAAGCACCGGGATCAAAGACCATCCAGCGATCGTTATGGGGCCACCAGAGAATGGACGAGTACCGATTCTGAGCCTTACCAGTTTCAACGGCAGGACACTTGAAGAGAAATGGAAAGATGCTAAGGACTTTGCCAAGATCGTGAAAGACTTCCCCGCCATCAAACATCCGGGTATCGAACCCGACCTGGGCTCACTCGTCCTCCATCTCCGGGACGAAAAGTTTTTCAAGAATCCGACCTATGTTGATCTTCGGCAGGGTGTGCAGCCAGTCGGGAAGGCTTGGCTCGAAAAATATATGTGTAACGGAGACGGAGAGAAGCATCTTGACGTGGTCTCCTTCGAGAAGCTTCAGGCCTATGCTGAGGAGAGGTCAAAGATGCAGTCAGACCCTGTACCAAGGTTGAGGCGCCAGGGTCCCGCTGTCGACGATCAGGAATGATGCGCTCAGGGGTAAGGGAAGGTGCTACCCTTGATACACCCGCAAGAATAGGCCTACATTACCGATACACCGTTCTCTGTCTGCGGGGTTGAGGTCGTCGCATTCGCGGTTCCTTGGTTGACGCCGGAGGTCCTCCGTCTCAACCCAAGTTGCTCGAAAACAGAGGACAATACATCCGTAGTTATTTGGAAACTGAGGACAGTTCATCAGTAAATAACTGGAAACTGAGGACAGCCCATCCGTAGTTGTCTGAGAATAGAGGAAGCAGCGAGAAGACGCAGCATGTATAAAATGCATACTCACCCTCGCTGTAGCCTCTTCCTCTCCATACACCAAGCATCTCTCGGATTCCCACATCTTGACTCTCACAGCTCAGAGCTTAGAACCCACATCACATCCTTCGTATCAAGTAATCCTCCAAGATGCTTGCTTCACCGGCACCACTACCGTCCATCAGCGGCGCTTACCGCCCACCACATCTCCGACTTGGAGGGCAGGCTCAGTCTCCCTCCTCGTCCTCATACTCTTCAGCCTCTCGGGGCTCGACACCACCACAATCTCCATCATCCTCTCAGACCTCGACACCCCCATCATCTCCTCCCTCTTCGCCATCATCCTCTCAAGCCTCGACACCACCTCTCTCTCCGAGGTCTTCTTGGCAACAAGAGAACTGGCGGTCCATGAGAACAACTCCAGACTCGAACACACCATCACCATCACCATCACCACAACCTCTTTCCAGTACATCTGGTAACTGGAGAACCTCGGCAAGCCCACCTCCAAGCTCATCCCAAAGCTCTTCAATCTCCTCGGTCTCGACATCATGCAGCTCCTTCTCATCCTCGTCTTCTCGGAGACTTGGTACCCCCCTCACCAAGGAGGAAGCAACCCCGGGCCGACTGGTTTGGCTTCCAAACATCCCATCCACATCTATCCTCTATCGTCGCCTACAACTTGATGACAACCTCGGACTGCTTGAGCACCCGGCCATTATTGTTAACCGAGAGGACGATGAGGTCAGATTCGTCCCGATAACCTCTTGGGGCGGTCGGACTGCGTTCCAGAAATTCGCGCAGAGACACGACAAAGAGGACTTCATCTACGACAACTTCATCCTTATTGGTTCTTATCCGGATCCAGATCATAACATTCGAGTCTTGGAAACAGAAGGCGGAAAGACGCTTAGGAAGCGATCGTAAGTTCAACACCGTCCCCATCTTGTTGCTTCAATAGACTAATTGCTGTAGATATGCAAACCTTCGCAATGGCGCTTACAGCGTCGAAATCAACAACCTGCAGCCGTATAACAACCGGGCAGGCGAACAAATCTCTCTAGACCCAAATGCGGCTAGGTATCTTCAAACGTGCGTTGTGTAGGAGGGCGGACAAGACGGCTGTAGCCACCCAAAGTCCGTGTGTTGGCAGGCGTCTTTTAAACGTAGCCGCACGGATTAGGGTAGGCGCTGGCTGTTCTTGGTCTTATCATTTGGCGAGGTGTTCTGGGAATTTGCTTTTATGATACCCCATGTTGGATTCATTTGTTTTGGTAGCAGGGCAGGTGGTATTTTTTCCGTGATGCTTTCAAGGTCGATACTATTTTCCCAATCAGCCAGATTGGGTTTTTAACGAGATCGACTTGCATCTTGTCGGAGGAGGAGGAGGAGTCGCAAACTGTTGTAGCGCGTAATCTCAAGATGTGCTGTTGGACTCAACTCTTTGATTCTATCGTGCCTGCCTAAGTGAAGTTGCTGCTCGTGACTTGTCTGGTGGTTGGATCGCATGCCACACCGCAGTGTCACTCCGTGAAACGCGCCGACCGGCTTCTCAGGGACCTTCGACAAGCAGCAACGGTTCTTGCCGGTTGTCTCTTGCCGGCTGTCTCTTGCCGTCAGTTGTGAACAGGTATCCCCATGGGGTTCTGAGTCAGTGATGGCGGGACTCCGCAAATTTTCAGGTCAAACCTTGGTCGGTTGTGTTGGCAATGGCTCATGATTGTGAGCTTCCCCTGGAACGGCATATGCGTCGAAACGGCGCGAAAGTCTGACGTGTCCTCGCAGTCTCCCTTGGAACGCGGCCTAGCACTGAGCTCTTTGAAGAAATTGCTTGGGTTGGGTCTCTTTGCGCAAGCAGGTGCAATGTCGGAGGTGGTTCCATGGTGGGGAGCGGTTGGAAGGTCTGGATAAACTCGGTGCCGATCGGCAGGCGGGACGGGCAGGCGGGAGACCCTGGCCGCACGGGGCACTGGGGCACGCGGGGGAGCGACGTGACGTCCAACGTCCTGCGACGTCCAACGTCCTTGATTCTTCACCAACATTTTCATGTTCCGAGCCATTTAGCCCTGCCTGACGTGCGGGTAATCCCACTAGGTCAAGACGCCGCCTTGGTGAAATTTCGGCCGTTGCAGCTGGTTTCAGCTCTACCAAAGCCAGAAAGACAAGACTTACAACAAACAAAAATCTGCCAACAGGCCTAAGTGTCTCCGCACAAATTCAGCACACTACCACATGATCTCACAGGAAATTGAAGAAGTAAACACCATTGAAATTCAAAGAACTGCAAGAGCTATCTAGTTGCATTGGCCCCACAAGTCACAATGACTTGCTCTACATGACGCAGATCCCCTCCGATGCAGTTCCTATGAGTATGCTCCACGTAGGCCCAGAAAAATTGGCGGTCTGGCACTACGTGACGAAAGCATCCAAGTTTGACAAAACTAGGAGATCCTGCGGATACTCAACAGCTGCAGCAGAAGCTACCGCCGGAGGTTTGCAAGGCGAAGCCTTTGAATCCCCAGAAGGAGAGCAAACACAGCAACCGACCACGAGTGAAGGTAGCTATGCATTGGCCCCACAGAACACGATGTTCTGCTCTGCATGATGCAGATTCCATCCAATGCGATCCCAAGATTACCACCCCCGCAGCTTAGCCATGGTAGACAACGTAAGGGGTGGCCCAGCCTTAAAAGATTTGACTCTTTAAGGCGCGAAGAAGGAGGAAGCCGTTGAAATGGCCCCACAGAACACAATGTCCTGCTCTGCACGATGCAGATCCCTCCAGGATAGAAGCAAAAGAGGGGGACCGTGGGAGTCCCTCGTGGATTCAATGTAAAACAAATTACAAGAACCCCAGCTAGCCATCCACTAGGGATAGTAGCGAGCCATGAAGGCTGTGAGAAGAAAAAGGAGCTCCGGTGGAGTCTCAGCTGCCTTCCATGCAAGATGAAATGCGGCTTCCAACTTCTGAGGAAGAAAGGACAGTATGATGGGGAAAGTAAAGTGAAGTGAGAAGACAAGCAGAGATGCGAGAAAGTGAAGGGGTAAAAGAGCGTGAGAAGAGGTGCAAGAGGGATCTCAAAAAATTAATAAGATGAAGCGAAGCAACGATAGAAGGAAGACGACGGCTGGGGGAAACGAATGACAAGATGAGGGGGAAAAACGAGTGACAAAGTTGGGGGTGGAGGGGTTTATATATGCTGGAAGGAGGGTCCGTGCCCTCGCTATGATGTCAGTGAGGAACATTGTGGAAGGGCGGCAGGCGGCATGGAGGCTCGTAGAAGGTTGTGGAAGATTCGAGGAGGTGCTACAAGGTTATAGAATACCTCCAAACGCCCATTTTGCTACGTCATTGCCAGCTAACCGAGCAGGTAGGTAGTTAGGTATCTGTGCACCCAGGTTATTAACCTCTTCCTGCAGCTGCCCAATCTACAACCCTTCAACCATCCTATCAGTTTGCATCCGCGCCAGATGGCGTCCTCCGCGCCGGCTCTCGGCGACCACAACACAAACCCTCGGGATATGAGCAAGTTGACGCGCTCACCACCACGCCTCCTGAGAGATTACGATAATTGGAATGAATGGAAGGCCCTCGCGATCGACTACTTGGCGTTTCTCAGTCTAGAAATGACCATTTACGGGCGCGGCACTGTCAACGAGCAATCCATTGCGTGCAAGTTGATCAAGTCAAGGCTCAGTGACAAGATATTAAAATACACTACTCATTGCGAAAGCGCCCAGTCTTTATGGGGCGCTCTCCATAAGTTATTCCATCATGGTGCTCGTGAGCTTGACGCCCAGATGCGATTACGATCTATCAACAGAGCCAACTACAAGAACGTTGACCATTTCCTCCTGGACTTCAAGGCTATCCTCACAGACTTTTGGAAGGATGGTATCAGCGTTAACTCCAACGGTATCTGCTTGGATATCGTGCTCAGCATCAAGAACGACTTCCCTGAGTGGGCTACGACACAGTTGAAAAATTGGGAGATCCATGGTTTTGAGCAGGAGCTCAGCTACTGTGATTTCATCAAGGAAGTTCTTGTCATGCTCCACCGGGAGCGCGAAGCCATCACTGATATTCCATCTGCTTGAGGTAAGCCATACTAGTGCGACACTTTCGAAGCAGCTCTGAGCGACGGCAGACACATTATGAAAATCATGACGACACAACTCCATTCAACGACCATGGATACACCTGCTTCGAACAGTACCAGAGAGTATACATGGGTGCAATGGATACATTGGAACGGGGAGAATGGTGGTTTGTGGCTGTAGTGGTGGAGATGACGAGCAACCTCCTAACCATCCTATGTGCCTTATGCCTGACTGAGCATAACTATCGACACTCCGATGAACAAGAGCTTTGTGTCGCTGATGCGTGAATTTTTTAATTTGTACAACACTTACGTGGGTTATCAACTGGGGTTCGTCAGTCGAAACAAGCCAAGTGCGTGATCAAATGTGTGAGAATTGAAGCCCCATCCAGAGTGCGGAGTAGTATGGTCCATAGGGTAGTCGGTATGGCCTTGACCAGTCTCTATACTAGTACGGGCCGGGTCGAATCAAACTAGGCGTAACCCCGCCCCGACCAGTCCGGGCCAATTAGAGACTAAACTAACATCTTCGTGATAGAAACCTATAGGTTATTGCGTACGGTATTACGTAGCAACCGCGCGGTAGTAGCCTAATTAAGTTAGTACTTAACTATATACATCTTAACGCCTTACGATACTTTCTTATTCGGTTCCCTACTACGGCACGTGCTACGCGCGCATGTAGATAAATATCGCGTGGATATTATTATATTCGCTCAACACTATGCCAAGGCCTCGTAATTCGGCGCTATTTAGTCCGACGGGAGTCTATTCGACCCCATACTAGCCCAGGTGGGAACGTTATTAATTAGGAAGGCGTCCATTCGGTCCAGTACAGTATAGGGGTCAGACTAGATCACTCCGCACTCTGGCCCCATCGAAGACAGATTACCTTCTTTGTATGACCCTGAGGCCCAGTCAAATCAGCATAGTCTTTTTGTGACAACTCCAGATAATTTGCTGACTATTTTGGCCATTCCGCTTTCTTCTTAACCACCGATTGATGCAAGTCTGCTATACCTATCTAGCGTGCATTGGTAGGTTGATTAAGGTCAACACGCCAACGGCTTATAGCGCTAAGTATGTGTGAATATAGGAAGCTGCGGGGATGCGGTAGTGCTCTCTGAAGTTATAAACGGGATGGCTTTGAAACTGACTGTAAAGAACAGAGGTATGCGATTTAGTCACCTTTCAGTCACTATGGATTGTCTTTTGAAAGGACCTCGTACAGATATGCCAAGATACCCTGGAAAGCCTCTGTCTTGCTACAAAGCCTTGTTTCTGGAAAGGTTTAAATGGTATTAGTCCGGCCTTTAAAGCCCTATCCTAATAAGTCTAGAGTAGTCCTTACCAAGCCGCAAAGCTATAGTCTGGTAGGGTCTCAATAGTCTCCACCCAACTGCAAAGTTATCTTTTAATGTATCCTAAGAGCGCCGAGAAATCCACTCCCCTCTCTTTGCTTGACGACCCGGCGGCCAAGATGTCAACGGCATTGATGCAACGAGCCATCGGGACTTCGTGGCTGGCCATTTCGAATTTAACCGGGTATTCTACAGCCTCGTTGAATCCATTGGGAGGAGGAGGACCGCGGACATAGACGTGCAGATGGGCTTCAGTTGTTTCCTCGAATACAGTGCCTCGGTAGACGTGGGTTGGGCCGCTATTGTCTCTGTAGTTCAGGGTGATTTTCGTACCCGCCGGAGGCAGCAGTTTCATATCTTCAGCGTGGAAATCGATGATCTTCAGAGTAACAATATGCTTATCCGGAAGATCGGGATAACCCAAGAAGTTAGCCATGGCATTAGGTTGATCCGTTGTCGCGAAGACTGTTAGCGCCTGTAATGCCTGTCGTTCACGATGAAGAGCAAGCCGGATGGTGAAGGACACTGTCTCTCTGTCCGGATAAGCCAAGATTGGGTTCACGGATAGCCACTTGGATGGCTTGGAGACAAGCTCTTCATTGCTCCATTCCGTAGCCAGCCACCCGGGCACGTCGAGTGTGTCCAGAGGAAAGTCGTTGTCCGAAAGCGACATGCCGGATGGCGCTTGCCGATGGTAGAACCACATGTTACCATTCCTAGAGGAAATGGCCATCAAATCAATGAAGTACTCCTTGAACTGCTTTACAGTTTCCACGTCCTTGGATCTGGCCTCAGTATTTTCCACCGTCTTCAGTATTGACAGCTTTGCTTGTCCTTGACCGAGGGCGAGATAGGCGACCAAGAACTTCCAGTCAGGCATTTTCTCGCGCTCGTTAGCGTTGTTATACTGGGTAAAAATCTTTAACAACTCAAGGGCACTGATGCCAGTGAATTTTATACCAGGCCGACGCGACGGCATGGTTAATTCTTCTGGAAGCGGGATAAATAAAAGATCCACCGTCCAAAGTAGCCCGGCTTGTGCTGCGCCTGGTATTCCGGTGTAATGACTGTACTTGAACTGCTCCATGTTGTCCGGTGTTACTGTGCCAGGCGTGTTGATGTGCAAGCCGGTCATGTTGGTCTTGTTGTCCTTCAATCCTTCAGTCGCAATAGACTGGGGAAAGATGTGGCAGATGACATCGCGCTTGGAGTCGTCAATAGTACCAGTCGACAGGCCTATCTGGATGGAAGGATATTGAGTGTCGGTGAGAAATGCCACAGTGACATCGGGCTGATCGGATACGACGCGTCCGATGGTCCTGCCATTGAACTCTACGACAGCGGAAACATGAGAATTGAGAGAAAGATTAATAGCTTTGCCCTTTTTGTTTTTGGCTGCAATCTTGTAGCGAGCCCTGTCCGAAGCGTCAAAATCCGACATGTCGGCGAAAGGCGTGATGCTGATGGGCGGTGAGGAAAAGAAGGATAGAGGATGGAAAGAAGAGGTGGAGGTGACGGG